GTGAAGAAAATGAAAGTGCGCGCCAGCGTCGATCGGAAGCCACAGATTTATGATCGCAGGTGAAAAAAGTGCGGCGAGCGTTGTTCGCGTACTTAGCAGCGTACTGCAGAACTTTGGCATCATTATAAATAGATCGGTCGGTAGTCGGACGTCTAAATAGAAACACTTCATTTGAACATGACAAACATGATTTTGGCTCGTATGAGCTGCCGAATTTATTTTCTACCAAGACGTTTTTTTTTTTACTAAAAAAATTAGTTGACTTTTAAAACATACTATTACTGTAATTTTAGAAAAAAGTTAGTCCGATATATCGTCTTAGTCACTATGTTGTGTTAGTCCGGAGAATACAATAAATAATCAAGATATTTAAAAACAAAAGAAAACAATATTATTGCAGCATACATGAAAATACAGAGTGTTACTTAATGATATTCCCTAATTACGGGTGCACATGCCTTAATCAAATTCAAGTAGAAAAGTTCATACGAACATAAGTTCTAAAAAAGTCTGGTTTCCAAAATACAGGGTGTCACGGTTTAAAAAAATGTTTGTGATATATAATATATCTCAAAGGTCGTTGAGTCGATTTTGTAGAGTGTTGTCAGTATTGTCCATTGCAATAAGACACTAAGTTAGCACTAGCTAGAAGATAATTATGAATTCCAGTGGTGTCTAGAAAGGCAGTTTCACAAATAATATTGACAAAAACAACACGTAACTGACTTTTTTTAAATATTTTTTCGAACTGAGCAGATACATTTTTTTGTCGTTGTATCTCTTCGTATCTTACTTTGTTTTCAAGAAAAAAATAATAAAAAACGTCAATACATATTGAATAATTATAAAAAAAAAACTCGATCCAATTTGACAGATGTACAGTATTTATTTATAAGCTACTTTTTAAAATCTAAGGAATGGAAAATAAAATTTTACAAAACATTTACAAAAAATATTGGAAATTACTGCTTCCCGCATCTGCAGGCTTCTGCTCTTACTTTTTCTTAAAACTTCAACACCCTGTATCTTGAAAACAAGACTTTTTGGACACATGTTTATATGAACTTTCCTACTTAAATTTGGTTTAGAAATGTTCTCTTGTAAGTACGGCTTATCATTAAGGAACACCCTATTTGAGGAAATTGAGAAAAAACGAAAAATATCAACACGGGAATACCCGATGTCGCTTAATTTCAGTATATGTTTTTTTTGTTACTGTGTGAGCCTTTACTCATTAATTTAATCATTAACATATGAATATTTTTCATGAATAGGCCAAAGCAAATGCAGAAACGTAATAAAAAATAAAAAGGTCCATCCATGGCTTTTGTATTTTTGTCAATCCAGGGACTTAAACCAGCAAATTTTACGGAACGTACGAAAAAAAAAACAAAAGAACAAGCAAAGGAAACTGTGATGGGGTCTGACAGTTGAGTGCAAACTATCTAATGAACTGGTTGAAGTTTGTTCGAGCAGCATGAAGAAGAACAAGTAAAGTGAGATATGACCAATGAGTATAAGTTAAAGATAATTTCACAGTAATTTCCTAGTAGCTTATTATGAAAGAAAAAATACTGATATAAAAAAATGACTGATATAAAGAATTACTCATTCTCTCCGTGCCAAGCACTGGACTTTAAATTATACCCCCGAAAACAAAAGCCGTCCTTAAAATGTACCAAGTTAAAACACTATGCTGTTCGATCTAATAGCCGTGTACCACAGAAATGATGCGGAACAGCTTCACACTTGTCCGGTAAGAACAATATTCTTGCACGTTAATACGTACCTTGTTCTGGAAACGTCATTGCCAAATTCGACAGTTACAACAACCGCCAACACCAAACTTCAACTGAAGAATTGACCGACAGGGCAGCTTGTTGTTTCTTCAACTTTGTTTATATATAAAATATCCGCTAACGCTTTAAACTCGAAAACTGCATCTACTCTGATGAATACTCAGACACAAATGAATCAACTGGCTATCCAGACATAATAAATTAAGAAAAATATCATTAGATTGCAATTAGTACCTGCCTCAGTTATCTGCATCCTGCTGATGGCCATTTCTTAATCCAAACTTATTGCAACAATGGGTGTAGGATATTCATAACAAATCCAATAATGAATTTGATGACTGGAAGGGGTCAAACAAGGTAGCAAAATAAACGTAAACAAGGTAATATTGTTCAGCAACATGATTTAACTGTAAATATTCCATCCACATTTAATCAATATTTGTGGCATGGTAGTAAATTCATCCTTAAGCACAGTCTGCGAAAAATGTAAAAGGAGCTAAGACTAGCTCTTCGGAGTGCTGTAGAAGAAGGTTCAAACTCTAATTTAGATACTTCGCCACCTAAGAAATAATGATTTTTAACAGAGTTTTCGACTATTGAAAATTACTATTTCTAGGGTCTCTCAGACACAGAACCGTTTATAACTCGAAAACGGTTAACATTAGATATATGTATATTACTAACGACCTGTTTTGTTCAAAATAATGCGAAAAACATGGACAGAACTTTGAGCGGAGCGAAAAATATTGTTTACCTGGGTGCACACTGAAAATTGAAACAATACTTTGCCATATTTTTGATGATGCTCAGTATCTAAATAAACCTCACCTCACCTCACTCTTAAAAACTCCCAAAAGTGTTTTAGGCTTAGTTGATCTCAAAGCGATGTTTATGCCTTACAAGCGGCAAGTTTTTGATTTTCGCAGACTGTACATTTAATTTATATAGATTGAGGGGCGATGTTGCCGATTATTTCAACAAACCCTGTATTCCTGCAATAATAAGGATTGCCAGTGTAATATTCGAATTGATTCTATTTCGTCACAAGTACTCCAGTAGCAATGGAGTAAAATCATACAAGGAAAAAACCAAATCTAGCAAAGTTATAAACTTTTCCACAGATTCCGTAACGATGCCGATTATTTTCATAATGCTATGGGCTCCTATGACGATAAAGAATATCACTGTATTAACGGATTCAATAGTAACTCAATAGGGGATTTACCATTATCGGCGAAGTAGGCGCTTCTAGGAAATTTTTTCATGGCGATGCCTGTGTGATTCTAACCTATTCTGGACTCCTTCAATCCTGGGATAAGAAATAGGTACCACTATACTAGTGAAATTGGTTACCCCTGTATGGGGTTCTCCAGGGGCTGGGTCAGTAATTTTTCTTTTCCTACTACGCATAATTTGATAAAGGTTGGGTAACTTTCACAATCAGCTTATTAATAATACAATTTTGGGTAAACAACAGAAGAATCTTAAATTCATCCACAAGTCGCATGTTTTCAATTTCTAATTGATATCAGCTGGACGCGAAGCCACTGGTGCTAAATTAAAAGACATCTTTCATCTTTTTTCAAGCGTGTCACTTGGCACAATTACTATGTGTACGTCCCAGATAAAATAAACATGCAAATGCAGCTGGACATCTTTAAAAATTGGCATGAATCCAAATTGGAAATGGAGCTTTAATTCTTAATTATGCAATTAAAAAGAAGTTTCCTACCGAGACATTGATTTTTATCCTTTGGAACAAAAAAACCAACTTGGTCCAGTCAAAGTATCTCTGTACGAATGAAACATTTACACAAGATACATGTATGGGTGCAACATAGAATAACATAACATTTAGACTAATTCTGTCATCATTTGTTTTAGACTATTTATACAAAACCATGATGTAGCACTGACAAGAAATCAGAATTCCCAGCCAGCTTAATCATCCTGGGTAACTAAGTATTAGGATTTAAGATATCTGCAAACTACCCTGCCTTCAGCATTGTAAAGCTAAAAACTCTTTCATATTAGAACTAAATTTGAGGGTTGTTTATATGAACAAAATTTTATGCAACACAACCGTGTATTTGCACCAACTGTTGACAAGACGAATGAGGAAAATGAAGAATATTTATGAAACAGGAACAAGACTTAAAACTGTATTGTTGCATATTTATTCAATGTATTTGCCGTATTGTCAAATAGGTGTATATGAAAAAGCATGATGCACACAATATGTAAACAAGAGTTAATTTTGTAATACAATTGTAAGTTTTTTTTTTGCATGAAACTTGTACACCGACGAAATGATGCTATCTTCGTTTCCGAATAATCAAAAAAGAGATTAAAAATTCGATAAAAAAAAATGCTGCATTTGAGCTACAGCAAAATACAATTTGTGTATAATATTAGTTTGAGGGGGGGCGTAGTATGTAGTCCATAAATAAAAAAATAATAAAATTACATGTACAATGTAACTGTGCAAAAAAAAGCATTAAAACATCCAACTTGGGATTAAGGAATAACTACCACGCCACTGTTCTTCTGCCTTGTTGGCTGTTACTTTTACATATGAAGCAGTATCTGACCATTATTAATTTCACAAACACGCAAACAAATCACTCTGAATAAAAACAGAGGAAATTCGAAGGACATGTTGATCCGTCAACAGCAAAATTTACAATGACTCATTTGAATCATGAATGAAACGCTCACGCACCTTTTAGGATGCCACATTGTCAACTGTTTTGGTTTCAGAGTTTTCCAACTAGTTGTCATATTGCATTTTGGCTGAAAATAACCTAATAACAAATACTTTTCCTCGTCACGTAATGGAAAATACATTACTAAGTGCATATGCAACAGAGAGCATTTTCGGAGATTTACTAGCATCCTTTGAGGGGCATGCAATTGTAAATGGATAGATCTACAATTTTTAGTAGTCGGTGGAAAATACCTTTACAGCCGGTACACTCGGGCATTAAATTGTCGTGCAGCACAAAACACGCGACTACTTGCTGTTCACATGGGACGCGTTTCGAGGCATACCGACAAGTAAATATAGGGTATTGTGATGTGTAATGTGATGGCTAAAGAGCATTTTTTCCAACGCGAAAAATTAACGCCCTTATAAACCGGCAGTAAAACAGTACCAAGTGCCTTAATGGTACATTAGCTAATAAAACACATCCAACTTACCAGTTAAGCCGCTGTTGGGCATCTCAGTGTGATCGGCTGCCATAGCGGCGGCCGCCCCCGCTCCTTGCAGCTGAGCGGGCGAGTGCGCAGCGGGCACCGTGCCGCCTCCACTCAGCGCAGCGGCCGCCGCCCCTTTCGTCTGCTGGTGGTGGTACTGGTGTCTACCGGCTCCCGCCCCAGCCGCAGCGGAGCCGCCGCCACTCGCTGAGCGTCTGCCGCCGCTAGCCTGACCGCCCCCTCCGCCTCCGCCGCCTCCACTTGAGCTCGCGCACGAACCCGTTGTTGAACTGTGCCCTGTAACAAAAATAACGACGTCAAGTAGGTTGACTTTGGACTTCCCACGCAACGCTGTCATCAGTTCATAAAGAATTATGTTCAGCACAAGTTGGCCCCTATGAAAAAAGCTGGCTAAGAGCACGGGTCAAGTCAGTCAAACAGATCCTTACAATTAGGTCATGAATTTTCCCTTCTCTGATATATATGGCACGGCAGCCACCACCGACAATGAAGAGCACACTCATCGGTGAGAGTACATCTAGAGAAGAAGGTGCCGAAAATATTTATCATCATTCTATTTCAAGAGCAAATGTAAAAAGAAAATATATGATGTATGAGATATGTCTAGTAGGTGCGTAGAATTACCAGTGTTTTGTATAAAAGTATTAACATAAAAAATTGAGTTATACCCTCCCCCACCTTTTACAGCTTCTGAAGTTATAGACGGGCCAGGGATTCGCGGACAGGCAGTCCAACCGGAATGGGTGGCACGATTTTTCGTGCTGTGCATATCATATTATATCAAAAAAACTTACCTCATTTTTGATTACTCTACTTCCAGTGGCGTGTGAGAAGTAACACTACGTTAAGGAGATATACTGTACTTCCCACGGCTCAGTTACGGTTTCTTAGGCATTTTTCATGTAGTGCAATTTCAAAAAAGAAAGAATGGGATCTATTGAAAGAACTCAAATAGAATCAAAAATGGATTACGCACGTTCACTTAAGTATGATATATGGTAAGCATCTACATCTCAAACTATAAAAATAAATCTATCATACTACTGTTGCAAATGAGATTATTACGTCTAACAGATGCGTAGTATTACCATGATTAGAAACTTCTTGATGAGAGAACGTCTTTCACTGATACCAACGATGCAACATTTACAACGCCCCACTCCGTACAACCTTCAACTTACATCTCAAAAAAAAAATAATGAAATGTGCAGAAATCTATGAAACGGAAAAAGAAGCTCAGCCACTATTATTTTTTTGTTTCCATCCATATAACCTCTACCCGTGGATCAAAACCCACAAATCTTGTTTGTCCTTGTCTAAGTAACCTTGAATATACCATAGGTTAAGTTTCAGATGTTATAATGTGGCCTTGTGTTAAAATGTCATCATTACTAAGCGGAATACCCCAGTTCACGAGTATCCATCACGCTTTGACGTCTACTGAGGTGAACAGCTGATCAGCAAGTGACATTTTTGTGTTAGTCTGCAACGTTGGCAATAATTTTGTTCTTTTTTTTTCTAAATAAAAGAGCTTTTAGCAAGTACAAAATGAATCTGTAATGTACAAAAAATCAAAACAAAACATGGCTGTATCTACCTGGCATTGACGGATCCATCAGAATTATGTTCCCTTTGCGGATATGGGGAATTTTGAAATATTACTATATAATCAGCTGCCATTCTAGCGTAATGGATAATCGTGAAAAAGACTATATTTTCTGATTTACTAATCGATTTGCGGGCAGACAGACCTATTGAAATGAGTTTTCATGATTTTTCCTCAGGTACATATCATGTAACATCCATAGGCACATCTCATTTTCAAAATTTTTGTAATTATTATACTTTCTAGCCAATTAGCATGGGAAATAAAAATCGAGCAGCTAATAAAATTTAATTTTGTCCAGAGAGAGGACAATGACTGATTCATCTGGCTGAATTCGGTCTAGGTTATACTGATACCGATTGATTGCGACTGATTCACATCGACCTGCGACTTCAGGTGACAATGCATAGAAAATGTTGCTTGGTGTAGATTTTGGCCCAATGGTGTCCTTGGTCCGTATAATCAATAATAATCAATAATTTCATCTGGTTTTCTGGTAAGGAACGTGAATTGGGGGTGAATTGAATTCAATCAATTCAATTAAAATAGCTGCAATTACCGGCATAGCAAAGCCATCAAAGGGCACATTTTGTGATGGAAATAGTGAAATGGATGGTATGCACAAGATATTGTGAATAGTGCCTTTGTATAATAAAATATCGGAACTACACGAAGTACAATCAACTTGATAATAATCAGATAGTAACTACATAATTACAGTAAATTATACTCTAACTAACATTATGTATTTTCCCTTCCTAGGAAAAAGAAGAATTTAACAACTGAATCAAGCACTTTATCAGCAATGTGTAATAAAAAGTTATACAAACGTCAAGGCGTACTAACCTATATATCCCATAAAAAGAAAAATCACTCAAATGACAATCGCATAGCACACCAAACCCAAGTAAAATACGCGTACGATTACTCATCACCATATGACTGGAAGGTTGACAGACATAAACATCAGCGAACGAAAAACCATCAGTTAGTCATAAAAAGTTTTATCTGCATATTCCAAAACAATCACTTTAATATAATTATGTACGATAATGGATATTAAACAAACTTCGTCAAGATAAGCGCACGTATATCAAATCAAAACAGCTGAAGAGCTCTGAGAATGAATTCCAGTAAGTGACAGAAAGGTGGTGGATGAATATTCATCAGAATAAATAAATATCAATTATGAAACGTGTTCCATATAAACATTCTGATTATTTTAAATTATATGCGATCATTTTTGTTGCGTCTGAGGTTAGAGCAGCGATTTAAGTTTAAATTAGATTTTGCAAGGATAATGATAACGAATACTACGGCAAACTATGTTATTTATCTTGTCATTATCCTACTGACTCGAACAAGCCATATCAGGCACAGGTCATGAAAGTCTAAATTAAAATTTGCTGAAAATACATGCTACATAATATCATTAATTAACATATTTTCCAAGAAGGTGCCCAACCATATACCAAATAAAGCATTTCGACAGTCAAGTAGGATCGCAGTAATTTTCTTAGAAGATGTTGTTGTTGAAGATTTATTTAGCATTAATGCTACAATGTCAATTTTGTATAATGATTCGGTTACATATTTTTCTTCAATCCATTTTCTGTAATATTACATTCTTGTCTATTAAAATTAAAATAATAATAAAAACATTTTCTGTTTAAAAAAAATTGCTTGTCTTAGAGGAATCAACCTCTTTCGTAATTATTTCCAAGATTTCACATTCTCAGTATTTCTACACAAAGGAAAAACAAATCCCGTAACCTGCGGGAAAAGCCCCAGATATGGCAATGTTGAGCCCTAAAGCCGGTGGTCGATAGGTATAAGTGGTTGGCAGCGCCACAGTAACCATGGTTATTTCCGAGCGGACAATGGTTTCAATTGGGTTTGATATCTACTGGTGGGATATGTTAAGCTATAATAATATACGAGGATTGATCCAAAAATAGGGTTCTCAAAGAGTTCCAGCCACACGGGAACGTTCGAGGCGGAAAACGGCAACACAGCTGTGCGTTTCCCCACTGGATTCCTTCCAGCCGCGCTTCGCTCCAGCAGCCGTCCGATATGGAGGTTACCGTTGATGATCCCGCCAAGTGCGAGCGTAATTTGCTGTTTGCACGCCGAACGGAATCCACCCGTGAATATTCATCGTCAGTTGACAGAGGTGTATAAAGACAAGTGTGTATCACGCAATGAAGAAAGGAATGGAAGACTGTCCGTTTCGGAGGCGATTATCGAGATTGGACTACCTCGATAATCGCGAATCACCATCCGTGAACTTCTTGCTCAGAATCCTGGGAGTTCACGGACGGTGATCCTCCGAAACTAACTGTCTTCCATTTCGTTGTTTATCGTGGTTTTCCGACCGGCACTAAACTTGCTGCACCACTTTCGAACATGATCGGATACTTATTGCCATTCTCCTCTGTCAACTGGGAACCTCCATATCGGACAGCTGCTGAGCCAAGAATGAGCAGCACAGCGGTGTCGCCGGATTTCGCTTCGCACCTACCCGTGTGGCTGGAGCTCTTTGGGAACCTTGTTTCGAAACCAACCCTCGTACAATAAAATGGAAGCTATATTGGTCTAGCAATCTGTTTGGCCTAATGCAATGCTCGGAATTCGCAATTAACAGATGCTTCTGGTTAATATTCTCATAGGCCAGCCTCTGGACAGACATTTGTCCCTAATGAAATGGAAAAAGATCATATCTGCTCCAAATGGTGGAAGGTGGTGAAACATCATCATCATCAAGGTCTGAGAGTTCAAATATTTGACATAATGGAGTTTGATAGAGAAAACATTTCTTCAAAGATCTGCCAGGTTTGCCATCAAGTTTTAACATTGGCTGTGTTGATAGTTCCAGTGTTGGTGTCCAATATAGGCAAAAAAGTGGCTCCCCCCTCTTATTGCTACATAAAACAGCGCTAACAGTTACTTTAACGCAACCTTATTTTTTGGAAATGTGTCTTGTGTGCTCATCTATAAATCCCGACCTACCTCAAAACTGCATACTGGAAACCAGAATCTACAAGCAGTCACGTATATCAGTAATATTTTGTCAAACTTCAGGGACTGTTACAATTGCTAATTCTTTTATGTTTGTTTTACGTCGTTCTTGTGTGGACACTATTAGTTAAGTTAGCATTATATGTAATCGGATTACTCTATTGAGTAATTATAAATAGGAAGATTTCCACTGCAAATACAAATTATGCCGATTTGATGCGAATCTTTATGATGTTTGTTTTATTTATGAAGGATCAGCATACAGTTTTGTCCGTGAGTTGATGAGTTGCTAGATATTCAAATCAATGCGTGCACATGGCTCAGTTTAGATTTACATAAAAAAAGAACTCGTGCAGACTTAAATCAATCACCCAGAGGATGAGTTAAGTATTTTACGGCTCAGAATAGAACGATTATCGCTACCAAATGTTTGAATAACAACTCATCACTAAGCAAAAGTTATGCTCCACTAGTGGTCGAACACATAGTATCTTCACTTAAGAAATCATTATTGCAAGGACGATTTATTCGCCTCGAGTCTTGATACTTGGGAGTGTTTGTCAAATATCCTTCTAAAGTAAGGGCTTCTTATTGCATTGCATAGTAGTTAATTTCAAAGAACGCACGGTCGTACCAATCCTGGTTGTTATATGTATAGAAAATATATACCCCATCAAGCGCGTCAAATTAATATGACTGATAAGTTGCGAAATGAGCGAGGTTTGAGAAATATACTTGACAACTATCTGGTCAGTCCCAAGTGGCATGGCAACTCAGATCTAGCCGAGGAGAAAAAGGGCGCTGAACCCATAAACGACAAAAAAGAAGCGCTTTTGGTTAGATGACAGGAGAAATGGGACGCAACTGGCCAGGGACTAGGAGGCTGATAGCAAATACTAAAACTCGACTTGCCAAGGGAGTGGTGAAGAGAGATTACTACAGAACAAGGTTGTTAGGATAGCTACCTGAAGAGGGTAGGAAAGAGAGAGTACGCGAATTGCGTATTCTGCAACGACGAGGAAGATACTCCTAATCATCTACTTGAATGTGGTAGATGAGTTGACTGCTAATCACAGTTGGAATTGACGCTCGGCGAGAGGCTGGCGGATGACAATTGTGGGTTGATATTCAACCAAAAGTGAGATGAATGATGCTGAGCAAGGCAAATCACAAAAATAAACCAAGGAACGAATATTAGCTTCCTACTATCTTGGTTGTACATGTACATAGGTATGAATGTATGTATAGGTATGATGGAGGGTAGATGACGAATACATTTGGATGAAGGGTTTTAGAGAATATGCCACTTTTGGAGAATCGCTCACTTCGGACAGAAAAGGCCGACAAGGCAATACTGCAGAGTTTTTCTGCCTGAGTTACTATAAAAGATTGCTTTGTCCAAAAAAAAGTCTAAGGAATCCTCAATTTACGGCTGCGCATGCTGCCCTAAAACCATGAAGTTGATTTGCAAATATCCATGATTCTGTGTTCCATTCACAAATTGTAAAGACAATATTTTAAGAACTATTATCGAAAAGCATTTAATGCATACTACCTGTATTTGGGAGTCACTGAACAATTTAAATCAGCTGTTGTATGAAAAAGCAATTTTCAGATTCTTCTCCATCACTTTAAGCGGGTCATTAAAGAGACGAAACACGCCGTTGTTCCACTTCACCACTTTCATTGTCGTCGAAACAAAGTTGTGTTAACAAACAAATATACAATAACTGATACAACCAAAGCCATTACCGATTAAACGAAAGTATAAACAAAACGATCAATTTACGCAGATGCCAAATTATAGGCATTTCATCACAAGTGGGAAAAGTTTACTAAATTCGTTTAGAAACTTTATTCCGTTAAAATAGACGAAACAATCCGATCAAAAGTATAAGACAATGTAAGATCCTCCAGTATTACCAGATTTTGCATGAAAGATATAGTAATATGCAATAAACACTCCCATGTAAACACTCATATTGAATTGCGTGTCCCATAGCGCGTAATTAAAAAGTTAATAATGCGGTCAGTAAATGGTATAGTATAATCCATTGACTTCTTACTACTTAAATGTCAACGTTAATGTTTAAGGGTGCGCTAGTTGCGACTACTAAAACTATCAACAATTAAATAACAATAAACTTCATTCAAAATATTTTTGTTGGAGGATTTTCTTTGGACACCTACCAACCCCAAAAATGCTGACTTTTTACCATTGAAAATGACCATTTTTACAATTTTCAGACTAACTCGAAAACCGTTAACATTGAGAAATATCAAATTGCCATTTTTTCAAACTGTAGAAAAACAAAAAAGTTCGTGAGGAACAAAAACAAAGTTTTTGTAATTTGTATAAAAAAATTGTTTAAACAAATCTGCACCGGGTTACGGACGGGCAACCTCTTGGTATGAAGTAAGGCATTACACAGTATTTTGAAAATTTTCAGATATCTTCATTTAAATAAATCTTCACTGCTTTCGCTTCTTCAATTAGTGCAAACTAATGCAAACTAACGTTGTTTTTGAACTGCTCCTAGATTGTCAAAGATTTGGCAACGCTGGAATTCATAATAAAGTATTTTTTTTCTTTATTATTTAGTAACACTTTTTATAGGAAGTAATTTTCTGGTTCTTGGAATAAGAATGGAATCGCGTCAGGTTCTAAAATACAACTCATTTTTATAGATAAGTGTAGTAAATAGTTGGTGATAGAATGGAGCGACGTCATTGTCGTTCATGAATAGTTTTTGGCTACGGTTATTTCAAATTTGACATGACGAAGAGGTTTTGAATGGGGAACTTAATCATTGTACTCATTATACAGTGTGGCCAATATACAGGGTGACTTCGAAGTTGAGTCATTTATTTTAACAGTGAGTAGATCTGATCAAAAGAAATGTTTTTTTCCTTTACCATTTTTCTGGTAAAATTAAAGTAACAAAGTTATAGCCCTTTGGAAGTTTGAGTACCGCCCTGTCTCAATAATAATGTCATGTGCTTGTGTTTGGCAACAACGGATATAATCCACCTTATCGGTTCATCGCATCGGAAACAAAAAAGCGAAAGAATTTGGAACGAGTTTTTTACAATTATTTCATTCAGTTCAGTTATACATACAATCAGTGTCAGTCGCGTGTGAATAGTGTCTGTTGCGTGGCTCAAACGAAATAAAAAATGGCACATGTTTATGCGGATCGGTTTCCCAATCGAGTGCAACCAACCCCTCGTGCCTTTGTTAATGTAGTACAACGGGCTCGTGAATCAGGTGACTTAAGACTTCACAGGGGACCTCACGATCAAATACAGGTCCGCACTGAAATACTTGTCGGGAGGATACTTTATAAAACAAGGTAAACATTTTTTTTATTTTTACACACATATTTTGGTTTATCTTCCTTCTACAATCATTATCTGAAAATTAATGACTCAACTTCAAAGTCACCCTGTATAACTGACTGGTTTAAATTGCGCGCCATTTTTGATATACGCATTTCAGTAAGTGGCACTGTAGTAGTTGTTTAAAGCACATGTGCCCAATTCATCATGGAGCGCTACACGATCCCACAACGCGTCCGTATTGTTAAAACATTTTACTTAAATAATGAGTCGATTGTTGCAACGATTCGGAAGCTACGACAAGATTTCGGTCGAAATAATGTGCCCAGTGTCAACACAATTCGTCAGTTGGTGCGGAAATTTGAACAAATTGGTGAAGTTAAAGACTTGCCAAGGTCGGGCCATGTTCGAACTCCGGAAGATATTGACAGTTCGTGAAAGTGTAGTGGAGCGCCCTGAGTTGTCTGCCAGACATCGTTCTCAAGAACTGGGTATTCGTCGCACGTCATTATGCACTAATTTAAAAAAAGACTTGCATTTGCGGCCATACAAAATACAGTTAACCCAAGAACTACAGCCTAGTGACCATTAAAGCCGCCGACAATACAGACATGCAATATTGCAGCATTATTACCCAAAATAACGATTTTTGTCGACAACTGATAAAACGAGCGATGAAGCCCACTTCGATATGAACGGATTTGTTAATAAGCAGGATTGTCGTATCTGGGCATTAGAGAACCCTCGTGTCATCCATCAACGACCACGACATCCTCGTCGAGTCACAGTTTGGTGCGGTGTTTAGTATGGAGGTGTCATTGGACCTTACTTCTTACCAAAAAGTGATGAAAATGAAGAGGGCTCAGGTTTGCGCGGTGTCTAGAGGCGGACTTTTGTTTGATATTATTTTTCATACATAATTTTTAATAAAAGATCAAGATGAAAAAATGGACGTATACATATCAGCATCCATATAGTAAAAAAAATGCACCCGCTCACCGTGTTGAAAGAGCGAAGCTTTTGGTGTACATAAACAGGAAATTTTTGTATTCTGACATTCGATATAGGGAATATGAAATATTTTTGTTTTTGCTTTCATTTTAGTGAATCCCTTGTAGGACATGTATACAAAAGATTTAAAACTAAATTTTTGATAAAAATGCTGTTTTCAGTTGATAATCCCAATTTTCGCGTGAAAACGGATCAATAGATATGATGACTTCACTCCTGCTAACAAAACGTTGTGCTTTCGGCGACTTCGCGATTGATAATTGACCATAGCCTTATAAGCAGGTGGGATGTCACTGACTCTGTTTTGAGTTTCCGTTTCGAGAAAATATACCTAACTCTTATTTGAAAACAGCTACCTATGCAGATTCCTCAGATTTTCCTATATACCACTACACACAAAACTAGGTATTAATGGTAATATTCTTGATTTCGATTTCATTATCAACCTTGTCTTTCGGATATGCATTATTTCTTGGCTTACCCATATACCCATATTTCCCCCAATTGGCTCCCTGCCAAATGATGTAGTCCTCAAAAAGCCTCTTTAACAAAGCCGTTGAATTCTTCCTTAAAGTGTGTGCTGTAGTTTCGTCACAGTTTTGGATGGTTTTTCACAACTCTCATAAGAAAATTGTTGCAGCGCATTGATTACCAGTCATGCAAACATAACTTTCTTTTAAACTCGGAAGTAAATGTTCGATAGTTCCACCCATCAATACTATACGAAGGTACAATAGTGTAGTAGTGGCTTATTTCTGGTATTGAGTGTTAAAAACATCAATCGTTAAAATGACGATATACTCGCTGATATCAAACAATAGAATTTGATCAAATGCTCCGTGGAGTATCACTACAAATCAAATTCCCCAAGGTATTCCTGCTAAATGATAAGTAACATAAAAAATACAACGTCCATTTTGCGCCACCCTGTATATTATCCTTTCCACATACCTTTGCTATTTCTTGTGCTGCGTCTTAGCACCGGCCCGCTGCGCGTCAGCCTGGACGGCTCCACCGTCGCAGCCGATTGGTGGTGGTGCTGTTGGTGATAGGTACCGCCAGCAGAGGGAGGTGGTGCAACTGGACCTGCCTGCGGTGGTGGATGGGCGTCCTTAAACGCGGACGAAGATTGGCTGCCGCTCGCCCCCAGCGCTGTACTGCTACTACTCTCGGCCGTCCGTTTGACGCCCAACCAGCGATCCTGGTAACCGCGTCTGGTGCTAATGCAATAAAAAGAAATAAGCATTATAATTAGGGTGACAAATTGATGTCTTATTATGCTATACCCTATCTACAATAAGGCCTTCAAGAAAAAGATACATAGGCAGCTGATGATCAGAAGTCAGTAGTGACGCGCGTGGTCCGCGCTTAGAGAACGGTGTCGGCCGACGCACTGCTGGTGGTAGCTAGTATCCCCATAGTTGATTTACTGACTGAGGAAACATGCGCACAAGTTTTAATTCTCTTAAGCTGTTAATCATTTCGTGATCAGTGAATTGTCTATTATCGTGGAGTAAATGTATTTTAATTTCAGTTTTTATTCGAGTTTTAACACAAGTATGCATGATTTCTTTTTAAGCTTTTAACCATTTGTCCTCACTGCTCGATGTTTATTGTGTTTTTATATGTATTCCATATAACAGATTCTCCTACCGTTTTTTATATCAGCTTCAATGATGTTTATCCGCTAGACGAACATTTTTTGTGATAAAAGTCGCTGTATATGTACATATTTTCACCGTTACGGATTAAACACATTTAGATTATTGCGCTGTACCTATATTGCGATTTATAATGTTATACACTTTTTTGTAATTGTAATGTCCTTATTTATTTTATATTTATACGTATTTTTCCGGCCTGCCTAGAGATGGAGGAGCTTTCTTTTAGTTCCAGTCCAAATTTGAAGTCAATGGCACTTTGGTTCAGGTTTTATGCGTATTTTTATAAAATAACTTTTCTAGTGGTGTCTAGAAAAGAGCGACTCACATTACGAGCAAACAGTTGTGATACAATTATTTTTAGGAAATCTGGCGAAAAAGCAATCAATTAAAACCTCCGAATAGCATGCGTAAGTTGCTACCTCTTTCCTTTTGCACGCATTATTCACGTCTCATAGGCGCTTAAGCGTTCGTGCATTGTCTCACCAGTTAAATATCAACAACCCCTAACCAACAATTTTCAGAAATTGATCGGGATCGTCTAAAACGTCCAAAAAAAAAATAAGTATGAGCGATTTTTTTTTTGTTTGTACCGCCACTGGATCGGTTTTCAAATACTACAACGAATATTCGTCCTTGGCATAGTAGTAACATTGTGTAAAGATTTCATCCAAATCCGAGCGGTACTTCTCAAGTTAAGTTATAGGCGGATATAAGATTACCGAACACACTGACTGACACACACAGACCAACAGAAATGAGTGACATCGTTTTTCGTGATGTACATGTCAAATAACATCCAAAAAACATATCTCATTTTCTAAAAATGTTGCCAGTAGGCGAGGAAGTTAAAATGCTAAATATATGAATTGTAAAATATCCAATTTAGTACGATTTCTCATAATGCAAATTTCATCATAATCACTGGATGCGGATGATAGTGTCACCGAGCGGATGTCGGAATGCAATATTTGTGCAATATTAAAATAAACGGACATCCATGAAAACAACAGATATTTACGCAGCAGCGGTAGCGTAGTGGTATACGTTATGGGTCTACTAAATCAACCGCCGTGCGCTGCGCGGGTCTGAATCCCGTCCCAAGAGAATTTTTCTCTTGGCTGTATGTAGATGAGATTGTCGCTAGGTGGTAGGTCTCTGATTGTTGAAGATGGAAGCACCACCTGGCGGATCTATAAGGCGAGGCCAGAATGTGTGCATCTTGCATGCACACGTGTTCCCTCGCTAGAGCCCATGTGACGCCCCCCCCCCCCTTCCTTTGTATCCCCCTATAGCCCCAGGGCACACATGGGTGTTTAGGCGTGAGGCCTTCATGGCGGTGTAAGTATAACAAAAATATTTAGTCGATTCGAGTTTAGGAACAATTTGGAATTCAACCTGACTTGACTGTCACATGATGACAGCAAAATATATGTACTTTTGCCAGGCCTCAGTTGACTCCGTACGAGAGTTTTCACCATAGAGGCCACACGCCTATATCCCACTATCAGTCCGACGATGTTTTCCTTTTTGACCAACGCGTGCGAAGTGATCAATTCAGTCACCCCCACTATGGGGTCAGCAAAAAATGTCAAAGATGGCCTAGCTGGCAGGCTCCGCTTCCCAGCCGTTACTACCATATTACAAAATTTGTTTTTTTTTTTCTATTTGTCGGCACGAATCGATACAAGGTAAGTTTAAATGCGGAGAGCACGTTAAAATCTACGAACCTCACCTAACCTAAGTAGGTTCAAAATTGTAAATTATACAACTTACCTTGATCCGCTACTGCTTCCACCTGCGAAAGGAGCAGCAGTAGTACCGTGTAAAGTACTACTTAATGAGGACTTATCGATAGAGTCGCAACTAGCGCCACCACTGGTTGAAGTACTGCCGCTAATTTCTCTAGCCGTTGATAATCTGCCCTGGCTGCGCAGTGGATACTTATGGGGCTATAATCAAGAACAAGAATGTTGACCACAAAAAACACGAATGAGTGAAGAGATTTTATACTGTATATATGTTATCACAAATACTATAAGTTCATGGCATAAATCGGCGTAACTGGACATGACAACACTGGACTGGTGTTGGTGAATGCTTTGGTACAGCAGGAACAGGGGTTAAATCACAGTCGCAAACTGCTACGAGAACAGTACCTAGCCTCTGTTGATATTCATAATCCCTATGGTGCTTCGATTGTGTAATGAACTGTACGAAACATGATAATATCCCATACAAGGATAAAAAATACGCAGTTAGCCATATGATGCGATTCACATTTACAGAGGTGTAATATCTTAATTTTTAAACACCTTATAGCAAAACAAAACTAGTAAACATCAGTGGATGTAATAAGATGTATTAAAGGAAATTGCATTCAAAGTAAACATTTACGCAACGAATTTTCAAGCTAATTGCAAGGAATCATTTAGCAATAACAATATGTTAAAAAGTTACAATTTATGTTTACAGGATTCTGTCACATTTAAATGTGTTTCATAACAGTATGTATCTTAAATTATAAATACATAGTATGGCTGTCATTAATGCCTGTGGCCTGTTTGTAGCCTTTTTAATTGAAATTAACGAGACACGATATTTGAATGTATCATACTAACAAAGTGTATCTTGTTTCTACAAAACGTCAAAGAAAAAACAACAGACATGCAGTATTTAAGATCAGGTTTGTTTCGTTTTAAACATTTTGTTTTAATCAGTTGTTTAAACATGTTTTACACATTTGCTTAGGTTTGAAACAGTTTTTGTTTAAAACATGTTTCTTTATTAATATAATAAATAAAAACAGGAAATGTTCTAAATTACATTATACAAACTTTTTAACATAAATATTGTTTATTTATTAATAATAGGAACACAACAAAAATTGGAAAACTTAAACATTTTGCATACAAGCGTTAACAAATTCCCCACACTCTTCCAGTCTCATAGTCATCTAAGTCATCAATCCGATATCTGATCAGTCACGACATCACTGATGGAATTAAGCTCTTAAAAATTGATACTAACTTAGCAGCTTTGAAATTGCATAGCCGATTACGTAGTTTTGAATGGACTAATCTGTATGATGAGAAGAGTCTTTCTATGTTGGCTGACGATGCAATAGCTGTATGAAGCTGTTGAGCAAGATCCAAGGCTGTGGTATATATTTCATAGAACGCCACCATGCGAATGGTTTTACATTCTTAATTAGATGTCTAGAAAACATAGATGGTTTGGAGGGTACACACTTTGCCTGGTAACTAATAATAATGGATGATAGGTTTCTACATATTCCATGCCAGTTTCTATTTGCCCTTGACTAAGTTTATTGCCTCTAAAGCGATGATCAAGCAAATTTGCCAAAAAATGAGCTGGGGCCATTTTCATACGCTCCTCGACTTTATTCGTATCACTTACCGAATATTCTCGATTTGTTTGTTTAGTCTCGAATGCTTCTAAAAATTCTAGCCCTATCTTTGTAGACTCTCCTATAGTGCAAGTGTTTCTTTGGACTTTCTCCAAAGCACATGCGACATACTTTAATTTTTTTAAATAGTCTTCGGAATTTGTCTTTAAATTGGTAAAAACTTAAAATTCAAAGTTACCTGTATTATTATCTGGGTAAACATTCTTTGAATATTTTTGAGTTTTGAATTGAAAATAATGTTTTTTCTAAGTTTTATTTGTTTAAAACATAAAATTTAAAAACAAAAAAAAACATGTTTAAAGCAAAAAAAACGTTTAAAACAAAAAAACATGTTTTGTATAAAATAAAGAAATAGATTTTTTTTTTCAACCCTGATTAAGATCTCCTGACAAAGTGCCTGTATCTTAATGTAACACCTGAAATTTATCCTGTAGTTTTCATGTTGATAATTAACAGTAATCAAAACAAATGTGATTTAGTGGCCAGACAATGGAGTCCTACTGACTGTATCTTGTTTAAATCAAAAATAGTTTAATTTTAGCATACACCAACAAGCCAATATACACCTACTGCTTAAGAACACAATATACACATACCTATGTGTATTTGAAAAAACACTCACCTGTGGATAAGTCAAATTGTCAGCTGAAGTGCTAGCTTCAAATCTATCTCTGTTCAATGAAAAACTAAATCTCAAATCAGAACTGGAGTTAGCTTTGCTCTTCTTGTGCAGCTTAATGTGCTTTGCTTTTGACTCGTTAGTAGCCAAAGTGAATGTATTGTTCTTTGATTTGCTTGTTCCCTTTTCTTTATCAATTTTCTCCTCACTGTTGTGTCTCGCAGCAGGCGAAGAAGATCCTCTTCTGTGTTTCTTGTGTCTTTTACTAAAGAAGAGATAAATTGTAATCCATTAACGTTATCATACATAGGAAAAATGTTTCCGAATATGATCATCATTAATAGATACAAAACAAATAGAGATGAACTGAAATATAATTTTCACCAGGACTGATAATTAATCGGCCGATATCCGTATATCAGATGCCAGTAATATCGGCCTAATGGCCATTCATCTCGCTGGTTAGCTGCAACGCAGAACATCTAGGCGCATGACTGATTCGCAAGAGAAGCCTGTTTCGTGAAACAGGTATAACAAAACATTTCCAGAAAAGTTTCATTTGGACATACATACAAAGGAACTTATTTGTTCCATCTGTTATGACTGAAGTGATATTGATTCTGTTGATTGCAGTAATGCTTCTGTTTTGTGGTAGTGGTGGCTGTGAAATAAGAATTAACCCTCATCAACTCAGCAGTGATACTATTTTGTTTGTTTGTTTTAGATTTATTTAGCATTAATGCTACAATATCCATGTTACACAGTATAACGCATAATATATTATGTCTTCAATACTACATATTTTTATACAAAATTTCACTACTATGAATTTTGGTTTTCCATGAAATATTTTTTCAATTTTCCCTTGAACATTTTCAAACTATCACACATCTCGATATCATTACTTAATTTATTAAATTCGTACAATCCCTTTTGAAATACTGACTTGCTCGTTATATTGCAACAACAATTTTGTAAATGGAAGTCTATACTTCCTCTAGTAGAATAACTAGGATACTCATTGTTCTTTCAACATAAAATTTATTCTAGTAAATTTATTTTTATTTAAGACTATTTTCTTAGCTTGGTTTTGTAATATTTGTAATTTTGAAAATACAGTTTCGTTAGCAGTTTTTTTTAAATAGTCCAGCTACCACGTATGCCTAAGGCCTAAACACCCATAGGGAGAGACGCCACACGGACTCTAGCGAGGGAACACGTGCATGCAGCATGCACACATTCTAGCCCCGCCTACGAGTCGTAGTGAACATAAATAATAGTTTACGCTTTTATAGCTAACCGAACTAAAAAGTAGAAAATAATTTTTAATTACAAAGAGTTTATATTACAGCAGTAGATGGTCGAACAATGAATCATAATTAATGACCTCAAAATAAAATTATAATAAAATTCAAGTTATCAACAGAATAATTCAATACAGAGTAAAAAGCGTAGGGTGCTTGATTTATTAAATGTTACAAAAATTCTACTGGCAACTATCTATGAGAGGAGTTATGAAAATGTATTAAAATGCACCAAACGCTTTTTACTGTGAATTGAATTATTCTGTCAATAACTTCAATTTTATTATAATTTTATTATAATTAAATATTATTTTCAGTTCGGTTAGCTATAAAAGCGTGTTTTTTATTTTTTTTAAACTATTATTTATTTTTCATTTTTTAGTTCGATTTATCAATTAGTTTTTTGTGGACATGTGGTATTGAAATGTCTTAAGAATCATTTCACAATCTAATCATTTCATTTAAGGCTTCACTGTTCCATGGGGTTTTACCTGTTAACTTAGATCAATCAAGTTCTTCAATACGAATACCGTCTAAAGATCTTACACGACTAAGTGCTTCATAAGCTTTTCCAGCAGCAAACAGTCGCGAGCCTATATAAATGACTGCATGATCGACTGTACAACCTTGCATCTTGTGGACGGTCGAAGCCCAACTCAGGATTAATGGCAACATTCGCAATGAACAAGGTGAGAATGCACTACCTTGAAAAAGTACCTGCCTCAGTTGTGCTGTGCCGAATGCCCGAACCAACAAAGAGTAAATCCGAAACTGCACGCATGCGCAGATCGCGCGCTAGCTCTATCTCTCTTACTCCCCTACAGAGGATCTATAAAAGAATTTATCAATCCTGCCGGTCCTAATGAGAATAATGGAAAATTGTTACCAAATTGTTGCATTGTTATCAGTCCATGATACGTAAGCGAAGTTTCAGATAAATCAAACTTCTGGAAATTGGAGAAAATTATGCTCAAAGATTCCGTTACATATGCATACATGCCAAGCTTATAAAAGCGTGTTAAAAATAGTCGACCAACATAACAAATGAGGAAGAGTGATAGTGTCGTACACAATTGGTTAGAATAAACGCTTAGGCTATGCAAAATTCTATAAAAGTAATTTATCTTTTTGAATAACTTTGAAATAATACATTCATGGCGCCCTTCAAATTTTAATTCACTCTCTACGTATATGCCCAAACATTTAAATGATTCGATTGACTGAATTGTTTCATGATTAATCGTAAGATTTATCGTATTTTCAACTGAAGATTTTCCTATAAGCATATATTTTGTTTTGTTTGGATTTAATTTGGGTTTATTCACATTTAAAAAATTAATTGTATTTTTCATATCATTATTTAACAGCTCTATTGCAGTCAATGTCTTTAATTGAAATATATATATATATATATATATATATATATATATATATATATAATATAATTAAAATTTTGTAAATATCTTATTTTCTTCAATATATTCAATGATTTGTTCATATATGATTCCTTCTAAGAGCTTCTCGACATACGGCAGTCCACTAATTGGCCGCATGTTTGTAAATAGCTCAGAATTTTTCACTTTAGGAACAGGAGTAATTGTAGAACATTAAATTCGAAGGAAGTTCGCCCTTCAGTAAACAGTGATTCACTAACAATAATAACTTCTCTCCAACAATGTTGAAACATCATTTTAGAACCATTTTTGAAAGATGTTCACTAGGATTTTCATTCAATTTTAATCTGGAAATAGCTTTTGAAAGATGGCTGATGTTTATTGTTTGGAATTGACTCATAGGATGATAAGTAACTTGCATGCGAGATAGGTTTGGATCCCCATATTCAATTGGCTCCACTATCTCGTTTATATTTTCTATAAAATAAGCATTCATTCATTCTGCAATCAATTTTTTTTGTGTTACTTTACCATCTTCGAAGCACATTCTGGATAATTCATTGCTTTTACTAGGAGACACAATATTTTTTAGTGTCTTCCACATCAGTTTACATTGCAATTATAAACACTTGTTTTTTGATTTCTTATATTGTATCCAATCTTCCTCAGTCTGCATGATCATTAACTTTTTATCACTTTCCTAATTTGTGCTTCTCTCATGTAGTTCTCCATACAATCTATGATTTTTGAGAAGTAGGTGTCAGCATCACTAAACATTTCAGTGATATTGGCTTGTAAGAGCGACACTCGTACCGTTTCAAAGTCAATAATTGGGATTTCTCTTGATTCCCTATCATTAAACAAATTTTCCACCTCGAAACATATCCACGAATGATCGCTTATTTTTTGAGTATGTAAAAGCTTAATACTCAAATTCTGTTCATTGGTTATTATTAAATCTATCTTAGTTCGTGTAAAGTTTGTAATACTTGGGTAGTCATTAACTTTTTGCAATAAACCATGAAAGCAGCACCTGTTTAATTTTTTTTTTCATAAAAATCTTGAATATCAATATTTATATTAAAGTCTCCCAAGTGCACAGTGGAGCAATTTCGATTATACTGTTTTTCACAAACACTCTAAAAAAGTCCAAAAATCGGCTAATATTACAGCTTGGAGACCTGTAGTAAACGTGTACATTGTAATTTTGTTGCATCTTGATTTCAAAATTAATATACCATCATTGATAATCAACATTCAGCAGCGATGGCCGCAGTGGTAGTCGCTTCGTCTTCTGATCTGTCGCCCTGAGCTGCCAGGGTTCGAATCCCGTCGAATGCGGAGGTACCACCCGATCTCGTAAGGGGGGCCAGAATTAGTGCATGCTGCATGCACACGTGTTCCCTTGCTAGAGTCCGAGTGCCGTGTAATATATGTTTCAGTCAAAGAACTAATGATTTCACTGATATTAAAAAATGTATAACTTCATCCCTGCGAGATAAAAATTCTTGCATATTTGTATGGTATACATATTTAGTATATTTTTTGGCCTGTAATTACGATCTGTCGCCATAAGAGACTTTTTTTTTTGATTTTTCATAATCCATTTTAACCATGTTGCAGGTATAGTGGAAGGATTCTTTGCAATTTGGACGTGTTATTTCATCTTGTGATATCGCATAGTTCTAGGCCTGATGATCAATCACTATTACCACATTTTAAACGAATACTGGTCTTGGTGCAATTTTCGCTGAGTGCTGAAATCTGCCACAGTTAAAACACCTCAGAAGATCGTAATGCTCAAAAATTGTACAAATATCCATGGACACAATCAATACTCCTGCTTTCATTACTGCTTCAAATGTCGATCTATCCAATTCCAAAATTGCCATATATCCAAATTTCATTTTTTCAATTGCCACTTTAATTGAAGCATCACTATTTATAATGTTGTTTGTCACTTTAAAGTCTCTAACCAATTCTTCATTGTTTTAAGTTTTTACTGAAAGCCACGACTTTAATCAATGGAAATTTCCTTTACTTGCCAAGACTTTCCAACACTTTTTTCTATTTGCAATTTTAATTTTTTAATATCATTGCACCCAATTTACATTGCTTTATCTTTCAGATCCTTTATTTTTTTAATAGACACATTCATTTTTGCTGATTTTTATACTTGCCCAATTCCTTCTTTGTTTGCATACAACTGATTTGTATTGATAGGTTTAATAACAATTGTATTTTCCAGTTGTGATTCCATTTTTAGTATATTTTACCCTTTCTTTTGGAGATGGTGAAGTAATGTTGGTATTTTCATGTATAGAACTTTTGACCATGTCTGCATAAGATATGCTATTTGTAAATTCTCAATTTGTTTATTCAGTTTGTCTATTTTTTCATACAGTTCTATCACTTTTTCTTGTATTGAAATGTCTTTTATCTTTAAAATGTCTATTACAGAAATTCCTTTTTCTTCTTGTGATGGAATTCAAGAAAGAACTTGACCCAGAAAACCTGACAAGTATCAAATATAAAAATCTCTTACTCTCAGTTTATAAAGGAATGAAAGGGATAACAGTGTCTGTCTGAGCTCCAAACTATCAATGTCAATTGGTTGATTAAGGTATGAAAATTCCTGAGAAATGTCCTAATAAAATAAATGAAAATCACCTGTGCAAGATGCTACAAATACAAATTAAAAGATTATTAGACAGTAAAGTTCATGAAAATTGCTATTTGTACATTGCGGTTGCAAAATACTAATTGTCCTAGCAGAATTCAGATGGAGGGGCTTTTTTGGAACTAAAGATCGCCTCTGCTTGGATTTTGATTAATCACCTTGAAAATACTTGGAACTTCTAAAATTTCCTTGGATCTCTTTATATCCACACCTGATAAAATTGTAAGGCCCACTTTTTCTTTCTCTTACAGTTCCAACAGCAGCTATCCACTCTCACAGTGGTCAATTCTGGTAATGGAAGGCACCTTTGTCATCATATTTAGTTTTATCTAGTATATGTGCAAATAAAGCTTATTGATTGATTTAATTATAAATTCACAGTATAGTACCAGGTATAGTACAGATGCAAAACATCTTTGGTAAAAGTAAGAACTACTCACTGAGTACTGGTCTCTGATATGTTGGTGAGAGAGGTAGAGGGACTAGTGCTGTGGTTCCTCAAGTTGTGTTTCTCCTTCAACTCTTGGCCGTGGCGACTGCTCCTCGTGTTGTGTTCAAACTCGATGCCAACAGGCTGATAAACGTGCTGGTGTTTGGATTGCTTCTTGCTCGGTTTCCAATGCAAAGATCTATCCTTGAAGACGTTTGTAGCAGACGTTGACGGTAAATCGGCCAGAGATTTTGATGTGGATGTGCTGTAGTCGTGCTGTTGTTTGTCGTGCTTCTTTGAAGTGGATTGTCCGGGTTTCGTGGGTTTTGACTGCAAGAGAAAATAATCATGTTATAAAACGACCTTTTTCAGTACTTTAGCGATAGATTAGATTTACTTATAACCTTGTATAGTTTTACTAATTCAAAGTCAGATTTATTCTTCCTACATTAATTATTGCAATATATTCAAATATGTAAATATGCGCAAGTCTAGTGAATGACTTGTTCTCACTATGCTGCATGAGTAACAACATATAAAACAAGAAACTAATTTTGACAATTTAAAACAAGGCTCTATCTACGAGTATAAATGTTCTTGTTTAATCAGAATTATATGAATTGTTTATTCACTTTTGAAAACTGTTATTCTAGTCTACTTTTTTATAAGTCACACATATCAATAGAACTCAAACAAGACTTCTAGAAATGTGAAAAAAGCCTCAAGCAAGTTCTCCTGAACTTTTAAATATTTATTAGGATCTTTTAATCGATACAAGTTCTCAATTTTTGGGAAATTATTTATATGAATAACAATCTTTATTACAACAGGATATACCCAATCACAGGAACAATAAAATCAGAAGTGATATCACAAACACATCAGACATACATGTAGTACAAAAGTATAAGTAAAAGTAAATAAGTATAAATAAAGTAAATACAAAAAAAAAAATAGAGACAAAATATAATAAAAATCACATTGCAATGCGCATCTCAACGTCCCACCACAGCATAATTATGTCTAAGATTAGCCAGAATTACATCCAGAGCATCACAATTAATATCACAGCTCATGCAAAATTTATCAAAAGAAGTGCACATTCTATTTATATTTGTCTTGCCATTTGGGTTGTAAAAAGTTACAGTGTAGTGTGTAACTCTTACAGGTACTGCAAAATTAACTTTAAACAGTAAGTCTGGGCAGTCCAACTTATTATTTACTAGATTGTTGACGACTGTAACCTCATTAATATGACGACGGTATGCTAAAGTATCATAATTGAATAATTCGAGTAGTTGTGTAGTTGTGTGGAAACCCCCTTTCAGGGTCGTATCCATACTCTTGCATATATTTTAAGCTCTGGCATTGAACTGATTCCATCGCTGGCGTTGCATTTTGATACAATGACGACCAAATCAATGAGGCATACTCTAGTTTAGTTCTTATAAAAGATGTATGTACTGGTTTGAGACTTCTTACATCTGCAAAGCTTGACCAGTTTCTAATACAATATCCCAATATCTTATTTGACTTTGCAACCATTTTTCTCATTTGTTCTGCAAATGTGAGCATACTATCAGAAAGTACCCCTAATGATGAACATCTTTCTATTTCAATGTTGTTGATATAATATGAAAAATGAATGGGGTTCACCTTACGAGAAAAGGTTAAGATTTTACATTTGTTTATGTCGAGTTTGTTGTTGTTCTAGGTTGATATTCAAAATATGCTTTGATCAATTCATTTATCTTTCATCTAAAATTATAGTTTTTGATAAGTCTCTACAATATTTTTGACTCATACTTCATTTTGAACAAGATTTGTAACTATTATAATAAGGTTCAACTAACATTTCATTTAAACATCTATTAAAATATGAAAGCCATAAAGCAATATTATTATATTTGACATCGTCAGTTTCAAATACACTTAACTAAAAATATGTTTGAGAATACATTAAGCTTAACTCTACAAATATCTGATTTATTGAATGTGTGAGGCTATCGCTGTATTGAATACTTATTTTCAAATGCATAAATGCCATATCATTTTTTATGTTGGCATTATAGCTTCATTACTAATTGTTAGTTCAGCATTGTTGGGAAGCTGCAAATCAATTTTCATAATATAATTCCTGCCATCTTGTTCAAAGGCTAAAAATCAAGATCTATATGGCCTATAAGTCTATATCTGTACTCTCCTTCAGGTAAAAATAATTAAAAATACTTTAGTATTTCAGTGTTTTACCTATATATGGTTTACACACAAAGCAATATTCAAATATAGAACTGAACAAAAATGTATCATTACAACATATTACAACAGTATACCATATAATAGTTAAAAATGTTTAGTAGATTATTCATGAATACCTTAAGAAGTTTTTATCAAGCTGTGCTGATAAACAAAGTTTAGTCATTAAAAATTATTACAAATTTCAGAATTAATCTTCATTTTTTATCTTAGCTGTATATTTAAATTTCTTAAAAATTCAACATAAAACATCAGAATTTACAAAACATTGCAGTACTATCTTAACAACTAAAAAATAATACAAAGTAATATTTTTACTGAGCCCTGTTACATTTGTATCACACACTTATTGATGAAATTATTCCAATATTTATTACTAACTAAAAATGATAATGTACATATGATTTCTATGTTAGCCTTTAGTAAAAAACATAATACAACCATTTATTATTAGATACTGAGTCAATGTTTGAGGTAAAGCAGATTAGCTATTCTTTCAAAAATTATGCATTTCTGTTAGCATATATTCCAAATATAGTTGCATTCAAAATGATATTAATAAATGTATTTTTGATTAATAATTTCCTTATGTGTATTTGAAGTTAATAAGCAGCATGATAAGTTGTAAATAATGGAATTAGTAGATAAGATTATTATAACTTAGCAATAAGAGAAAGTAAAATAGCAAGCTCACTATGAACTTTTATGAGCTTTTATTTAAAATTATATGAATTCACCTATAAGAACATCTATTTGGGCAAACATTCTATTACCAGATCCAATTTAAAACAAAGCCAATTATGTGATATATCCTATTATAAGGGATGACCATTTATTGTGAGAAGCTTCTAACAATTATGCAGATTAAAATTCTGAATATCTCAATATCAAATGGTTTTTGCAAAGTGGGATGTACTTATTTAATATACATTTATTATCCCCACTATATTCAACTTTGAACATAATGAAATACAAATAAAAGTAAAAAAACATCAATTAAGTTGATTGTTAAAATATACTAAACAAAAGAAGCTTTTTCAAGGTTTTACCTTCAAATATTTCCAATGTATCAAGCACAGGTGTAAATGTGAACAATTTTAAAAGTGGATAATAGTTGTATTTTTTTATAATAAATGATTTAAAAACAATATGTAGAATAAGAAATATAAATGGATAACTTACTTTCTGTGATGTGTGTGAATTCTTCTTATCAGGGCTGATGTCTTCTTGTGAGGAGGTCCTAAGACGCTTGGCCTCAGCACGTGGCTGCGTTGGCAGCACACGCTTGCGGCGGCTAGTGCTGGCAGCAGCGACAATGTTAGCTGGATCTGCCATAGACGAAGAGTTCTAAGCTCCTCCACTTACCAGTGACACTCATTCCCTTGTAATTCAACTATCTCTTGGATTTCTATGCAATACTGCAAAAAGTAATTGTTCATTAAAATTGGCAAATGATGACACATTTATTCCTCAACAATTTAATCTCTGTTCTATTGATTTTCAGATTTTTGAAACTTGTGGAAGTTGAACAGACACCTAGATGATTACAGGGTAATATATGAGTATTACAAATGATTATTGTTTGCACAAAAACCTTACAAACTCGTATAATTTTGCGTATTTTTCTTAGTACGTCTCAATTGACGCACACAAAGGAAGATAAGGTAGGTATCCATTTCACGTTTACATATATGCGACATTGAAATTACAATGAAATAAACCTATCAAGTTCCTGTCTCAGATGAACATTTTCGAAGGAAAATCTATCAATTCGCGTTTCATTAGCACTAAATATTACCCCGTTGCAACGCCTTTTCACGATAAGAACCACTGCAATGATGTAGTGCAAGTAATGACAAAAAAAACTAAAAATTTTGGGCGAAAATAATTTCGATCTACACTGTCAACTTTGCAACAAGGCAGCCTTGTGTAGCCATTCCATGATCAGCCAAATTCCCTATAGCGTTGCAAAACCCATTGTAGTGGCTCAAAAACATGAATATTCAGAAAGAATAGAAAACTATACATTTAAAAACAACATTCCACGCCCAAAAAACTTACTGTGGTTTTAAATTCATCACAAAATTGTACGACAAAACATATGATCGGTAATACACCATTATCCCGTTTTAGTATGCGTGATTTGATAAGCAAGTTACAAGTTTCTGAGCTTGCACGGCCATCTGTCTTCTACACGATCAATTTCATAAAATTATCAAGATTGCTTGATTTTTCACAGCGCCAGCTAACGAAGAAAAGCTTAATAGTTTGTCATCTATACGAAAATAGTCAAAGCATCGAACACTTGATTAACTTTATTACAGGTTCCTAATTCCTATTGCAGAACCAAATTAGCAGAGCTGTTGGTATTTATAAAAACAAACATTAACCTCACTTTTCCGGAAACGTCAAAATGTTTTGGTAAAACAAAGTGGAAAAGTTGGTTTTAAAAATGTTTCTGCTGAATAAAACCATATTGCGGATCATGATACCAATACCAAAAAATGCTCGCTTTTATTTGCATGTTCAGACAAAGCAGTCAGGTTTGTATGGCAAGTGGGAATGATAAATGGACCAGTATTTTGAATGCCTATATATTTTCAGTCCTTAAAGAGTGCCCCCCATATTTCAGTTTATGCAAACATTTTGAAAATAATGAAGGTATGGCAGAAGAGTTAGTTAGTAGTATGGTAGTACATAATGACTTTTTGAATATTGAAGACGAACAATCAATAATGGATGAAATAGACCCATATATGAAAAAGCTAAGGTATGAATTCGACCATTGGGATGATGTAAGTGCAGTTTTCTTTACTGCATTGCTAACATTTTTTTATTTTTTGTTTGTCTTGTTGCAGGCCATCCATGGTTATAGAGAGACAGAAAGGCTGAAATGGAATGACAAAAATGATAAAACTCTTGATAGGGTGCGAGGACTTGCTTTTCCACCAAATGTATCACCTCTAAAGTTTGTTCATATCTTAGATTTAGACAAAAACGGGTATATCAAACCGCACATTGATGCTGTGAGGGTATGTATATATATTTAACCTAGGTCTTGGGTTATAAAACCTCTCAAAAATGCTTCAGATGTACTACATACATAGTTTTAGCTAATCCAATGAACGGCATATTTCAAGCGGTATACATATTTGGTCTTTATTGTAGTTTTGTGGGGATACAATAGCAGGCCTTAGTTTGCTGACAGATAGTATTATGAGATTGGTGCATGACAAACAAAAGCAACTGTATGCAGACATTCTGTTAAAACGTAGGTCATTGTATATTATGAAAGGCACTGCTCGTTTTGATTATACTCATGAAATATTGAGCAATGATCATAGTGTATTCAAGGGCGAGAAAATATTCAAAGATAGAAGGATTTCTGTGATATGTAGGAATGAACCTGATACTAAGCATAAAGATGCTTGATATAGAAACATTTCTATAGGTATGTATATGTATAGAAATAAATTATATTTTGTGGCATGACAGTCCCCTGCTCGAAGAAAACTTTCCATATTACTAAATCCTTGTTTCCTTATACAGCTGAGGGTTTAGCGAGTCATGGGGATATTAAATGTCTATTACATAAGTTTATTGATTTATTTATTAGCATACAAAACCCTATACAAAAATCAGTCTCAAAATAATACATCAAATTATGTATATCAATAAAAAAGACAGCTTTTCACTTTTTAATGACTGCACAATGTACACTATACAGCACAATTTTCAACAAAAATGTATTTATCCATCTGTCAGTTTTCCAGCTTTTCTCCTTTATCAGTTACAATTTTAAAGTGTGTCTTATCCAACCTAAATATTTTGCAATATCAGTAAATACAGCAAAATGATGGGTATCACAGCTGCTTTGAAAACCTTTAGCCAATGAGACTAATCCTCTCAGTTGCCATACTGGATTCATTGGATTAGAGTTTGGTTTTGGCAATACCATACCTCCACCTGAGTCACCTTCACATACTAATGTACCTAAAAAAATAATCACATTAAAATGTAATTACACACTTTCCACTCGAAAATCATGTCTATTCCAATGTATAACATTCTAAAATGAAGTTATACATTTAGAAAGGTTCCATGTTCAGACTTCTGAAGCAACCTCTCTAATCATCATTCAAACCAGATTTTACTTTACCTACAGACAATCTTGGTAAAGGGGTTGCTCCAGACAAAGGTTTCCCTCACCTATACTATAACTATCTAAAACTGTAATGACTCATCGATGTTCACGTGAACATCACTTAACTACCAGTAGTCGGCTGTTCATAGGCGGGGTATGAATGTTTAACATGGGTGAACTAGATTTGTCACATGCTTAATAAAGAGTGGTTTAAAACATATTGTAAGTCAAAAATTTGGGAATTACCTTTATTCATCGCTTCCACTTACATCTGACAGTAATAAACTGTCGCTATCGCTTTCCTCGTTGAAATTGACTGTAACTGGCTCTATGATGGTGTCGATGTGGTGGTCAAGCTGCCACATTTTTGTTTCTTCCTTCACAACATGACGGATAGCATTCTGCCAAGCTTCGGGCGTTACTAGCTGTATGGAAGTCTCAAGTAAAACCTTAACGTCTGGTAATTTGAAGGTTGTGTTATGGCGCGCAATATAACCCTTCACTTGAGCCCAGATGAGCTCTATTGGGTTCAGTTCACAGTGGTAGGGCGGTAACCGCAGCACAGTGACACCCACATTGACGGGCCATCTCATCAGTCACGTAACTAATGTTCGCAGGTTTGTGCTGTTTAATTTTTTCATACAATTCCGATTTCACACATGAATCGTCAAACGGGATTCCTTTTTCGCGCAACCATTGCTGCATGTCACTTTTTCGAGATCCCATAGTCGGTACACGTTCGGCTCGACGACTATGGTAGGAAGCATTATCCATCACGATCACAGAGTTGGGCTCAACTCGCTGAAGCACCACTTGAAACCAGCTCTTGAAGCAGCTGGCATTCATTTGGTCATGGTAATCACCTCCTTTCTTAGAGACGAAAATCAAGTCACACTCTTCTAAAAAGCCACTATCGCTACCAATATGAGTTACGATCAATCTTTGACCTTTCCCTGACGGTCCACGAAGACCTGTTGACAAACCTTCAATGCTTGCTTGTCGGTTACTCACTACGTTTTTATCTATCCAGGTTTTTTTAACTTTGTGACGTGCATTTACCCATGTCTCGTACAAATAATAGATTTTTCTGCTTTGTCGCCTATATTCAATCATTTCGCGTAGGTATTTTCGACGCCAGGCGACTATTTCAGGTCTCTCTATCAATACTGACTTCCGATTACGCGTTTCGTAACGAAAATTAATTTCGTGCAGGGATTTCCTCATTACCTCGACGCTCATTTGGGGTATAATTTCATTTTCCTTGATCGCTGCATGTACAGCCTTGAGGGTTGGTATCTCATTCCTAAAGAAGAATGAATGTACGGTACGAATTAACGCCATTTTGCTATCGTCATCCAATTTAACGGCCTTTCGTCCCTTCAAATTAAACTTTGGATCAGTAGTAGCTTCAGTTTTCTTCTTTTCATGCACCACCCTGCGAATGGTCCACTCTGGAACGCCTGTCATACTTTCACATCGCGCGAGTGCATCTCCCTGCGACAAAGTTCTGTTCAGATAATTGAATACGTTGACCACGATTTCTTTCGCGTCCCTCTTCAGTGCTTTACGAAGCCGTCTACTTGTTCCCTGGCTTTCAGTACTTCCACTCGTGCCATTTGAACTCTCCATGGGTAAGTATAACCAAAACAGTAACCACATAAACCACAACAATAACAATCACACAACAATTCTGATAAAAACACACAATATGCGATCGCTCAACGAAACACGTTCCAATGCGTTGCCGACGCCTATGAGTCTGCCGGTCGAGGCACGTCTTTGATTTCATTGGTTCTACCGGCGCAGAACAATCAGCCATTATTTCCATCTCTGTCTGTGCTGTTGACCACCGCAAAGCCACAGAAACGACATATGTCGTACGCTATACGGCTGTACTGGAAGGAAGCCGGGATCGAGCTCTGATCACGTGTTGATCACGCGTATGAGTGATTACAGTTTTAAATAGTTGTAGTATAGTACAGTACTGCTTGTTATTGTAGTCTTATTTTGACCTTACATCTGATCTCTATTAAGTTTTATGTTTTATGCTTACCGTTTCTGAAGCCAGCACAGAAAGTTTTTTCTGATGTGAATCTAGCAAAGAAATCTGGATTGGAGTATATACACGTGGTTAGTGGAACAACAGGCATCTCAGTCTTGGTTAAAATGTTGTTGAGTTGTCTGGTATGATCGAATCCCCACCCTATTACAGTTCCTGGAATTACAAATCAATCATGTGTATTTCTTCACAGTGTACCCGTCAGAGGTTTGACCATTGCTATCCAACGTAAAATACGGAATACTTATAAGAATTTGCAAAGTTATGCATTTAGCAGAAGCAGTTGCGTCCAACAAATTTACAAATTTTCATGTTCATTGACAAAGCACCCTGGTGGTCTAAGATATCCCACCACTTTAGTTGCAAGGAAACTGCTGCGGTACAAACTTATGGGACATTGAACATATACCTATGCGCCGCATAGTATACGAAATTAAATAATTTAGTATTGCTAACCATGATACTAAAATTGTCGAAATCATGGGTATCGTTTTTACAAAATGTCTAACAATATCCCATGCGTGATCCTCCTTTACTCTTTGAACACAGTTTCCACCTAGGGTGACAAAATCTAGGATTCAGTAGCTATATCCATTCTGCCAAAATAACTCACTATTACAGGGTGTCCGCAAAGTTGGAGTTTTCCTTTACACGACGTGTAGTCTTGAAAACATAAGCAATTTTTCTTAGTACCATATACACCAATGTCTTAAGGGAACCGAGATAAAGGGCTCTGCAACATCAAAAATATCTGAATACCGTCCTGTAGCCGCGACCCGCGACATCCCCAAGTGGTACTAGGACACTAGCTCAACCCGACGACAGAACTGGGTCGGGGTCAGTGTGTCAGGTCAGTATGCAACCTTCAACCGACGGTTACGGTCACGCGTGTAGAGGTAATCGCGTAGATGCGAATCCCTCAACAAGCACTAGAGACGTGGCTAGAGAAGTGCAAGTATCAAAAACTAAAGTGTGGCAAACGCTGCGTGAAGAGGGGCTGTATCCGTTTCACGTCCAACGTGTACAAGCCCTTCAACCTGACGATTTTCCAGCAAGAGTGCGGTTTTGTGAGTGGTAGTTGCATCAACATGACAATAATCCGGACTTTTTGAAGTGCATATTGGTGACAGACGAATCTACGTTCACGCGTAATGGGGTGAATAACTTTCGCAAAACACTCATGTTTTGTCAGTAGAAAATCCGCACGCTGTCCGTCGGGCACATTTTCAACAAACATTTTCGGTGAATGTTTGGGCTGGCATGGTGGACGGTATGCTGATTGGACCATTTATTCTCCCAAATCGATTGGACGGGATGCAATACCTAGACTTTTTACGCAACATTTTGCCTTCCTTGTTTGCCTGCGTCTGCTCGGTAGCGCATCAGCTGATTTCATTTTCTGTTGGAGCGGTACGATTTCGGGCAGAGACGTACTTAGCCCTTCTCGTCAACTGGAGAGTGAGTACTTTTTCCTTTATTTTTTTTTACTTGGTCGCCCTCGTTTCACTACACATTACCTTTGTTATTTCAAGGGTAGTTGTTTCTGAAAAGGAAAACCCCAACTTTGCGGACACCCTGTATATCCCTTTTGACAGTCTGTCAGTTTTATTAGAAAATGTAAGTGATGGAGACTATTCTTACCTTGCTTTCCTGCGATTTCCTCTACGCTTGTGTCTCCTCCCCAAATACAGACTGGTCTAACGTAGTTCGTGATTCTAACGTCTGAACTTAGTTTGATTATCGCCAAATCATTCTTCAACTCTGGTGAGTAGTAATCTTCGTGAACTTTTATAAACTCTGGTGAATAGGTTTGGAGTCCAGGAGACTTGAAACTGTCTAAGTAGTATTTACCTAAAAAATATATCGTCAGGTAGGTTGAATTATAACTTTCCAATGCCGTGCATTTTCATGTTACGCACGCAAAAAGTTGTTTTCATATTTTCATTTTCGACAGCAGTTCAAAGACGGCGACACGAGCTATATGTATTATAATATGTATGCAAGTCGATTCAAAAAGTAGAAGCAATATCTATGGAAAAGTTCTTATAAACATGGCCCCCGAGATCGAAAAAATATATATCTTCAGTGTGGTTTAACATATTGTCCTAAATTTTGTACATGCACTAACAGCATAGTCAATTCATACAAACATTTTCGTGCCCGAGACCACCAGTGCTTACAAAAGACAATTATTTTCTACACCACTGTCTTTCTTGAAACAATTTTTGTACTTATGAGTGAGGTATTCAATTTTACATGAACCCCCTTCAACAGACTTCAACACGTATACTTTGAAAATACTCCGAATATTGGCATTTTAAATTGACAGTAATCAAAATCTCACGATGGCATTGTTTGAACAATATTCTTGTTTTGTCCTTATTCAGTTTCGTCAGTGGCGTAGAAATTTGTATCTTGGTGATGGGACCAATGTTTACTGCAGGTGCTTTGTTATTTTTGAGTGTATTTTCTACTATAGAATAATTGGCACCTCAAGCAATCATGCCTCAGTCAATCCATTAATTTACACTTTGATGCTGAGTTTGCGTGAAATTTCATGTGGCGTGACAGACAGTACTTATAACAATAACATTACATTAACATTATAAACCGATGTTAATGTAGTAATAATAATAATAATAATAATAATAATAATAATAGTAATAATAATAATGTTGTAGCTTAAAGCTTAATAGATCCCCATTTTGTTATCATAGGCTTACCTAAATATATAACTAGTCTGTCAGTGGAAATGGTCTCTGTGGTGCCCCTTCCAGTAGTGACACAATGTGCTACAGTGATCAAATGCCTTATAGTGATGAGCGAAGCTCCACAACTGTAAAGGAGTCTTCCCTTTTCCGAGCGATAGAGCGCAGCATGCCATGGAAATTCTCCCTCATCGGTTTGTTGACCATAAGTTATCAGTGCTTTCGGAGGCTGAAATAAATACAAAAATGGCGTCAAGTAAATTGACTATGTGCGTCCTATACAGTTCTCGATAAATGGATTTTGAATGTTGCAGCAAGTATAGTATCTTAAGTCAATTTTTGCACACTCTGCTATCTTTATCATTCGACGGCTGCGAATATCCTTGTACTCTGACATAGGACCGTAGAGCAGAATAGGTATAAGTGAAAAACAGTATTGCTGATTTAAAAAAGTGAAAATATGGACTTTCGATGCCTGAGTCAAGTTCTTTATATTTTGGTATATTTACTATTCGCCAGACATGCACCTCTATAACGCTGTGACTGAGGTAACGCCGGCATTGCTGAATTCGAATCGGACCCTCCGCAGGCAAAGGATATCACATGTACCTTGATAGTTGGTGTTGCTGGAGTCGCAGACGTAAACATGTGAAATATGTGTGATATAGTGTCTTACAGACAGGTGTAATACTACCGACACCACAAATATCTGACATTCATCATGGCGTCGTCAGTAAAATGCTTGTCTTCAATCAATATTGAAGTTAAGTTCTTATGCTTAGATAACCAAATTCGAAGACTCCTTGTCGCATGTGTCATAAAAGTGGGCTAGTTCATAATGAAAACATTTACCTCAGAAATTCAGAAACATTACCTGTATATTTATAATTTTTCAATCGTCCCGTTTTAATATCCTGACCTATGCATTTCAAAAGCTATACATCCTAGGAACAAGTTTAAAAAAAAATGGAGTTTCAAGCGGGCAAAATGATGGTAACGTCCTTGACCGTTAAGGTAATTTTAATGAGAAGTTAATATTTTCAAATAAAATCACCCTTTTTACACAGAATTTAAAAGAGGACGAAATTTCACGCCCGAACATGATCATCAACATGACGTTGACCATTTCCTCCAAGGTCTAATCAAGATGTTGAAAGCAATTTGCTCTGGCAAAAATGTTCGACAGCACAGTTGTGAGGCTTGTGGAGATCACCCAAATGTGACTTTGGCCATGTCATTAAAGGTTAAGTCAGAAATTCCATAGGAAACCTCTCATTTTTACATTGAAAATGAAAAAAGCAGGCACATTCGGACGTAAATTTTTCTGGTTTTTCCATTCCCAGCATAAAAATGAAATGGTTTCCCTTGTAAATTTTGACTCGACTTCGAAGGTCATGGTTAAGCTCATGGTCAAGTTAACTTTTAGGTGATTCCATCAAACCTGCTTTCGTACATTTTTGTTATAGCAAATTGTTTTCGACTTTTCACCCTGAAATTGCCTTGAAGGTGATGGTCAAGATATAATTCAGATGTAAGGTGTCATCCTCTTTTCAGTTCTAACGTGAAAAATGGGGAGTTCCATTTGAAAATATTCACTTGACCTTGAAATGACCTTAAAAGTCGTGGTCATCTTACCTTTACTACAGTTCCACAAATATCAGGTACCTCCAACAGATTGGTAGATTCGTCAAACGCTGCAAAATCTCCTGGAAAGTAATCGCCTTGAGAACGGAAACCAATGCCCAATACATTGTTGGCTTCATTTTGGCCCCCACTAAAACATGAGTTACTCAGAAACAGTTCGCGGTATTTCGGGTTAGTTAATGCTCAGGTGGCAGTATGAAACCAGTCAAAGATCGATTAGGTAGTTCCCTAATATTATACTTAAGTTTGTCTTTCATAGTATTGTTATAATAAATCGAATATGTCTGACCCTGCCCACAAAACAGTGAATAGCGTGTATAATATAACGTGATTACTGTAGTTGTAGTCACCGTTTTTGGTGGGTCAAAGTAAGACTACCAGTATCCCTTTATATATCTCCATCTCCCTCATACATACACATGCAATCTACCCCTGTGTGTGAACGTTTGTTCGGTGAGCTGAAAGACATACGTTTTTTAGTTGTGAGTCTCCGTCTCGAAAACTTTGTCGTTACGTATGAGGGCCCTTTAATCATATTTGTTAAGAGTGACAACTTACTTGACATCAGCGTGCAATTTAAGTTGCCCCGTTATCAATCTTCAATATAAAATTGTACAATGCGCGGAAATACGATCAATGGAGAAGACCGACAGCTCGTGCTAAATCTATTAGAGTATTTCCAGGAAGAAAATGAAAACGACAGGCCCTTGTTATCCACTTCATGCGTACTGGGGAGAGTAGCAGATGCGCTAAAGCTTAAGATCCGCCCATGGTACGGAGACTCGACCTGTTTACTTATTTCATATGGCGTTGATGACGTAACCGTCAAAAACGGTGAATACAACTATATCTTGGTTACCACTACAAGCTCGAATATCCGTTAATAAGCACGAAGTGTCAGTCCTAGTGTCAAATTGACATCAGATTTGGAATCTACGTCCCTGTTTTACTAAATGGCCAAATCATAGTTACGAAATGGTTTTTGAACACTCTGTCATGCCAGTTACTATTGTATACGGCCTTGCTATGCAATTTTTTCGTTTTATTTAACGAAAACATCGTTTTTACTATTTAAACTCCAAAGTATTACTCTCACACTAATTTATCACATATTTAATACTATCTCGACTGGACTATGGTATTTCGCGCAGCTGACTCATCATCTGTTGACGATCGACTCTCTCCCTGCCCTCTGTGCGTGTATTTATCTTCGAATTGACGGCTCCAGAACCGCTTCCGTATTTTCTAGGCCAAACCTTGTTAAATATCTGGTCAAACGTACTTACATTGGAGACAAAGTGGTTGAGGTTACATCGGGTATCCAGCTGCTCGGGAACCCAGGATTTCTCCCTCGAGGCCGAAATACAGTCGCAATAACTGCGTCAAGATAGCTGCACACTATTCTGCCGTTTAGATAAATCTTGGTCAGTTTTGGTGCAATTAACGTCGGGTCGTACCTCACTATGAAATGTTCTGCTTGTGCCTGAGTCGGTTTGATGATGCGATCTGTGTTCCTGATCAGGAATCTGGTGGTGTTTAGGATCACCACCTCACCGAGCCAGTTCTAGAAAATTAATTTCTATTCGATTATTGTTATTTCAAAAATGGATACATAAAAATATTGACTACAAAAGGTATGGACTTGACCTGTCCTGTCTAGAGTGAGATCTGCTACAGAAAAACATACAGTGTCTTTACCACAGGTGGATCGTCGTAAGACACACCATTTCAGCGAGTGTTGCCATTTATCGTCTCTATGATGCTCTTGCTATGTGATATTCTCGCTAACATATGAGTTTGACAACTACAATACATTGGATTGGAAACAACAAAAACAATTATTGTTCATTTGTTAAAGTCGGCTATTGACTTTTTAATTGCTCCTCATTTTACATTTGGCCCATAAAAATAAATTTGTGGCACTCACCCCTATCTCTAATACAGTAGGGCGATCGAATTCTAAAGTCAGCCATACGCCAATCAGTTCCATATCACTCTGCAGCACTATTTTTGCGTCATATTCATCAGATGCACCTATATCTTCGTATGTTAATACTTTTGGGCAAGGACTCTCTCCCGGTATTGTGCAATAGCAAAATTGTAATATACCTAGCAAAATAAGCCAGAATATCGACTTTAGAAGCATATTCTTTTCTGAAAATAAAGTAAACCACTCTGGTGAAAAATATATAAAACTTTTTCCTCGGAAACAAGTAGATGATTCAATGCAATGCGAATGTATGAAAAATTAGATCCTTTTTTGTCACTTACCAATAAATTTGGAGGAAGAAATAGCATAACAAGAGGTCCGAACAATTGATTCTAAACTATCCTATTGGCAAAAAAATGCATTCCAGAGGTTGTCGGAGTACAATCCAGGTAGCTTGTTGGCTACTATTTTTTCCGTTATATTCAGTAATTGATATTTTATGGTGCCTCTACCATAATTGAAATTTTATCACCCAACCATTGCAGTGGCGTTACATATAATTATTCACGAAAGGTATACACATAGTGAGATGGTTTTTATTTATTGATCTTTTTACCTCTATCGAATTGTTTCCGAATGAACAAAAATCTGCTTTACACCGCCTGTAAAGTATATTAGCGCTTCTTATAAATAAATATCATAAATACAATAGTGTTGTAGCGAAATATTAATCCTCTGTTGAAACAAAATTGGCCAATTTGCAACGCGAAATTTCAGCGTGAATTCAAAGTAAGAGAAAAACCATTTTTTAATCACCATTTTCTCTCGATCATTTCAACATCCCAGTTTCTGGGTCTTGTATAGTTAAAGGCGCAAATAATTTTATATGTATTGCTTATGCTATTAATACTGCATGTATAAAATTTGAAGTCGATTTTATTCTCTGTTTTGAAATCATAATCTCAACACCCTCTATCTCGATTTTTATGTCATGTTTGTATCCATTTCTGTCCTAGAAATATCGTCATAGTTTTGAATCACTTAAACAGTATTTTTTTCCTACACAACTTCAACGCCCTGTATCCGAGTAAAAAACATTAATCACTCTGTATAAAATCACTTTCCAAAGAAATGGGGCGTGGTTTAATGATCAAGTCATCATTTAGCACTTTATTGATTGGTCAATTTTAAATCACATTTAAGTTTTGCATATGGAAATAAAACAACACGGTAGGTAGTTCTAAATGACTTTATTGTTTCTCGAAGTATTCTCCACGAAGATTAATACACATCTTCATGCGCTCGAACCAATTTTCGAAGCACTTATTCCACTCGTTTGCTGGCAGATCCAAAACGGCATTTTTCAATGCGTCAACTGCTTCTTCTGGTGACTGGAACCTTTAACCACGCAGCCTGTTTTTAATTTTCGGGAAAGTAAAGAAATCGTTAGGACTTAGATCGGCACTATATGTAGGATGGTCCACTAATTCCACGTTTTCTTCCGTTAACTACTGCCTTGTTTTTTGGGCTGTGTGCGAGCTTGCTTTGTCTTGGTGGAGGATGATTCTTCTTTCGGGGTTGATTTTTCGAAGCACGGTGATGACTTTTGGCAAAAAAAATGGTGGTATACCAATCCGCAGTAACAGTTCTTTGGTCATTAAGAGGAATTGTTGCAATATGACCGCTTATGACACAAATGTGCTGCTCGGCGGTCAACAGGTGGGGTATCCAACAAGAAACTAATTTTCTTACTCCTAATTCTTCATATAAAATTTTTTGAATTGAGGTCTTTGAGATCTTCAAGGACGCCTCAATCTCGCGATATGTCACATGTCTATCTTTAATGACGAGTTTGCGCACAACATCGACGTTTTCCTAGGTGACTGCCGTTTTTGGTGCACCCACCCTGGGATAGCCGCTAAGACTCACCCGTCCAGGTTTGAATTCTCCATACCAACGGGAAATTGCCGACTGATGTGGCGCTTCGTTGCCGAAAACAGACAGTAACTCAGTAGGACATTCTTGTTGCGAAGACTGTTTCTGAAAGTTGTAATAAATTATGGCGCGAAAATGTTCTCGGTTGAGTTCGATTTTTCTAATAACTCTGTGACACTTAAAAAGTCTTGTATTGTTGTGAAACTTTGAATATTTAAGTTTACTAAAGAGTGAGGTTAAGATTCAGTACTGACGTTCGTTCCGCGCCGCCTACTGTGTTTCTATATGCAAAACTTAAAAGACATCCCTCGTATTTAAGTGTTCTGTGGTTGTAGTGGTTGTGTGATGTGATGTGATCATATAGGTTATGTAGCTGAAGCAAGGAAGAAGGGGTTTTCAAATATTTTTAATTTCAAAACTTTTCAAAATGTCCCTTCTGTCTCGCGTATTTGCCAACGTCTGCAGCACGATAAAGTAAGTAAACTTCATAATTTTATAACAGCTTATACACTGTGTAATTTCTTATAGTAGATACGCAACTGTAGCCGTACAGCAGACCACAAATTTTCACTCCTTGACGAGTAGTCCTGTTTCTCAAGCATCTCCTGGGGGCCTGTTCAACATAGCAGTCCGAACCAATATACGAGTACATTTCCCTAGGCCTTCAGAAAGGCGTAGGATCAAAAGGCATGGGTACTGGCAACGCATGAAGACTCGTGAGGGCCGAAGGGTCCTAATGAATAGGATACTCAAAGGGAGATGGGTCTATTCACATTGAATCTTATTAATTTGTTATGTAAGTAGTTGTATAATAGTAACAACGAAGCCCGTGATAATAACCAATATTACGAGCTATAGAAAATGGAAAGCCAACCTGGGCATCATCCTTTAAGGTGATTCTTTTTTGTATATCCATGTGTAGGCAGAACAGACACTTATTAAATTGTAATCATAATAAATTTTCAGTTCTTTATGTTGTCTTACTACAAACTAACTGATTTGGTCTACTATAAATGATTTTCGACTCTCAGAAATTCATTGTTGGAAGGAAAGCATATGTGCTGAAAAATTAAGACATCTAGCTAAAATATTATCTTTATTTATTTCAAGTAGAAAATAGTATCTCTATTTATATACAACAATAGAATTTGACAATACATGTATAAGGAAAATAAAATTAAGATTTTTAGAGGCTGATTAGGTATACAAAACCCTCCCAGTTGTCAGAGAAACAAGCACAGCTGTGTCATATTGTGTCATTTGTAGTTTACCTTCATGGTTGGAGCATGTTATGACTTGAATAGGGATTAAGGCACTTTTATCCAGTACAGCTCTTATAAAAGAGGATGTACCAAACAGTCCATACATTTGGAGTAGTGTAACAAGACTGCCCCATAGTTGCTCGAAAATAACATTCTCCAAGAATCTACAAAGTTGAATCTATACAATGCAATAGAATTGTATGGCTGCTTCAGAGTTTCACCATCCACCAAGCCAATTTGTAATCCTGACACATTCCAGGGGAAGATTAAAACAGTTTGATCTGAAAACTGTTTTATACTTTCCCTACAGTAGATGCTTAAATAATTTGCACATGTGTTGGGTATTAGAAAACCAGCTTGGCGAGTGGTTAAACTCTTCAGTAGTCATACTCACTATGCCAAAGGGCCCAATATCACATATTGTATGTACCTAAACAGAGGAATAAAAACTTGGCTATATGAATGAAACATGAAATTAGAGACATACTGGCCACCATAAGGAGCCAGCGCAAAACTTGGCTATAACTAATGATAATCATTCATGTGTGTAGTGGTGGTGAATGGCATTTTCAGAAATCTAGATATTTGTGGTTAATATTTCAATAAAAAAACTGCCAGAGATCCATTGAACGTTAAGCAAAATATGGTACAAGGTAAGGTATTTTTGTATTCTATATTTTAACCACAAATAACAGCAATTATCTAATGTCAAGCACTCTCCATAATTTACACTATATATAATATCAGTCTAACAACTGTCTAATCCAGTGAGTATATTTGGCAGCATCTGTAAATACAACATAGTGTGATGTGTCGCAAGTTCCTGATCCTTGTAAAGCCACGCCTACTGAGACGATCCCCCTTAGTTGCCAGACTGTATTCTGGCCACTTGTCCCCCGTTTTGGGAACACCATGCCCCCGCCAGAGTCCCCATTGCAGACTGAAGTCCCTGAAAATTAACAGGTTTATGTAATGTTAAAATATAAATTGAACATTAGTTGTTGCAGGTTATTATTCATACTATTGATTAACATATTCTTGTTAAAGATAACCAAGCATGTGTTTTGGCGTCCAAAAATTATCCTTGATGAGATGATATATCCTGGCATCGTCTATGTCTTGTCTTAGCTATGTTTCTCCTCTCTGCAATAATTAGAAACATATAGTTGGCTACAGCACCATCTATGGGGCACTAATGTTTACAAATAATACTTCTAATTATTGTAGAGAGGAGAAACATAGCTGTGACAGTCTCGTAGATGACGCCAGGTTCTCCATTATACAGCGAAAACAAAATTCGTCTGACGGGTTGAATTCAATTTATATGAGACAGAAGCGCGAGAAATGTGTATCAACACATGTTAGGAAGAGATAGAAGGTGGCTGAAGAGCGAAGCTCATCACCAGATTGCCGAGGTATGAATATTTAATTTAATATTTTGTTTTTACTTTGATTATAATTATTTATTTCAATTTTGATGCGACGTAGTATATTAATTTATTTTACAATTATTTTTGATTTCCACCAATGGTGATAAAAACAACACATCCTCAGTCATTGCTACTTTTTGCGACAGTGAGGGGTCAGAAAATGTAACAGATAATATTACGTGGTACAAATTATTACTGCATGTGTGAATGCAGGTGAAAATCATTTTTAAGCAGGATGACACTCCCCAATAATCGTTAGATAGGTACTGACTAAAATCGCTCATCTATGATCATGGACTGGAAATGTACGAGACGTTTTATTACCAAGCGAACCAGTGATGCTCGATTGCAGAATTTGTGGCGATCCTGACCTTTCATTTCTATCCAAAATGAAGCGCCGTTAGGACCGATCCGACAGATTCGACACTATTAAAAAATGTGTACGCTCAAAATGAAACTATTATTTGGGGGTAATGAATAAAGTAACGCATATTTTAAACATGCATCTTAATTCAAGGAACTTGTGTAACATATTGGCAACGCAACAGATTGCAGCGTCAGCGTTGCTAGACGATGGGGTGATGAGCTTCGAATCCAGGCGGCTTCTATCTCTTTCTAACATAATGTGTGTCTATACACACTTCTTCTCTCGTACACGTTTACGTACACTTACCGTTCCTGAATCCCGCACAAAAGTTGTTCTCAAACGTGAACTGCGAAAAAAAATCTCTATTTGAGTAGATGCATGTCACAGATGATACCACTGGCATTTGTGCTTGCATCAATTTGTTTGACAGCTTCTTGTTTTGATCAAATCCCCAGCCAACGACTGTGCCTGAAATTATACGCTTTTTAGTTTTTGTCTACATTTATGTTATATTCATTTTTATCCCAATGTGGGGTTGGATATGATCTACCACTTACAGAGACACACAAAGCTACATTTATTTTCTCATTAAGGCCATTGAACTCTTTTGCGACTGTAGGCATCGGTTAGGGAACTTATTTTTATACATCTCACAGATTCTTAGGAATATAGATCAAGCAATGTTCATATAATAAAAGCTCTGCGGCCTGGTTTTATACAATAATACTTAGAAGTAAAGCTCCACTATTTACCTTCTTTGTTGACAATAGTTTCTGTATTTATACTGTCTTCCCACAGACAGCAAGGCTTAACAAAATTAGTGATATGAGCAGGTTCAGAAAGTTTCAACACTGCAATATCGTTGAAGAAAGTAGTGTAATTATAAGAAGGATGAATGAAGATCTCGGAAGCATCTCGATCCTGTACATCTGTTCCGAAAGAAATTAGGTCATATTTGCCTAGGTATATGATGATGTTATTGGTGTCTATAGGTTTTGCGCTGCGAGGTTTGGCCACACAGTGAGCTGCTGTCACGATATGTTGAAGGCTCACCAAGGTACCCCCACAGGTGTAGACTAGTTGGAGACCCTTGGAGTGGTAGAGGGCTGCATGCCAGGGCCATTGACCTGAAAGATTGAGGTGCTGTCAAATTTTGATAACAGCATAACTGAGAGAGAAGTGAATGTGATAAGTAGACAAGGCTTAACATATTCATTATAGGACAACTCATATTTCTCTTGGCAGGGGGCCCCAGAATGAGTACTAATATGTTACACCGCGTAAATAATGGCTAGACGTTATTAATTAAAATTTTGAAAATGCAAGATTTGCCATTTACAGGGGCGTTCAAACTAATAGTTATTATAATTCAAAAGTTGCTTTATAAAAAACCTACTAAGAGTCGTTGTGGCTTAAGAGCCAACCTAGGATGAAACACGCGAAAGATTTAATTGAAGAACGAAAGCTTTTTTCATGGGAGAGCTATTAAAGTGTAACAGTGGGGCAGTGTGGGTCACAGTAGGTTTGTTAACCCGATATTGTTATATATATATATATAAAACAAAAAGTAGGAAAATAATGGGCAAAATCCACAAAAAGGATGAAAGTGGATTCGAGCAGAAAATAGGATAGGTAACACTAGCGATACGTATTTCTGCTGGTTGGCTTCATCAGGCCCGAAATGAATATACATATGCAACTACAAAAATTGGTACAATTGTCCACACATCCGGATACGGGTGTAACCTGAGGAAACGAAGATGGAGAGGAAAAAAATCGACACACGAAGTCCACAACAAGTGCCAACCTACACATTGTAGTATAAAATGGCTCGAAGACCTCGGATTTTCAAGGAGACATCTAACCACAACCACGCGGCCGGTTATAGCCACTTACTGAGGTACTTCAAGCCCAAAGGATCTACAAAGAGAAAATGATCATGCGGAGAAAGGTATATATATATAACAAAAAGTAGGAAAATAATGGGCAAAATCCGCAAGCAACTTAGTATCAATTTAATTGTATTTTTTGCCCAACTGGTCCTTGGCAATGGAAATGACTACTGCTCGTATATATATATAATTGCTTAAACAACCTGAAAATGCCGTATTCGTATTTTTAGAATATCTCCATCTTGGTTTTATCAAAGCGGTCCATTAAGGTTTGCTTTTATCGGGCTTTTTAATTGGCTGTAAAAAGGGACTCTCTGGAAGGAAGAGGACCGATATGAGAAAGAATGAATGGGTTCATCTTCACGGGTGTATAAATGTGTAAACGTCTACATTTGCAATTGGTTGAGCTTGCTCTCTTCTATATTTACCTGGAACTGTTCCTTGTCCATTGGAGATGAGTGGCGACGGTTGAGTAGCCACTGTACCACAAGTATAGGAACTACCATGTTGCGATGGTCTGGGCTTACTCTGCGTTGGTCTGTAATTGCCAAAATCTCCAATGAAAAATTCACTATCGCTGTCATCTGGGTTCTCAAGTGCATTGCTAAAAACGTAAAAGCATCACTTTGTTAAGCATGGGTGAAAACAGCTTAGCCCTTTTTTTGAAAAATGTATAATTTTTTTGATACATAGAAAATTTGAAATTACAGTTTACACTGACAATGAGATTAGACAGAAACTTAGTAACTGACAATAAATTTTTTTGTGTTGCATATGTAAGGTGATTGTTGATTTCTTTAGCTATTTAGAAAATTATTGAGAAAAATATAGTCAAATAAAGACTTGAATATAGCCCACCCTATATTGTGGTTTGTAGGTGTAGGTCTTGTGGTAGTGTGCCTGGTAGTTCTTGGATTGTTCCTTTCGGTAGATCGTTCGTCCCTATTCGATTGATATTCGTTACTTTCGTTGCTAAAAAAAAATATTAAAATATTTACCCAACTCATCCCATAAATACACACCTGTGATATCGCTCTGTAGTTCTTTGGTTTGTTGAATATGCATTATTACTGCTACAAATGAAAAAAATTGAAATTGAAATTCAATGTGGGATTTGATAGTATTAGTATTTCTTACTTGTACCTTTCAGTTGTTCTTCTATCTGGTGATGTTTGCCTTTGAGTTGTGTAGTCGTGATTATTGCTGAAAATACGGTAGATCAAGTTGTTACACTGATTGTTATCAGGATGCAGTGTTATAAACTATCTCAATTGTTAGATTATATGATCACGAGATATTTATAATTGTTTCTTGTATATTCAGGCAGACATAACATATAATTCTCCTCAGGTTTTTAAACATGACATAGCATTTGGAAAATCAAACTAATACGTGTTCATCATATTCAAAAAGTAGACCATAAGTTGACAAAGGTTTGGAGTCGCCTTTGAAAAACAAAATTGTGTAGATTTACCTGTTATATCGTTCTGTCGTTCTTCTATTTGAAGAATATTCATTATCATTGCTGTAAAACAATAAAGATTCATTAAAAAATGTGCTTCTACTATTATCTCTGTCTCTTACTTGTGTCTCTCTGTTGTTCTCCTACTCATTGTATGCCTTTCAGTTGTGAAGTCACGATCATTGCTAGATACAAAAATAATTTCAAAACCTTATTGTTTAGTGTCAAAGCAAATTAAAAAAAAAATTAAATTACATAAGGTCAAAACATACACAGTTGCTTGATCCCCTTATATTCGCGCTACTATTGGCGAGTAAGCTGGGCAGCAATGATAGGCCAATAGGAGTGCAAGAATCACGCGATCGAGCAACCGCGTTTGTTAGTATGGCACTCCACTTTCTGTTATTAAACAGTGACCAAATATTTATATATTTTTAAAACCTTTGCGGACATCAATACTTGGTCAAACTTGAAATATTTGTTAGAGAAGGACGAAAGAAATCACATTGATTTTTTAAATAAAAGTTGTATGTACCTGTTATATCTTTCCGTGGTTCTTCTGCTCCCTGAGTAATCGTTCTCGTTGCTGTAAAACAAAATTAATTTCAGTTTTATCATGTAAAAGCGTATTAAGCATGTAAATTATTTTATGATTCTTGATACATATACTCGAGAATTTAGATTGTCAGGGAATCTTTGGAAACCTGTATTTAGTTTTGAAATTTTCAAAGGCATTGAACATTTTAAATAATTTGAAGGGTTTAAGATGGTGAAGAGGACTTTCGAGATTCCGTCACCTTGTTATCAGAGTATAGTGATATCTCACCTGTGACCTCCAGAAGGTTCCGTTCCATATACAGAGTAATCTGCATCTAAAGGTCTTGGAGCAGGTGCGGGTCTTTCACCAGGTCTTTGAGGTGGGGGTCTTTCGCCAGGCCTCTGAGATGGAGGTCTTTCGCCAGGCCTCTGAGATGGAGGTCTTTCGCCAGGCCTCTGAGATGGAGGTCTTTCAGGCCTTTGAGTAGGTGGTGGTGGACGGTATCCGTCATCACGTCTGCGAGAAATTTCATTATGAATAAAAACTGGAGCTTAAAAAACGAATGTGCTTTCAGCATCAAATGTGATCTTAAAGTACATTTATACAATGTAATAATCAAACTCATAAGTATTTTATAATGGAGCAGAGCAGTATATAAATATCGGTATAGAAGAGAGTAAGATCACCGACCAACCGTGGCTTGAAGAGAGGCTTGACATCATCGGTTAAGAAATCACAAACCAGGCATAATTCGAACACTCATGTAAGTGCCGAGGTTTGACGGAAACTGTTCCCAAACTTTAAACAAATATTCTAGTTACTTCCTATCAGCCGCAACTGACGAGACCTGTTGGTGATTCCATGCTACATCATGCCGTCGGTGGTCTTAGCTCCGGCAAGCTAGAACAAATGGCTTCTTGTCAGAGCTCAGCTATCCATCGAAATCAGATGTGTGCTTGAACACCTCTTGAAGTGTTAAACTGCTTCAATTAATTTACACCGCAATTGTGTGACGTAAGTTAGAATGTCCCTAGTTAATGTCGGATGTTGGAAACACGCAAACCTTACCGACTGTCGTAAATTTTAAATAATATGCGGTACATAGTACAATGCCAAAAGACTCAAACAGGATGAGTTAGAGAACTCAAGATTCCTTAGTTGTGTGATACTGATAAAATAATATACGTATTACGTATTACAAAAAGAAATGTATGAGGTAAGTTGACTTTCCACTGTCATCGTCATATAAACAATTATGTCAATTTTTAATCCACATAAATTTTTCTCTGAAAATGATCAGGAGTCACTGAAACGTCAAAAGACGAAGTTTGAACGATTTTCATTTTTTCGTGTTTTGCCTCTACAAAACTACAAAGTTTTTTTGAAATAAGTAAACATGCTTATTCGTGATGTACACGTCATATCATATCCAAAAAACATAATTTCTCATTATGGAAATGTTTCGTCAGTGGCGTGTGAAGGAAAATATATTCACCTTGGTGGCTCCTGATATCCATCTGCTGGCCTTGACGAAGTGTCTTTCGGCTGGCTGATGTGTAGTGTAGGTAAGGTGGGCCTAAGATATGTTTCATGAACTTTAGTCGTACATATTGTCTTTCCATTAAGTCGGATGATTTTCACGCTTGGTATTTCCTCGTTTGTATTGTACCTCACGAAGATCTCTACGATTACCGCTGGCCCCGCCTCTAGGTTATATTTAGTGTTTGTGATGACGTACTCTCGATTGTCTGCGGTCGTCACTTCTCCAAAAAAGCTCTGAAAAATATCCAATGTGTCGGTATAATTGAAGGGCTTGATGCAGTCAGATACTAAAGCACATTTTAATAACAAACCGCATTTCCATCTAAAAACACGCGTGGCGGAGGTATCTACAAAATCTGAAAATTAAGTGAAGTTTTTTTTCAATGTTTATTCAAGTATAATTACAATTTTATATTTTCACCTTCAAAAGAAGTTCCTTCTGAAGCCACACACCGCTGGAGCCAGTTCTTCCACTCCTCATAGCAGTGCTGGAACTCGGATACTGGAATAGCTTTTAGCTGGTCGGTTACAGCCGTTTGAATGTTTTCGACTGTTCCAAAATAACTTTATTGTGATCTTTCAACTTCGGAAAGAGAAACAAGTCACAAGGACTTAAGTAAGAATAAGAATGGCTGAGGAGCCACATAAATGTTTTCACTGGCCAAAAACTCGTTAACTGGCATTGCTGTGTGACAAGGAGCATTATCGTGATGCAACTCCCAACTGTTCTTGATGTGATGAACGGTGGTGTGAGTCAAATTTAACTCTTCCCCGCTCATTCAGTCTGTCAACCGACGATCTGATCTCTCAAGATCCCGGATACTGTCGATGTTTTCATCGGTTCTTGAAGATGATGGCTTTCCGCTTCGCAGTTCATCTTCAATCGACTCTCTCCCTTCTGAAAATGCCTTAAACCACCGAAAAACCTGGCCTCCGTAGACCCGTTTAGCAAGAGTGTCCGTTGCACTTTGCCCAAGTCTGAAGCAAAGCCTGATAGCACATCGTTGCTTGTAATTGATGTCACTCATTTTTAGAACACAATAGAAAAAACTGTTTCAGAAGAAAATTGCTACGAACAACCAAATGAATAGGGCGAGATCAAACTTGTACTGAAGGCGGGTCACATGTTCCCTTGTCTCCTCTCCAGCCCCGTCTCCAGTATTGCCAGATCGAACGCTTCGTAGCAAGTCTCATGACTTAATTTACAGACCTCGCATGTCCAAAGCTGATTTTTTTTGACAATTCGCTGATAGAATGCTATAACGCCTAAAGGCGTTTTTGAACAACCATGATATCCCACACATTTTTACGTCAAGATAACTAAAAGCCACTTAACTTCCAAAATGAGAAATTGTCCACTGGAAAAAATAATGGGGGTTTTTATGATACAGAGAACAAAAATAGTTCTGGGTTTAGTTCAGATGGTAGTGTGAAGGACAAACTTATCTCATATCAGTTCTGACAGCAAATAATTCAGGTGAATAAATAAATGCGTGGCTTATGACTTTACTGCCGTTTTATTTATAGCTTATTGCTTTTTTTATAAATAAATTAATCTGTGTGATTTGTGACCTTTTTGTGTTCAGGAACCTTCATAATTTTTTCGAAATAGAGAACGTTTCTGACACAGTCGTACTTGTATGCATTTGGCTCCATATTTGTCACGAAAAACATAACCGAACATAATCAGTCCGTTACATTCAATAACGTGCGCTGTTTGAAGTCTAACAATGAAAACCCAAATTATACGTTTATAAAATAAACCATTTTATATATTACCCTTAGAGTACAATTTTATTTTCAATAAGGCCCCAAGCCGCAGTATTTTCAAAAATGAATTTATTTTACGAAATTGCCTTATATTTTTTTGATTCTGTTTTCTCCAAATCTTTGTTCATCAAAATGTAAACCTATTATGGCATTTCAGGCGAAAATAAGCAAAACAGATTTACGAAAAACCATTGCTAACGTAACTTATACAGTTTAGATTTCTCGAAATGAATTCAATGTGCGACTTAGGCCTCACATATCTTCAAGCCCTTCAATTGATGTAACATTCTAGAAGTGAATACCTGAAATGACCATTTTAGTACTTACTATAACCAAAATAATGTTTAAGACAAATGTGAATTTTTTAATTACTTTTTTAACAGTTTGGTGGCTTGTCCTAAATCTTACGATCAGCAAATGAACCATGTTTGACGTACCTTATTCGAATGGCCAAAGTTGAATGTATGTCTACAGAATTTGGATGTGCTAACAAATTGGACATTTCAGACCAGGATATCCACAATTTAAGACAAACAATTATAATAAGCTGTTTTACAACGGAATTATATTCATGAGAGTATAAGAAAAGGCCAAGCACCAAGAGATACAAAAATTTTGCTAGCTAATTTGTTTGCTGCAAAAATTACTTTTTCGCGTAAATCAAATACTTACGAATTATTAGTGTAAGTGGTCAAAAAAAGTAGATGAACATGTTTTCAAAATGAGGCCTTATAGGGCAAATTTTCTGTAACAGTTGATTTGTAATTACAAAAAAAAACTTAAAAAATATCTACATATATTTTTTACTATAAGGTAGTAGAAGACATGTAGACTTTATATAATCATTTGATTTATTCAATTCAAGTAATCCTGTCTGAAATATTGATTTGTTAGTTATTGCTATTGCAATTTTGTAAATGCAAATCTATATTTTTTCCCTTAAACTAACCATGTGAAAAAGCGTAGCCGAGAGTACATCTCGTTTTCGCCTTATAAACAATTATAATAAGTCCGTTGTTTTTTGATATTCGTAACTAGGATGCTCATCACTGATAAGAAATACCCCTTTTTGACGAAATTGGCCTTTTTAGACCTTTGGGGCCGAAATAACATTTTTCCTCAAAAAATCACTGTAACGTTAGTCATCAACTTTAAGTGTTGTAATTAAACCCATGCATAAACGAGGATTTGAAATTTATTTAACTGCCTGTTCAAAAGTATTTCGTTTCGTATTGCGACCACATACACCTTACAAAGGTGAGGCCCTCCACAGCTAATGTAAACGATGTCATGATTTTTCGGAGTAGTAGATTGTTTGATTTTCTTATGCAAAATGCATTTTTATAATTTTAATTTAATTAAAAGGAATAAACAGGACGGTTTTTCAGTGAGAACTAAAAAACACCGTTTGATCTCAAACACGTTCCAGTCCTCCGATGGCTCAGAATCTGTTTGCAGCCATTCATTAAAATCACTTTTTCACGGGAGGCCAAAACACTTCTTGTGGGTGTCACCCAAGCCTTATTGACTATATGGCAGTACTATCGTCCCTACTAAATTGTACCACAATGGACGTTAAAGACAACGAAGCCATCATCGGTCAAACCCAAAGTTTTATAAAACAAAATGGCCGAACCATTGTCAATCGGCGAACACGCATGGAGCTTGGACATCGATCGAGCTCACCGCCAAGCACAATCGTGCTTCTTCGCTGATGATCGGTTTAATGTTATACCGTTGCAAAATTTGAATTTTTACCGCGCTTGATTACAAAAATATTCTAGTAAATAATTGAACCTGGAATATTATTATTATTCGAAAAGTCATATTAACAAGATATTTTTGGTCGAAGAATTTCTAGTAATTTTTATAAATAACAATAAAGAAGTTATTAGTATTTGGATATCTAATTTACCATTCTGTTCATTAAAATTCTATACCTTCTTTGTAGGTATGTGTTGATTTTTCAGTACTGTCGTAAAAAAGAACTCAAAATGACAGCCTTTTAAGGGACGTGTTGTTGACGTCATAAAAACGGCATCAATAAAGAAGTCATTCTTTAGTCAATGACTTTCCGACCAAAAGTGACCGAATAATGACGCCATTTTGGCGTCATCATGTTCACTGAGGCATCTACAGAAACAGAGTTGAGCATTTTTTACCGATTTTTTTTGCTGTTATGTACCACAAAGGCTTTAACTTTTAGCATTTATTTCAGATTTAACCTTATGCGTTTTCCAGTAAAAAATAAATTGACGATTTTTGAGGTTTTTTGTTTTAACAAATTGAACGCTACAACAAATTGACCGTGAGAGGTCTCATTTTAAATATTTTTCAACCTCCACAATTTTTTTTTGACCGCTCACACCAAAAATTCTCAAATATTTGAATATACACCAAACAGTGATTTTTTCAACTTTGACGTTAAATAAAAAAGTTAGCCAGCACATTTTCTTGTATATATCAGTGACGATATTTTTCATATACCCTTAAAAATATAGTTTCGATATAAAACAGCTTATCATATTTTGTTTAAACATCGCCAATTTTTGGCTAGTTAGCTCGGTCTAATTGCGACATGTACATACTTTCTTAAGTTGTCGTAAGAATGAAACTTATACTTACCTATCAAAGAAACAAGTACATTTTCTACTTACGCCCAGAGATTCTGCAGGCCTGTCAAGCACCACGTTGATAAAGACTCCAGTTAGATCTTCCACAGTTCGTAAGGTTATTTCGCCAGCCCAAATACCTCGAGAGGTCTCTAATTGTTCTTTGTAAGAAAAAGTCGAAGGACATGGCGAAGCTTTTTGAGATTCTGCTATTCTTATTACACACAACAGAAATAGAAACAGCATTCTTTCGAACTAAATCTGAAAATTAGATGTATGATAACATATCAAAAAACTAGGTTTGTTTATAGACTTTGTTGTTATTTCATTGGTGTGTAATTAATTATGATTATCTTTCATCGTCAGGAAAAAGCTTAATTCTGATAAATTGTAATAACTGTTTACGTCGATTTTCTCATAATTATGTAATAATCTGAGTTTACACCGGGTAAACCCAACGTTAAAATAATTTGAGAAACAAATCTTCTAAGAATAAGATTTGATTCAAGGTTATCCAAGGAGTTTTGTCGTTAAACTTCATATAATTTTCAAATTTGAGTACGGGTGCCAAGTTGGATAAATCCCCGATTTTTTTAGCGTCGTCGGATTCTCGTTTTTTATGGCTTTTTATAGACTGAAAAATAAATTTGTCTGACGGCTTGCGTTCAATATCTACGAGAGAGTATAGGCACATATTATGTTAGAAAGAGATATAAGCCGGCTGGATAGCGAAGCTCGTCATCAGACGTGTTGATTTTATCGCCATCGGTGGAAATCAAAATGAAAATAAATAATTCTAATAAAAATGAAAACAAAATATTAAATTAAATGTTCGAACAGACCTCCTTCTTAGGTTTGACAGTAGCCTAACCCATTTTAGAAGCCTACGCAAACATTCTCTGGTGTAACATGTTGGCAACGCGTCAGATTGCACGATCTTTTGCGTCACCGTTGCTAGGCAATGTGGTAGTGATGTTCTTCGCTCTTCAGCCGGCTTTTATATCTTTCTAACATGTGTTGATGCACACTTCTCGCGCTTCTCTCTCATACACATTGAACTCACTCAGTCAGACAAATTTGGTTTAACTGTAAAAATAATAATCCTGTGAATCGGAACATGCTTCACTTTTATGTCATGAGATAAGTCCGATATTTACGAAGCTCTGAAGTTGCGATTCGTTTCAGGGGTTGCTATACTTCAAGTATCTAGCACTTACGAAATCAAAAAAAAAACTACTAATTTTGGAATATTCTAGGCAAGCAATTATTACTACAATGAAATATAGGTATACTACAGAAAATTATTCTAATAAAATGAATTCAATTTAAACCTTATTGCCTGCGAATCTAAAAACTATCGGAAATAATGAAGCGCCTAAGAAGATTGTTCTTTAATTATCGCCGTATTCCTTGTAGAAACAATATGTTCGCTCTCTACGTCGAGGTTGACGGCATTCTGAAAAATTGTACGTGTGGGTTTTGTATAAATAGTCACTAAATCGACTAGATGAGAAAAATAATATTTAAACAACCTTCGTACGAGTAGTATGCGGCGTATTCTGTTATGTATGAATTGTTTTCGCAACCTATGCTCATTTAGATACAGATGTTATATATATCATCAACATTATAAATATACAATTCAGATAGCCATATAAATTAACATAGAAGATAAAGAGGAATATGAGTACATAAAATAAATTTGACTCACCCAATTCCCTGTCATTTACAGTTGCCTTAGGTAGATACCTATGTTTCCAGGTATAAGATTATACCCATAAACCAGGTATATGTGCTCACTGTGAAGTACTGCTTTAATGAGAATTTCATTACTAGCGGAAGACGTAGGTATTTGTTGCCAACGAACTGTGTTCTGATGTTCCCAAATACCACAAGATTTGTTAAACCAGTTTATAATATATTATAATCTTGGAAATTCCCATGAAAGATCTGGATTTTATTTTGAAATATGCTCTTCTTGTTTCTTAAAGCCCTCTATAACATAAACAAATATTTCGTTTACCATCACTACGGAAGATGAACAAGAACTTGAACTTCTAGTAAAAAAAGGAAAAGTTAAACCAGTTTGATACGCATATAAAATATACTTTTAAGAACGTTCATTGCGGTTGGCGGTGTCCTTCAGCACATAAAGACTGTTGAAAGTTAACGATGCTCAGGATAGAAATACCGACTTCTTTATCTTCCCATAAAATCATTGAAAGGAGGGTTGGTATTTTTATTAGATGACCCTTCATATTTTTAAAAATTTTGTATTTTTGAATAAAGATTACACTTACGCCATCTATTGAGTCTAGGATGGTTTAAGAAATTCTACCCAATTAGGTAGCTTTGTATATATCCGCTTATTTGCACTTTTTAGTACTAGATGGCAGGTAAATCACGTTTTCAAGATTGAAACGGAATTTTTAAAAGGTCACACTGGTCAAGGAACGTTCATTGGCAAATAACTATCGGCGTAAATTACCAGCACTCCATTGCTTACGGGCAGTGAGATATCTTTTCTATTTTTTCTCATAAAATGACTGATGCCACAACAAGGTACGTTTATTTTAAATTACAAGCTTTACAAGGGTGAATTTAGGTCAGCAAAAACGTGTCTTATACATTAAGGCACCCGTATAATGTAGCGGCATAAGGTTGAATTTTAAATAGCAAGTCAGCATCATCATTTGTAGCGCGGTAGCCTGTAGAAATCGGATACCCAAGCAAGGTCAAAAAACAGGATACCCTGGGTATTTCTCTCCGTTTCTCTCTCGACGCTTGTGATTGGTTGAACGTGACAGCCGTTAATGTCGATTGGCCGCTTCCAGGCGTCGAGGTTCGATATGCGATTCCTTTCAGCAAAGAAAATCATTTGTGGTCTCCTCGCCAAAGAGAATAGTCGGTTAGATGAAAATATGCGTAATTTCATAACAAAATGTCTGTCCCATTCTACACATCAGGACAGATGAAACAGTGAATGAGTGACTTTTCATGCCATTTCATTACAATATTCCTGATAGTGAATATTAACTTAGGTCGTAATGGCGCTCGTATGTGATATTGAAAGGTTTGCATTTCGTTTTACGGCAAAATTACACGACATAATCGTTTCCGAGGCCAGAAATATGTTAAACTTACGTTGAGATCGATAATTCGCGTTGAAAAATGATTTGTAAACCTTCAGAAAACTTCAACCTACAACGTCACCGTCAATGACGCGGCAAGGGCGTGGACCCGTGGATCAAATTTTCATGGTCGAATTTTTCAGTCTGATTTTCGACTTTCCTCTAATACAGTCCTTGGTACAGCAGATAAACCTTGAAGTCAAAAGATTTCAAATATCTCTGCGAAAAGGCTGTATTGTAGGATATCTACTACGAAGAACGCAGCAAATGACGCGTAATCAATTTGTATGCGATATTTTTGAACGAAGGTAAAATGACAATTATTTCTAATTTTACAGCTGTTACGATAACTGGAACTTCTTATCGCTCCCAACATAATATTAGCATATTTCTAAGTTCATGTAAAATAATAGTCATACTCCATTTTACAAGATGGCCTCCATTTCTAAACCTAGCTTTGGCTGTGTGCCCGTTAAAACTAATATTTACAGTATTGAATTTTCACAATAGCATGGTATGGAATTGAAATTTTTGTTCATATTCCGACAGATATACCACGTTAGATCCTCTTCCTGTGTCTAAAATTAGCCAGAATACCTATTTTTATAACCTTCAGTTGATGTTAAAGGATAGTATATTGCATGCATGCTAGAATTTTTTATTGGTGTTGGGAAAATGATTGTAGGTATCTATTTTGACTTGAGATTAGGTTTCAATTTGGGCCAGAATTTTAAAAATAGATATAGATACATATCAACTTGTGCTTTTTGGATTAGACGTGTAGGTACCTAAAAGATGTCTACATCTATGCCGTGTTGTCTAAAAAAGTCGTATCTGGCGATTGTTTTTTAAGGAAAAAAATTGTTATTGTTTAACCATTAGAATATTTATATAAAATTTACAGAATGCTGTGCAGTTAATTCCATTCAAATACTAAATCCATAAAAAGAGTGAATTGACCACTTTCATTTAGAAAGTCAGTATCGGAAAAAACCACAGCCAAAGCTATGACGTCATGCTCATACAACGTATATACAACGATAATTTTAAGTTGGCCGTGAAACATCGATTAGGCAGGTAGCGTCACCTAGGCTTTAGTTGATTTCGTTGCAGCGCGGCAAATTTAAAACAAATTTCTTTGTGGATATCGGAAATCACGCTTTGCGACAGTGATATGGTTAGATAAGGATGGCTACGTATTTACATTTTTATCACGTAACCCGCATTGAACAGCCAAAAGCGAAACATATTGATTAACAAAACGCATCAAACAGGGTGACCCTACCTAAATGTATCAACACGCCAAGGGCATGGTCCGTTTTTTCCACAGCATTATTCTGTGTATGAAGCATCTTCGTATCCATACATTTTCATTCCCCAACTTCCTAGAGCTTGTTGCTAATATTTTTACTGAACCACCCTAAAATTATATAACGCCTGTTTGTATAGGCTTCGATTATTTTATATAGTGACGTACTGAAAAAACGTGTATTATGATTATGATAGAATCTGAGGTTGGTACGTTATGAAGTCGTTTGCTCTCTTGTCAGTCATTGTTTTTTTTTCTTTATTGTAATTTTGCCTCATGATTTCTTAAGTTTTTTTTCAAATTGTGTTAACACACTGTTATTGTAGTATCATATTTTTTTAGTTTATCTGCTTTTGTATCGAATTGAAAATAGTATGGCTGTTGTGTTTTCTTTTTGTATTTAAAAAGGAGCAAATAGCAAGGATAAAAAGGCAGTTCAAAATAATTTTAATTTTCCAGAAATAGACTGTGGCAGACGACTGCAGAGTATAAAAATGGATTCACGTAGATTTACTCGAATTAATAATGTTATCAAAAGTAAATATATGTTTTATAAAAAAATTGCAGTGGGCTTGAAAACAAAAAAGCTGTTAGGGTCATCAGCAATGTATTAAATAATTCTTAGGGGGTTTAGATAAATGTGGGTTCATCTTTGGCCAGTGTCAAAACGCTCACTAATCCGAGAAACTTAGAAAGATACAGTTTGTGACTATTACTGTTTTTTTGCTAATAATTTTCCCGCCAATACCCCGATTTATCTAGTGGAGAGAAGATATAAAGTCATAGCACTCGATTCGAATTAGGAAGGGGTTTGGTTGTTGTGTGGTAGGCAGCTAATTTGATTATTCCAACGTGTCGCGCCGAGGCTTTGCTTTCCTTAATTGCTAATTTAATTTTGCGTCTCAACCTTCTTTCAACATTCTGCCCTTGACTTGGATATGTTTTTAATATTCCAAACTCTGTATACCAACGTTTGGTTACAGCGAGCTCGTGAACCAATAGCAATGTCATAATGTTCCAATTTAGTTGTAGCGTCTTTCTTCGCCTGGTACACGTTTCGTGGATTAATTTTGACTCACAAATTCGGGAAAACTTTAAGTAGATTCGTGATGAATCTGTAAAATTTGCTTTCAAAAACCTCCGATGAATAGATTTTCTTGATTCATATCTAAGAGTAAATTGGATAAAGTCGCCGAAAACAATGGCGTCAAGTAGATTGACTCTATACTTCCCATCCATTCCAAACAACTCTGGGCTTTTCATGTGAAAAAATTTCCTTAGATTGTAGCAATCATTGTGGCCGTACACGGTAGCTTAATTTCTTCGGAGCTCTGGTGTAAAAGTATAAAATATCACCTCCTGAAATCAAATAACCTCATTAAATTCCACTCCAAGCATAATGCTCGTATACTTATATAGATAATATCGGGCCCACCTGGTATGGGCATATCGCGTCCCTGCGCCGTCTGCTACCTGCTTTTATAACTCACTCCCTGGCAAAGATCCAATAGTTATCACCTCGTGGCGCACGGCAAGTACGACCGATGGGCACTCGATCCGTCTGTTGAAAATTTTTGTCTAGGTTTTAAGGGGCAAATGTACCGAGACGATGTTTGGAGTTTGTCTAATAGGTGCGTAGAATTACCGGGGTAGGAACTGTATCAATATACGAATATCAAAAATTACTATCATCCCCCACTCCCCTACAACTCCAATTTTTAACTACTAAATATTTTGTTAGAAAATCCAAATTCGAGCAGTTTCCAAGTTATAGATGGGTCAAGGATTAGAGGATAGAGAAACAGACCAACGGAAATCAATAACATGGTTTTTCGTAATGTACATGTCAACATCCAAAAAAAAAATATCTTATTTTTCGAAATTTTTCGCTGTTAGAATACTTCCTCGGAAAGTAAAACTAAAAGAAAAATAGGAAACCGAGATCCTCGTCACAACAAGGCGGTTAAATTGCGCGCGTTATCTGACATTTTGATAGTCACTACGTTTCTGTCGCCTAGCAAATATGGACGAAGTTGACGAATTTTATTTTCTTGAAAGCGCTTTACTGAAGATACTGTTTTTAAATGGTGGAAATACAGAACATGCCAATCCTTTATTTTCTAGTAGAGATGAGAAAGAAAGATTATTATTCATAATTTTTGTCCCTCATATCTCATATCCCACAGTAAACTATTCTTGCACACTAAAGTTATCAATTTAGCCTTCTTGGTAAAATAACCAAGTGCAGAAAAAGGGGGGTCGTAGGAAAAAATGAAATGTTTGAACGCTCAAATGGTACTGACGACGTCATGCATACTCTGCCGTTATGGTCGCTGCCAGTGTAAGCACGTTCATTGGAAAACAAATGTTTGTTCATTGGGACGAATTTGTCAGAACATGTCAAGACAAAATTTCGTTAGACGAAAATTTTGCGTACTTCACCGTAGACAACGATAAATTGGTAACTATTGTGTATCAGAACAGTTTACTGTAGGATATAAGATATGAGAGTCAGAATTATCAATCGCTCATTAATTTGTCATCTCTACTAGAAAATGAAGTATTGATATGCTCTGTTTTCCTCCATTTAAGAACAATAACTTGAGCAAAGGACTGTCAAGAAAATAAAATTCGACAAACTTCCTCAATATTTGCTGAGCAGCAGAAACATACTGACTATCAAAATATCAGGCAACGCCACAGTGTAGGTATCCGTCTTGTTCTGACGAGGATTTTTCGTCATAGAATGGGAAATATCGCATCCGCTCGGGAAAATATTCTGATTCGGTATCTTGCATAATGTTACTCAGAAAGGATCCCTCTCAACGAATCTGCGTTTTGCCTATCTAAAATTGTTTGAACATTTTTTGACATAATCCAAAAATTGTTTTATCCCTTCGGATAAAGGCTTTTATGGTCATTCTGAACAAAAAAAGGTTTTCTCTAAAGCTGACAGTATTCGAGATATTAGCGATTTAATATTTGAAGAAGTCAAAACGTGCCATTTTCTACCTCGAAAAACAATATAAAAAAAGAAAATTTTAATATTACCAAATTTGTTAAATATTACTCAAACATGCATTAACACCATCCCAAAGCACTTTAGTCAAGTGCGGGCTCGATGTATAATCTGATTGAGAGTGATAGAAATGCAGCTTAGGGCGACCGCCATCTGTATTTTGAAAAAATGGACTCTCTAAAAAAACCTTTGAACAATATTTGGCGCAATTTGGGACTGGCAACATGCATATTCATTAAAAGAGGTCCTTTTTGAATAAAATTGACTGTCGGGCCAGCCCCAGGAATACTGCGGTATGCCTTGCCAGGATCCCACACTCTACAGCATACTTTTCGAAAGATTTTTGTCTCGGCATCGGAGAGGATGTGTGATTCCGCGGTGTAAGGATACTGCGATATTTTTTGCATATCGCGGCAACCCCCATCTGCCAAGTTAAAGATACTGTCGTAAATTAGTGGGATACATCGAGATCCCGATAATGGTCGCAGTATCGCGAGAGATTTTTCCCAACAATATGCCCTGCCGGTTGAAAGGAGGATCCTTTTCCATGGCCTCCCCTGCAGTCTCCCGAGTTAGGCTTATGAATTTCGCATGAAATTCCAGCAATCTCCTAAAATTAACCTCTTTAGTTCGTCTTACCTCAAAAAATTAATCTAAATATGAAAATTGACATGTTATTCTTTAAGAATGATTCTGTATAATGGTCTGTTTTTGGCAATGCTACAAGGATGGTACATTCGTACAAATATGCTAATAAAAGTAAAAGTTGAAAGCTATCGTTGTTGATGGAACTTTATAGAGGCGCTTGAATGTTCTTGGTGAAAATGTCGCATACAACATTCGAGGATGCGTCTGAAAATGTATAAAAAACTTGTTAATGCAAAAATCTATATAATCCTTATATTTTGCCTAACACTACCGAATGACTTCTAAATTTTATTTTTTCGAACCGGAACGAGTCTCCCATGCTTTTTTCGTAAAAATTCGACATTGCATTTTTACGAACCGGAAGTAAGTGAACACACTGATTGGAAATTATGATTTAGTTCGCCTGTTCATTCTCAGTTGTTGAAAGATATACCCAAACTTTTTCTACATGTTTTTTTGAGATCCTGGTTTTTTAACCTTAGTCAAAACAATTTTTTGTATAACCTGGAAAATATTTTTTAATATTCTGGAGGCACTAGTATACACTTATAATATAGTTGAATATTCGAATTATTCTGTGCATTCCAAGTACTGATTATTCGAAGAGTGTTAATAAAATCCAGACTCGGCAACCCATATATTGATAAAAAAATATGAGCCAACTATCCACACTCCTCTCAGATTATCTAAATATCACAATTATGATAACACATACACATTTCATGTGGGTATTTGTTACACTCTTTAATGATTATCTGGATATACGTCGATTCGATTAAGCTCTCAGCTTGAAACCACAACTTTTTGTTCTTATGTGTTCAATCCTGTTTATTGGTTCTTCGAAGTATTTATTTCACATTCTCTCACATCATTACAATTCATATATCCAAACTATCGCTTTGCCGTATTTCTAGAAATGTGAATATTTATGTTTTATTTTTATATTTGTTATCTCTCCTGTGTTTAAATCCAATGTGTGTATGTGTATTCTACACAAACAAGACCAAACTAATGCTATATTCCGGCGTCCAAATATGTATCTAAGATAAAATGAGATACTGTAACGTCATTTATGAGAATTTCTCATAACTGCTTCTGTTTTTACTATATACATATACTTTGAGCAGGTTAGTGTCTTATAGATGGCGCTGTAGCCATCTATATGCTTGTATTTGCTCATATACACAGTGCCATCTATTACAAAGTATACAGTTAAAACAATCTACCACTGATGTCGTAATGTGTACGAGAGAGAAGCGCGAGAAGCGTGCAATACGTGTTTTAGTAAGAGATAGAAGCATCTCTGTTTAGCAACCCGAGTGACGAGGCCATGGGTGCCATCGGCGCGCTCTTTCTAACACACATATTGGACGATTCTCGTGACATTACGACGTCAGCCAAATTTGAACCCTGCTGTACTCGTCCATCATCCTATGAAAGTATTTAATTCGAAAGAACCTATTAATCACCTTTGTTTTAGTAGTAAAAATTTCATAAGTGTTAGACTAATATCCACGAAGCTTAGGTCCTGAATTTACGTATCGACAGCCCATACAGTCTCTGTACGATGCACGATTTTTTTTAAATCACTTATTTATTTAATTTATTACTATAATTATATATTTTCATGTTGATGTCTGCCTTTTAGGATCTCCCGAGATATTATACTTAAAACGTCTTGCCTTGATTCTTGCCATCTTTTTTCTGTAAAGATTGGGTCAACCCGTTAAATTCTGAAAATGTCTGTAGTTTATTATTTTAATATACCTCGGAAACGAATGCTTGTGGGCTATTTATTCAGTTAACGTAATTGATTTTTCAATTATTTTTTTTTTCAAAATCGTAGCAATAATATAGAAGGCGAACAAGCCCCCAAAACGCAAGAAGAAATCGACTTGGAAGAGGGAGAAATCGACGACGATGATGAAGAAACTCCAGAAGTACGTGCTGAGGATGCTGTCAAGGCGGAACCAGTTGAGGCTCCAAAGGTGGAGCCTTCCCCAACAGTGGTTACAGAGAAACCAACCTCAGATAAAGAGGTAATCCACCTATTATAGATCTCTTCACTGATTTTGGCGGTTGCATACCAGTGTCATACAAAATAAGTAAACAGAACGACTAATTGTGTCATGTGCAGAGCCAATAGAACTGTAATTGTTATTCCGACTACCGATAGTACGTGACTATACATGCCGAATTGTCAACGTCAGAGAATAAACATTATTTGCCTCTCATCTGACTGAAGCAGAAGCCTGAAAACATAGAAAGGTCATAGAAAAACTTGCATTTCGTTAGAAATTATCACGTTACAGTTCTTTCGTCTGAACATTGGAGGTCAAGTTTTGTCACTTGTTCATAGAAAAGTGAAAATTCTGGGAATGTACTTTTGGAGACAAAATATTGATATTTCGTCAAAACATATATTTTGAAAAATACCCGATTGCTGTGATATAGTTAGTGTTTTAAACCGATTGTTCAACAAGCTACTTTTTGAGTGTTTCGGTATTCAGAGAAACCTAAAATCCATCGAAAATACTCGTATATTGGCGATATCCCCCTGACTGAGATAACGTGGCGGGTTGACGTGTGGCGTGAGAAGGTTACTGAAACGTAACAATTTTTTTGTTGTTGCAGGTGAACCCCGAAAAGGAATTCAGGCCCGAAAAAACAAAAGATAGGCGGAGGCATGGAGAGAAAGGTAAAAATAAAAAGCACATGACTGAAGCTGAAAGGAGCATCTTACACCTTAGGAAGCGAGAAGAGATGCAAAGAAGAAAATGGGAGAAGTTTAGTAGGAACAAAGACTTGATGGATGGACTGGGTAAGTGAATCCATTGTTTCATTGTTTTCTTCAAGACCGACAGTAGTAAACAATAAATCGACATACTTCATCAATTTTACTCTCCTCCGTTCTTTCTCCCTGACATTTTCTGGCAACTAGACCTGACAGACCTATTGACCTGTAAGACTTGAACCTAGATAAAGGGCTTATGAACCGTTCTGGCAGACACCAACAAATAAAAGTACCTAGACATGGGTCATGAACGAGCATAATAATGCTAAAAATGACAAATGGTTGAATTACGAAACACTCCACATCTTGGTTCATCTAGCATCTGTGTGGATGTGTGATTTTATTTCTGTTTAGTTTGCATTTTCGTTATCTGAGTTCTGTTGTTTATCATTTGCATTTAAAACATATCTTTTTATATTTCAGATGATGATTTTGCAAAAAATATAGAAAAGACATTAGCGACAATATTGAGTAAAAAAGAAAAGGAAGCAGCAGCTTTAGGGAGCGGCGGCGAAGAGAAAGTTAAGGAAGAAACAGAAGTAGACAGCAAGAGAGGGAAAAAACGGAAAAAAGGTGACAAAGAACGAAAGGTAAGATTTGAAATTTCTGTTTTCTTCATTCAGTTTCCAGTAAAAATCGTGTTTTTTTATTTTTTCAAATTCCTAATTATTCTAGAATAGTCTGTGTTCTAGAACCTACCCGAAAATAGAGTTATGTGGAGTAAGTCAGAACTCTCTACGTGTTTGGTGCCCCAGGACAAGTTTGGAGGCTTTATGCATTTTTTTTTCGTTCATAATTTCGAACCTGCTGCCGCCCGACTACATAATCCTTGCTTGATGCTGTCCAGAGGAGGGCTGTCCGACAGATCGATGACTCTCCTTCATGATACCGCCGTGCGATGAGCCAGCCAGACAGACCCGCCTGACGTCGACTCCTCGTCCTAACTGTGTCGAACTTCGTATATCCAGAACTGGGCGGTACGACCGCTCCTTCGTTCCTACGGTGTCGAGATTGTGGAACAATCTGCCTGAGGAGACTTCCCAGTTATACTAACCTTAGACAGTTCAACAATCGGATTTAAAAAATATCTTCAAGCCGTGGTGCCCCGGTATTTGAGCGTTTACCTATACGGTTGCTTCAGTATAAAAAAATCTGTTAACTCTTAAACATGACTTCAGTTATCCTAAGATTTCGTATTCTCAGAATTGCAAAACGACGGAAAGGGATTCCTATAACCATTGGTTGCAGTCTGAAACGTGGCAACGCTGCCACCTAGAGATAGTGGTCGGCACATTGTAAGCATAAGTGGCTGGCGGCGCTACAATGCCTATTTTAGTCTTAGCTGACATTGTTTTCGTAACATTTCCGAATGCTTGACATGAACAACGAACAAAATTTCTCTCTGGCCTAATATTCGATTGCATTGTGGTTGCTCCCTCAAGAATTTTTCGCTTTGTATCTTGGGTAGTCAGCCAAAATCGCCCTTTTCCTCTCTACAGATATGGGGTTTTACCAAAATGTCCTCATTTTCGCGCATATATATCTTTCAATTAGCTTATCTAAATAAGACGGCACAAAGTGCCATCTATCCATCTGGTTCTGGTAATAGATGGCAGTTTGTGATGTCTTATTTCGATAAACCTTATACTCTGGATGAGTAGAATTGTTCAACTTTAGTCTGCACCATGCTGAGGTGTTGCAAAGTAGCACGAAACAGTTGTTCATGGTTGTCCGTCTGTGGTCGGACGAACGAAAGCTATATTACTAGTTTCTTTCAATTGGGTTAAGATTCTTGTGGTGGAATATGTTAATCAATGGATCCACTCTTCGTCTCCAGCGGAAACACCATCGAACAGAGTCGCCGCCACCTTCCGACCCTGACGAAGGAAGCCTGAGCAATCATGGGATTATGATGGGAATAGGTGGAGACGGTACTCCAGACCATCACCATGAAGGCAGTCCTTCCGTACACTCAGAGGACAGTAGAGAGTCGGCTGAACCTTCAGAAAGGAGGAGCAAGAAACGGGAAAGACGGAACAAAGAACACAGGAAGGCCTCTAGGATCAAAGAGCAGCAACAAGACAAGTCAAATGAGAAAGTGTGCGTGTTTTACCTACAGGGAAAGTGTTTGAAGGTAAGAACGAACTATATTTGCTACAGTTTATGTCTCCATTGACACCCTTTACAGAGACCTTGACATCCTTTCCCTACACCAGAAGCAACGATGTTAAGCTCAAGCGAAATCACACAGCGACCCGCAACACAATTCCAAGTGACCTCTCCAAACCACTTTTTTATCTTTGCTCTCTGCCTTTTGTATTCTTTCTCCCTGTCTTTGTCTGTTATCTGGGCAACTAGGCGTTGCAGACCTACAATTAAATGACTGGCTAACACTAACCAAAAGATATTTCTTACAATGACAAGTTTGATGAGTGATTTATAAATTATTCTAAACTTATTTTCATCTAATTTATTTCAGAATGACTGTCCATATTCTCATGAGGCAGTTCCTCCAATGAAACTAGAATTGTGTAAATTTTACTTAATGGACTGTTGTGCAAAAGGCGACAAATGTTCGTATATGCACTCAGAGTTCCCGTGCAAGTTCTATCACACAGGTTTGAATTGTACACAAGATGATAACTGCAAATTTGCCCATGGAAAACCTCTATCAGATGGTAAGTTCAATATTTTGTACTTCAAATATATTTAAAATGACAATATATATATACAGACCCATATATCGTGCCTCTACTTTATATTACAGCGTCAAAATGGCTGAAAAATGATGATGATTCGTTGAATTGTGCTGTGGGCAGATGGGGTTACTCCCTTAATGTACCATATATTATAGAGAGTGATTCACAAGTCGTGACCAAAAATGAAACATCAAATACAGGACCGCATTCTATGTAACAATTTTTCCTCGAGGGCTTCATTGAAAAGATACGGGGTGTTGAAGTTTAAAAACATTTTTTTTTAATATCTTCATAGCCGTCTGCTGGACTGAACTAAAATTTGCTATGTGGATTTATCTAAGTATTGTTCACATTCAAAAGTCTTTACTTAAAATTAACCTGCACCAGTGGCGGAGATACAGGGATAAGTGGCATTATTTTTCCAAATAAAAATATTACGTCACAGTTTTTTTTTTCGAGACGTGCGATTTTTCGAATTTTACCTTCAATTTGCAATGCACTCTAGGAAAAAACACAAGAGTAATTATTTGTAGCATAATGAAGGTAAAACTCTAAAAATTGCGCGTTTTGAAAAAAAAACAATGACGTACTATTTTTATTTGGAAAAATAATGCCACTAATCCCCTGTATCTCCACAATTGGTGCACGTTAATATTAAGTAGAGAGTTTTGAATGTGGACAATACTTTGGTAAATCCACATTCCAAATTTTAGTTCATTCCAGTTGACGGTTTTGAAGATATTTTTTATTTTTTAACTTCAAAACCCTTATCTTTTCAATGAAGCCTTTGAGGAAAAAAGTTACATAGTAAACCCCCTTCAAAATGCAGTCATGTGTATGATGAAACACGACGTGTGATATTGATTGTCAAACTTCATCACCTCATTCAAAAATTCAATATACCAGTATGTTTCGGTCACAGTGGTGACCTTTGGTACATGACATTTTTGGCAATATTTTATATATACATATATATAGCGGTGTTGAAAATTTTGTTTTTTTCCCTATGTAGAGAGAGATATAATTTTTTCACAATTTCGAAATTATAACTTTAAGGTGGGTAAGGATGTATTTTAGTATCCATGTTTACATGAAATGTCCATGTTATCTTTGGATTTACTTTCTACACTAAAAATATTGCCATTGTTCACGATTTAGATAAGTCAAATTTTATTTTCTTTTGCAGGTTTGAAGCAGATCCTTTTCAAGCATATCGAAACTGCGCCCAGGGACATTCTAGGCGGCTTCCCCAGACTGAATCGTGATGAAGTCCTGAACATGATCAATGTGACACAAGCCAAGCTGCAGCAAGAACATGGGATGCCAGTTACCGAACCCAGCATGCTGTCAGAAGCAAAAGGTGGGATACCTTCATTATTTGATATTACCGTACCTTGTCCCCCTGAGTTAATCGGATACGACGGTTAGTTTTTCGTTTTGATTTTGATTTATGTTGGTTGTGCTGTCCCATCGGGTGACATTTTTTTATTTATTTCATCTAACACGCTTGAAATGCATTGTGGATTATAGAGGAATAGAGCACGGCTTTAATTGAATTGGATATTTGTTCTAGAGGAATCTGTTAATCAATGATTAAATCTTAATGCAGACCTTAGTGATAAGAATGTATAATTCTTGCAAGTCTCCTAACAATTGCTCGTCTTATATAAAGAAAAAAATCGTAGATTTTTGTGCAATAATTCTTTAGGCCAATATTTCATGTCTATTTTCTGATATACTCGAAACTTTAGCGTTTTGCTCAACTCATATGGTACATAATCACCATGGATGACAATGCTGTGCGTGCTGTGAAAACGCCCCCAAATTTGATGCCTAAAGTACCAATGGTGCTCTGACAGGGTTGCCATGTTGGGGGACTTCCCCAAATTTGAAGGACTTTTACTTTGGGAATTTTATGGGGATATAATGATCTGGATATGTTTCGCGGATTGGAAGCATCCCCTCGCTTTTTGATTCAAACCTTTTCATTAATTGTGATTTGAGCTTTTTTTTGAAAAAGTCGCAATGTTCTGGAGAAATCCCATCTGACAACTCGATTATTTTTGCTTATTCTTTGTAAATGATTGGTGTATATAGTCAGAAATCTGTTAGAAATTGCTACTGTTATTTAACTATTTGTAAGGAACTGTTGAAAAATCTCCATTGCGGTGAATTGTTTAACGACGGGGAACAGTGACGTGTTGATTGTTTGGAATTCCTGCTATTCTCGAAAATGCTGGTGAAAAACTCATTCAAATGTCCAAAGACTGACCAGATTTATGGATTAAGGCCCGTATCGTCAGTCGCTCCTACAATTGTAGGACGACTTTATGGCCTCCTTGATTGTCATAGTTTTCTACTTTTCCGTGTCAGCGCTTTATTTTGAGGTTATGTCACAAATATCTATTTGCATCAAATGCTTTTGATGTATATCATGTTTTATCAGCCGGAAATTTCCTACAATTTAAAAAGAAAACATATCTTCACAATAGGAGAGCGCTGACTCTGACACAGAACAGGTGCAATCTAGAAATTTTTGAAGGAGAGAAAAGAGTATGACAATCAAGGAGGCCATAAAGGCGTCCTACAATTGTAGGAATGACTGACGACCCTGTCATTGACGATGGGGTTCCGTGATAGAAAAATAACCAAAGTATGCAAATTTGTTCCAGGTGTTTTAGAAAAGGTAATGAAAAACAAAATTGGTAGAACTAAACATGTATTTTTATAGGAGTTCCAGCAGACTTAACAGACAATGATGATCCTGATTGAATTCCTAGTCAAAATTCCTATTATTTTTTTATACTAGACTATAATTGTGCAATCTCACTTATAGGATCCTAAAACTTATTGTAATAGCTGGGCGACAATTTACAGATTTTACAAATAACTTTTGCTTTGATCATTACCTCGAAAGGTGTGATTTATAACTATGAAAACACAAATTACTAGTAAAACCTGTAAGTTTGCACCTAGCTGATTAGATTTTAGGGTCCTAATCGAGAGATTTCACGATTTAGTTTAGTATTAGACCGTGGTATCAGCACAAATCAGTTTGAGATTAAAATTTACCCTAACCTCTCATACCTTGCGCATGCGCAGAAATACACTCCGATCACCGCGCTCTCAATCTGGCGTCAACTTTTGGGGTCGTTTTTCTCATTTTCCCGTTTCTCCTGGCTTCTCGATAACCACTTTGTAAATCTGTGATCGTTTTCATGTCTGATGCTCAGATAACAAGTTTATGCATGTTTCTCCATTCAGATCACGTGAGTAGTTAGTTCAGAATCTAGTGAAGTAATCAACCATAAAATACTATGTATATAATCTTCAACTGAGATTTTTTATTTTACACTAACTACATTTGCTGCTGGCTTGTTATTGTACTACCTTTTCAAACCGTCGCTCGAAGTCTCTTTCCAGTTCTTTTGAATTTAGAGTTGTTAGGCACCGGGAGTGTGACTGATCTAACAAATGTGCACGGGAACGTGACGATAAAAACATAACCTGTTCTTTGTTGTTTTTGCTTTGACGTTGACAATTTGTATCACATTACCAAACAATAAAAATGTAAACACATTTTACCTTCACTTTCAGAAGCATTGTGAGACTATCCAATTGATGGTTTTAGAATGATAACGAAACACGTCAGAGGTTTGCATTTTTATGGTAAAGTTTCTGGGTAAAGTGTCGAATTCATATTTTAGTGTAGACATTCAAAATTATTTTCGAAGTGTCTAGTTATAGATTAAGTCAACTACAAGCCGCAACGAACCTCTCGTCTTGCACTCTCTTGTGGACTTTATTATTCAGGAACATCTCAAATGTACACAGTCACTATCTGGGTCTTAACATTATCAGTTTTTGACCATGATCCATTGTCTGGTAACGGTTTAATGTGAGTTTAATGCAAGAAACAAATACCATGAAAAATCATAACCTAACAATCTTGACACATTGTAATTTTCGTTATCCCCAATATATCGGAGCGTATACCCTATTTCACGAGTATCCATCACGCTTTGTCGCAATTTGACTTCTACTGAGGTGAACAGCTGATCAGCAAGTGACATTTTTGTGTTAGTCTGCAAAGTTGACTATAATGAATCGGGTGTAAATCTAGCAAACATTTGTTTGTAGCGTTTTGTTTTTTGTATGCAAATGAACTTATCTGAATAAAATAGCTGTTAGCAAGTACAAGATGAATCAGTAGCGTACAAAAACCAAAACAAAATACGGCTCTGACTACCTGGGGTTTACGGATTCGTCAGAATTTCGTGTCCTGTGCCGATATGGAGAGTTTTGAGATATTACTATGTAATCAGCTTTCATTCTACCGTGATGGATACTTGTTAAATAGGGTATATGTTTCCTTTGCCGATATGGGGAATTTTGAAATATTACTAGATAAGCAGCTGTAATTTTACCGAGATGGATACTCGTGAAATAGGGCATATAACACCGAATAAAAAGCTAGTGCATGAGGGGCAGGGGATTTCAAAAATGAGTAAGTAGCTCAGGTGTATGACACTCTAGAGCAGTGGGTATTGACAGGCGGTCAGCAGTTCCGAGTTACTCCGAGTAACACTAATGAGGCACTGGAAGGGGCTCTAGTGTCATGACATCACTCACTTGTCATTGTAAGACAGACGTTGAAGTCATGTCAGATTGACAGAGATGCTGACACGAATTTTGAAAGGGTAGTCAAACCTCACGTATGCATAAATTGAAAAAGAACAAGAAGAAAATGCCAGTTAAGTTGTACTATTACTATATAAATGATATGATTCCAGGTAAGATGGACAAACAAGGGAGGAATAGGCCATCCAGGTGGCAAGATACTGAGAACGGACCTGGCAAAATGCTTGGATTCCCTATGAAGACTTTTGTGTATGGACAAGATCAAGACATGAGGATAAACAGGTAAGAGTTGTCTTCTAGAATATGTTGGGGTGGGGAGGGCATTCACAAAATCTTACATGTACTATCGCATGAAGAAAGTATAAGGTAGGTTTGGTATAACTAAAGTGCATGCTGAAAATGTTCAGACCTTTTGTATTTCTGTCTACAGCCATGTTGGTCAGTAATAAAGGTCAGGATTGCCACAAATTCTGCAACATTGGGAATACCGCATCTTGTACATTCTAAGGCAAGGTTTCCTCCTCCACAATCATAATGGTATTTGTTATATTTTCCGACCGTTCGCTGTCGCAAAATGTAACAATAACTCAGGAAGTGTTGTGTTGATTTTATCTCTATTAGTGGAAATCAAAGATAATTTTAAAATAAGTTAAAACACTAAATTGCAACAAAAATAAAATAAATAATTCTAATCAAAATAAAAACAAAATATTAAATGAAATGTTCAGATGTACCTCCTTCTTGGGTATTGCTGAACCATGTGCGAAACTTTTTTTGGAGTAACATATTGTCAACGCGGCAGATTGCACGACAAATTTGGTTTTCCCTGTATGTTCAATGCCATCATATTGACACAGGTCTTTGCGAGTTTCAGTTAAATCGACGGTTTTGTTCCTGAGAGAACACCTAAAATGTTTGTATGAGCTCTTATGAGACACTTGATAGTTCCTGGAGTATTCCAACTTCAACAAAAACAACCTGAGGGGTACTAAAACGTTACCAGAAAATTTTAAGCATATCCACCATCATAATTGTAATATCTGACTTGAAAGCTAATAAATCCATAGTCGCCGTCCTATTAACATTTTTCCATATAATTTCATTCCATAAATTCTAGATATGTTGAAAACACAGATTTTCTTTGTTTGTTGATTTAATTAATATGAATGCAGTTTCAATTTTGTATAATTATTCGTTTACACATTTTTCTGATGCGTCTCATAATTATTGTAGACTCTATTTTGATTCTTGTAATATCTAGCAAGAAAGCTGATAAATTCGTAATTTCTGCATACGATCCGCGTTCTGTTTGGTTGTGTTAAGAGTATTGTTTGTGGAGATACGGCATGCGGCTAGGGAAACATTTTAGGCCTGCCCAAGCTTAGTTTCCCATCGTCTTTAATAGGTGCCGCAAGTTAGTCATTTGTGAAGTCCTATTTATCGCCTATCCGTTGTTAAATTAAGGTTACGACCACGATTTTAAATCAGAAATCGGATCTTACACTTAGTAATATTATGAGAAAATTAAAGAAAACTCATAAACATCTTTTCCAGCATTGGCGACGTGGACATGCGCACATTACCACCGCCTCCAATCACCTCTATTCCACCACCAATGACTTCAATTCCACCTCCCACTACCGTATCAGCGCCTACCATGACAAGTCCCGCAATCTCACTGGGTCTCAGTGGTGATGTGGACATTCGACCAACGCCTAGTATGTTGAATCCCCAATACACCCAGGATGTGGACATTAGGCATACGTTGTTGGGACCGCCTCCTCGTGGAGATGTTGATATCAGGCATTTAGGAGTTATGCAGCCAGTGGTAGAGGAAGCTGAGGATGAGCCCATGCTGCAAATTGATACAGGCGAGGATAAGGACAGCAGGTGATTTATGCTGCTGTTTACGCAGTTTTGTCTGATAGCCTATACTTTTCAATGCACTTTTCACAGACGTATCAAGTAACTTCCAACCTTAGTTGTCTAGGTCAAGTCGGTGCATATTGGCGCTAAATTTAAATTCTGAACTATCTGTTGGGATACTCATTATTGCACACTGTTTCTTCATTAAGTACTGAAGTTGGTTAGTTTTACAGATTGTCCCTGGTAATTCATCTGTACTTTGAAGTGTGTATGCTACATTTTTGTAAGTTTTTTTATGAATGTGATTTGAACTTTAATATTTCAGGATGCAGACCAATCAAAGGGATAATACTGCACAAAATGACAACAAAGGATTCGAACTAGACGAGAATATTAACTGGTACTCGGATGATGACGATGAAGATGACAATAGGCTCACCATAAAAGTTGATAATGAAGATCTTAAAGAGAGGGTAAGAAGTTTAGTGATTTGAATTACGTGTTTTATTTACACTTTAATATTTATGTGAATTACTGTTTTAAAATAGGAGGAGCAAATGGAAAGCTTAGGATCTACAATGCTTTCGCCACCCCAAATCCAGCCTATCCACGAAGTCGTCGAAAAATTGGGCGATCTTTCCAAGATCGATATTTCTGCAGAAGTGACCAAATTACTAACTTCTATGAGCCAAAACAAAGGGCAGTTTTCGAACCTTTTTCCACAAAAAGCGCCTGGGGAATCAAGTCCTGGTAGCAATAGCACCAAGGCATCAGGTATATTTCAAAAACATACTATATGTACTGTTCTCACCAACACTAACCTGACTTATGTCACTATTTATCGACGAGAAGATCTATAATTTAACTGGTTTTGTTCTTAAAAGTCCTAATTGAACAAAAACTGAGCAATGTATTTCACAAATAAAATGTAGCAGATCAATTAATGAGCATACACATTTTGTATTACCAAAAAACTCAAAAAACAAAGGATCTGCGGAAAGTAACACCTATTGGCAAGCATATTTCAAAGGTGTGAGGTGTGACGATATTTGTGAATTATTAACTTGGTTTTTACACTTCTTGTGTCAACTGCAGCTTTCGTGAAAGGTTTTGATTGCTGCTGTTCCAACCAACGAATTCAAATAGTTTAGTAGCCAAACCTACATGCTTAAATTAATTACATTGTTTGTCGCCAAAATCGCGTAGTTTAAGTGCATACTTTTACCTACCAATGCCTACCAGAGTGAGCATTGAATCAATGCAATAATAATAATAATAATAATAATAATACTTTACCAGTGGACACACCTTTCTTTGTTAGGCTTGTGCTGCTCTTTGCAAATTGTGAAATAAGTACCATGTTATGAATTCATCTAATACCTCAATTATCTACAAACAATTATTGTACTTTTAAAAAATAACACTGAAAATATGAATTTAATGACAAATCTGTGCAAGTGCACTTGTAGTATGCACTGTGATCCTCACTTCAAACTATGAGAATTAGGAGACAAACAAATCATTGACTGGCTCTTTCTACCTAGTCTGAATTGGTTAGTTCCATGAACAAATTAGTTAGCTGAATAGATGACATTTTTCGTCAATTGGCGGGCGACTTGAAAGAAATTTGCGACGGCACTGCTAGCAACCGTTGAGCAACTGATCGCGTTGCGTCGCTTTGGTGAGAACGCTTGTAATTGAATACATGTAGCGAAGCGGGTGGTGGTTGCCAGTTGCTCTTGCTGGAAACAGTCCTTAAGATCCACATAAAACAACGTCAAGATATGCCAATTATTATTAATACCCGCAATGCCATTATCTATTTTGCGCTGTAAGAAATCGGTAGAACCAGATGCTCCGCTGTTCGATTTTCGTCCGCCGGCGCGCATGACGTCACGCGGAGAGTGATTATTATTTGGGTTAATATGGAAAACGAGCATATTTTCACCTACAGGCCAAACGGCTGGACGGATTTTCACATATGGAGTGTCGTTGGATTCGTCTTAGCGGTGCGAGATTTCATAGGCTACAGCTCAAACGGCTTGATAGATTTTCACATATGAGGTGTCGTTGGATTCGTCTTAGTGGTGCGAGTGACACAATCTACATTAAATCTTCATACAAAACAAAATGGCGGAATTAAATAAAAGATTTCAACCTTGTAATCCTATCTCACAGGCTATAGATTAAAAGGCTTTCTAGCTACACAATTGAGCGTGTATCGTCACTTTACTGTAAAAACAAGATTGTGCTACATTACCTATATTTTAGTAGATATGTACTGTGGAGCAGGATTAACATGGTCATGACGTTAATACTGCATTACATGTATTCATCCTTATTTCACATAGCATCCTAAGTACTAACTAACACAACTGGAAAAGTTGAAAAATGGAGTTATCATCTTTTTGCAGTAAGCTGGCAGTATAATAATAAATGGCAATGACTTAGTCTAAGCTACAGTTTATCTCCATTTCCTTTCACGATTTTTCTGGTCTTTCAAAATTTTACTCAGTTCTTTAATCCGGAAGAACATCGTTGACCTGAAAAATAGTTTCTTAGCTTTTTCAGGGCAGTCAATGTTGCAGCTTTGCCTATAAAATTTCGCTTGTCTGTCACTATTCCATCCCCATTGAATGTAGTAAACACCTTATTAAGCTTTTCAATTTGATTCAAGAAAGCTGTGGAAGGTTTTGATAATCCACTCTCACTAAGATGGTCTATCCAGGAGTAAGTTGCATTTGAAGAACCTTTCAACCTCTCATGCTGCAATTTATGGCAACCAACGCCGGCCAAATTTTTCAGCCCATCATACTCGAGCTCATCCATTTCTTCCACTAAAACTTCCTCGTTATAGTCAGCTGATACTTCAGGTGCATTCAGTTTATTCGTTAATGTAGCAGTTAGTGGAATGTCCAGAGTATCCTCTTCCTCTACACTGAGTATGCGCCTTCGTTTAGCCCCAAAATATATGACCTTATTATATACTTAAACTCTAGGGGATAAGTTAAGCCCTCTTCCTTTTTTCGAAAGCACTTTTCCGCTTTTCCTCGTCAACAGATGTAGATGGTCCAGGTGATGATAAAAACTTGGGTAAATTTTCCATAGGAATTTCATCATCTTTTAGAGCACGATATCTTTTAGGGGTGTAACTCAAAAGGGTATGTTTCAGATTGACCTTATAGGCACTTTCACAAAAAAACACCAACAAATCGCACTATATAGTACTAACCACGATACACGTGAACTGCAGTAACGTTACGACAATCCTGCCGCTGGTAACCACGAGCCGACAACTCTGCGGCTGACGTCACGAAGCTCCGCCCACATGCGCAATATTCTATCTTCAGTATATGTGTATCGTGGAACCAGATGGATATGCTTTATTGTTTGAAGAATAATAAGATTAATATTAATAAAGTTAACTTATAACCAATTTATCACAAAATTACACATGCTAATCTTAAGTAAATGTATTGTAGAACTAACACATAGTATAATATGGCTGATTAATTACAATGCTCTGAAGTTCCCGGCGCAATATCTTTAAATTGTTGATTCTTTTGATAGCATCCAAAAGAAGATATGTTACGTTTTCGTATCTGTGTTTAGGTGATCCAAGAAGCGAAACGAAAAACCCTGTTTCAAGGAGCGATCCTAGGCAAGATCCAAGATTGGCAGGCGCCGATCCTAGGCAAAGGTCGAGACAAGGCTCTACGGAAGTGGCTTCTAGGTCTGAAAAGGTCAGCATTTATGAACAAGGATCCATTGAAAGAAGTGATATGGGTGACGATGTGGATATCGACTTTAGAAGTAAGTGTAGCATGAATTATTTTCGAAATCTTATTGGCTAGTTTCAGTTATTCATTTATTATTTGCAAAGATATTCATGGCTTTACAAGCTAGCATCCATGTGCATGGCACGCCATGAATCTTTTAGCTGTGATTCCGCAAATCGAACAATCTAAAATTCATGGTGTCAAGTCAGAGCTATAAGGTGAATTATGCAACATTTGGGTACTCGCTTCTGCAAAAAACGGTTAACTAAGCACAATTCGCCGGCCCGTTGTAGATGTGAAGATTCCACAAGGGCATCAGATCTGGTTGCTAAATTTTTCAGTGCCGCGCAAACAATCGTCTGGGTACCACTTAGACTGTGTCCTGTTTAGCAAGTACAATATTTGCCTCTTAACATGATTTCCTGAAAAAGGACGATCATTCTTTTCCAAAGAGCTAATTTTTCTCTGGGATCAGTTATTTGCCATTTTCGAAAAGTGAGACTTGGATTTGTACTTTGGTAGAACAAAAAAAAATATGGCCATCTTCCGTCACCTATGATGATGGAATTTATAGTACTATGCTTTCCAGGTTAAAATCTTTTCAGTTTTTTTTTAATCAAGTTACATTTGTCAATATGTATTCATCGGTTAATATTTGGGGTACCTAAAGGGTACAAAGTCATGTCATTCTAGTGTCTCTAACAAGTTTTTCGTTCTTCCCAGTTACTAGAACGTAGATTGTCTTCCAAACTAAATGAAATTTGAATATCATCTTTCGATGGTCCTTTAAGATGGCTTATTCCCACCAAATACTTTTTTCGTCTAGTCGTCATATTCTTTAGTTGATAAACCACGGCGAAAATGAGAGTTGATCTAGGGTCTTGATTGTAATTAAAGTCACTATTGGCGTAGTCGAAATTCTGATAACGGATAACGTCATTCCCTGGCGACTGAGAACAATAAATTTCAACAGTTGCCGAAATTATGAGGGCGAATGTGGTAATTTGTAGATGACGTTTAATTTAGTTGTTTAATTCTATAAAATTCAATCGAATATGTTAATAAGCTCACCTGTTCATATTGGACTTCAGTGTTTGTACAATTTTAGATAATATAAAACTTATTTTTTTCTGAGTTCTTTATGCACGTCCTGCAACAGGTCCTGAATGATTAATGAAGCCTCGCACCCTCCAGTGTGGCTGGAGCTCTTCGGGGCCTTAAATTCTGAATCAACCCTCGTATAATAACTATTTGAAAGAATACAAATTTATTTGTACCAAAATTAGAAATGTAAAGACAACCCAGCTTGGTTGTATTATCATACGTCACAACTTACGTCGTGTCCTATGTATAATCAATCCATTTGTTATGTGTTAGCTATGCGTAGCGATGTGGACCTACGCAACTTACACCTACCCTTCAAAGGCATGGCCAATTACACGCCCGCATCCGAGATAGATGCCAGCATAAACTCGCATCCGCCGATGCAGTGGAAAGTGACCGTTTGTGACGTGCCTAGGCCTGATTACACCGGTCTCAAACTGAACGTCAGCGATGCCGAAAAAACAGGAGACCCCCGCTTGAGAAAGATCTTCCGATTGAGCATCGAGGAGCGGGATACGCCACTTAGCCCGAAGGCGAGTCCTAAAGCTGGCAGCGCTTCCACTAGGGTGGATCCTCGGTTGAGGAAAACTGAGGAGGTAAGTGTCATTTTATTCTAATTAAGTACTATGGTATTTCGTTTCAGCCTTTGAGGCTACGTGGTTATTAACTAAAGTATTTGGCTGTTGCACGGCCGTTCTCAAATCTGCCAGAAAATATTATCCGAATGTTAAAATCTTCAACTTCAAACTGAGTTCTTGTTGCACCACTATGACTTGGTGAAAATTCAGCTAGGATAAAAGAAATTACTAAGCAACTACAAATCAGTTGGTTGAATTGGTTTTGTTTTCTTTCACATCAAAATTATATGAATAAAAAGGCAAATCGAGCACCATCATTATATTTGCTGCTATCAACACAATATTTATCTATCTAAGTATTTGCATCCTTCAAAGGCATTCGAACAATTCGGTGAAATGCGTCATGCTATTATCATTACTCGAGGTTTTTACAACTTAACGAACTTTAAAGGTCTTTCTATATTCGCTGGAAAGTTGACATTTTAGTGTATACTTCACCTTTTTAAATGTCCACGCCGCGTGCTGGGAGGGGTAACTTGACGAAGTATTATTGAACCTACTTTCAAAAGACATCCACTTTAGGATGCCACTAACGTCATTTACAAAAGCCCAGAAGGCTTAAAGCTGAGGCCTTCACAATTAGCACTCCTGACATTGATCCAGTACAAAAAATTATAGATTTTCCAGGAAAACATCAAAAATTGTTAGAACTGCAGGTGTGAAAACGTGAATAAACTCCATGTTTTTGAACTATATAAGTAGACATTAGTCTTTACTGACGTTTCGGCCACCAGCGTGACCTTTTTTTTTATTTAGCCAGAAAATCATAGAGTTATATCAACGTGAAAACTACAAGATACATTTCAGACCTTACATCCTGTATGATCGCTTTATAATTTGGCACCCCACCTCACGTGCTATAATATCACTAATCTGACGATCTGCGGCCTGGCATCATCCTCACAACATGTGTATTCTTTAATTTTAGACCAAAATTTCCACATCAATGGATACAGGAACAGGTACAATGAACTTCAACCAGCAGTTGACGATTCTCCAAAATTCAGCCTTCTACCAAAGCCTAACGAGCAACCAAAAGCTGTTATTGAACCAAGAACTGAATCAGCGGAACGACTCTAGCAATTCCCATGATCCTGTCCTGAATACGCTTCTGTCAAATCTGAACATCATTCCAGGATCGAACATGCAGTCCAATCCTAACTTAGGGGCTGCACTCAGCATATTGGCAAACGTTGCCAAATTGAATCCCATGCAAGCGGTAAGAATACAATCATTTTTAATGTCCACAATCAATATAGTATTTAGTATTACAGGTCACAGAAAAGTCTTATAATAGTAGATGATTGAAGCTAAAGCTGCGGTCTTTCAGTTTCCTTGTTTGAATTTTGAAATATATGCTTTTTTCACTACTAGTCTGAGGAATCATCAAAATTCATCTCAATCCTTAAGCTATGCTCTCACTAGGTGAACAATAATGAAAAAGCACCTAGCTAAATAGTGAATGCTTGCGCATATCACCAAGAAAGCGCAATGAGCGGCTGCCCATGCTTTGACATTCAGCAGTTAGACAACACTGCTGTTTCAGCTGCTTTTGACGCCACATTCAGCCCAACTGTTTTAGGGTTTTTGCTGGTTTAGCCATTCAGCGCATAGTAGGGTGCATGTGGATGAGTTGTCAAGTTTAAAAGTAGTACATGTAGGTTATGTTAACATCTTTTTATTGTCAATTGTATTAGTGGAAAATTGTTTAAATTTATAGAAAAACATCTAAAAACAGAACATAGTATCAAAATATTGGATAGTAGCACAAACCAGGCGAGCTCGACATTTCGACAACTGAACTTTATATTTCCAAATACTACCACAAAGAACTATCGAGAGATAAGTAATGTTGAGTATAACTGCCCATATTCTTCTTGAGTACTGTAATTTTTCAATGTTAACAGAAAGAAAACATACCTGACCAAAATTTGCATTTAAAATGAACCAGTCCAACTGGCTATCTGTTACAACTAATACATAATATGCATTTTCCTTATAAGGATTCATTTTGTTTTATTTAATGATTGATTTTAAACAGGTGCCTAACATGCTGAACCAGATGTCTCAAGCTATGGGACAGCCAGGTTTGTTGGGTGCTGCTCCAGGAATACCAAACATACCACCTGACTTTCCCATGGGATTTGATCCTAGAAATGGAGGATTGATGGGCAATGTTCCACCAATGCCTTTTGGTGGAGGTGGCTTCAACAATCAAGATACAGGACCAGGTAGGAATTATTAACTTTTTTATTGACTGTTTATCTCCGCAAATGTTATTAAAGTATCATTAATTTTCCTGCTTTTTTGAAACTTTTTTTAGTTGTTCGACTGACTGTTTTTTAAAATGAGCTTGGTGCAAACAAACGGATGTTTAACGTGTGATTTTGTGTGTGTGTTTCTGTGAATCTGTATCAGCGTATGTGTGAATCTATGACATTCGTTGATTTCATGTAGAAAATGTATGAAAGCTTCACAAAAAGTGCTATCTATTCTTATAAAAACGTATCACACTCATCAGCATTTTTATTATTAATTTTTTGTACATCTATATTAATTTATTACTAAACCACATGATGTAAAGTAAGAGTTTCATAAAGTAAGAGCATCTATAGTCGGTACAAGTTTTTATTCTTTGTTTGAGGGTGATTTTATCTGTAGTGTTCTTAACCGGGTTTGAATCTGAAGAGAATTGTTCTAATATTTGAAGGAGAGTCAGTTTTTACATTTCTGATTTTCAACATATTGTGTTTTGAAAATAAACATGCTGCTTTCGTCTGTCCAACCAAAGAGCCAACCATGGACAGCTGTTTAGTTCTTTTTGGCTACTCCTGCGCCATGGTCTGGACTATACATTACCAAAAGTGTGAGATCTATCGAAATAAGATACCGCGAAGAACCATCTCCTCTAGAAACGACCACTGCAAAAAGTGAACAGCAGCTACCGGTTTGGATTGTGTAGATCTCAGTCCGCAATTGGAGGCCCACTCAACACATGACCGCTAGCTGACGACGATCCTAGCTATCTAGTAGATGTAGTATACCTGCCATTGAACAAATTCTTTTGTTCCAGGCCCAGGAGGCAACTTCAACAACTTCAACGATGACTTCTACGAAGGCGGGGGCCCAGGCCCTGGTGGTAATTTTCGTGAAAACAGGGGCGGTTTCAACAGGGATAGACGACGAGGCAGGCATTTCAGGGGCCGAGATAGGGGTGGTTTCAGGAATAACAGGAATAATCGACCCAATAGGACACATTCGCCTCCCTAAAACACTTCTTTTTATATTTCATTGTACAGTCACGATCGTTTTAGGAGTATATGTATATACAAGGCCGTGATGAACAGGAGACAATCCCATCATACAATATGTTCAGTTCTGTGATGAAACCAGTTGACACTATTTGTTTACTATATGAATGTACATAACACACTGTAGAAGATTAATTCAAGTATATGGTACTTCACAGTTTCTTTTTCATACTTATGTGTTGAAAAATATTTACTGATTACACAGACCCACAAAATAAAAAATGTGGGGCCTGTCTATGTATTTCCCTTGTACTTGAGAAAACGCATAAAAACGATCCACAGGTCTCCAAAAAAATCTGAAGTCAAAATTGGGGGAAGGCAGACAAATATGAAAGTAATTTAGACAGAACTGAAATTTTTAGCATTTTTTGTGAGCGTGCATCTCCCAAGACCTCTGAAAAGATGCACATCCGCCAAAAATGACAAAATGTGTAATTAGTTCCTTATTTGCCCACCGACGGCCAAGTTTGACTTCAGATTCATGTTCACCTTGAAAAAGTTCACTTTTCATTCTCTGGGCCTGTGTTCTTGTGGGTCTTACAAAACCTTCCTTTGTATAATAATCATAAATTTTCTTAGTTCCAAGTTTTCAGAATGAGCACGCCAGTAAAATAGTAGTGTTAGAACTGTTTCGTCATGGAACTACAAGTATGCTATATTATGTAACATGTATATAGATATTTCAGTTCGTGCCAATGCCTAAACATTATATTTGAATAGTTTTGATACAGGGTGTTTTGTATTCGTTCCGATTCTTGAAATATGAAATAAAGATTGCTTGGTTGATACGTGTTGAAATTTTGTACACAGTGCAGCCAAAATGAAAACTTGTTACATATTGCACTATTTGTATTTTCTGGGCAAGACAAAGGCGAGTTTGAATGGTACGTCAGACACCATACTTCAATTCTTTTTATGGTTTTAAGTAAACAGATTGATTAATGGTACCATATGCGTAGCTTAACTTCCCTAACTGCGTAAGCTGATCAGTAACGTAGCTGTTACTCATTCTCACACATACATTAATTTGGTGATAGAGGACCGTTGTTTTCACTGACTGTCTCAAAATACTTCCATAAATTCAATACAGACTGTCGGCGTTCTGGAGACATTACTGTTTTACATCAAAGATCAAAAAAGTTGAACACAAATCGCACGCCCATTACAAACAAGTTGTATGTTACAACACGGTGGGCGATAAAACTCTCCTAGTAAGTTTTGAGAAGACAAAAGAAGTGATAATTGAATTTGTACATATTTCTGTGAAAGTTATCAAAATGCAATCTAAAATGTTCATTTGATAGTAACACTGTAAATTTCATTATTTTCTTCAAAATAGTCACATGTCACATCAAGCAAAGTGAAAACCCACTAAAAAAAGTTCCATTGATGCTTTGGCTGGAAACTATAAAAATGCTGTTTTGACTCTCTCAAAACGAGTAATGTTACATTTATTTGGCTTCCAATTGTGTGTGCAAAACAAAGCCAACGCTTTCATTAATCCAATCAAAAAGCGTTCAGACCATATATTCACGTTATAGAGCTTATCAAGACTGATAAAAGTTCGAGAGCTGAGCGGTATCATGACATCGTGATTGTAATATCAATAAGATACGTATGTATTATAATTTATTGATATCAAGATACCCTATGTAAATGTTTGACAATTTAATGATAACGAATCGTGTAGCCAGTTAATCCTTTGAAGCGGGTCATTAATAAGGAAGTTTTCGGCTAATAACCATAGAAGTTGACGCCGTCAAAAAAAAAAGGAATTTATGGAAGAAGGATTGTACGTATTTTACACATGTAATGAGGATACGTTAAATGGAAGATGAATAGTTTGATTTTTGTGATATAGTAATGTCGATAGAGATAATTAGGCAGGCTCCAGCTTTTAGTTGATATGTTACGTAGAGACGAAGAGATATTCTGATCGCATAAAAAATTTCTAAAATGAGTACGCAAATCCTTGGCTCACTTTGTAAAGTACTGTTTGGTTTGGATCAAATTTTTACACTAGGATGGTACTATGTAGTTTTTGTAAATCGAATCTAGTGGCGTTGGAGAAAAATGCTAAAAACGAAAAAAAAGAGCCCAAAGTTATTTTTTTGACGTTTCAGACGACCCTGATCATTTTTGAAAAACTTGTTAGGGGTAAAAAATTGAGGGATGGGAGAGGGTATACAACAATTTTTTGATGTTAGTATATCACACTTCCAACTCGGGTAATTCTAAGCACCTATTAGACAAATTTCAAATATAGATTCGCCCATACAACTGCCTTCAAAAATTAGAACGTTAGAGAAATGTTTTCTACATACGTCTTTGCGTCTGCTCTCTGGCTTCGCTGACCGGCATGCCGGTCTTCATGTGTCATCACAAGACTGGCGCTGTGTCGGGCTGACGCATCGTGTGATCAGGTATTGGGACATTGGGAGGTGCGACATTGTCAGGTGGACGGTACTACTGGTAGGACAGGGAAAGACTGTAAGGTGCTGTTTGACGGACTTGATCCGTATAATTTCTCAGAGGGTCTAAGTTGAACATGCAGTTTTCGTCCATCCGACTAAAGACAGCTGTTCCATGCTTTTGGCAACTCATCAGCGTCGTTAGGCTTGGTCTATGGGACAACTAACGAAAGCATAGCAACTATCCTCCAGCGAGGATATAAGGTCTATGTGAACATAGTCCTTTAATGAAGCGCAGAGTTAACCTACTTGACGCCATTTTTTATATCAGATGACAAGGTATACATATAGCATACATGGAGCATATCATATAGTTTCTTCCAAAGTTGTTCAAACAACCAGTATAAAATCCACTTCCCTATTCGTCTTCCTACTATTTTAGATGATCATATAGTGCATCATATTTATTTGTTATTACGTACTATCATCTCATCTCTCTGTACATGATAATTTGTTGAAATAATCTATGGATTTTCATTCAACGCCTCAAAATCGACTGATACCTTGTTACACCCTGTATATTGATTATGTGCAGTCCCCATTCCTAGAGCTGTAATTTTTGATATTTGTAAATATTGTAATTATTATAGTTGTTGTATGTGTATATGGCGGAACACCTCCCATCAATTTGTCAAATATTTATTTTTGTTATATGTATTTCTCTTTTAGTGGAATCCAACATATTTTTTGTTGATGACAGGCTATTTATTATGTTACGTATCAAATAAAGATAATTTTTTCAGGACTGTCTTTTTTGTGATTATTTTTTGACGTACCTTGCCTACCTCAATTTCGGCCCCATGATACTTCACGATGTTTTGATGGTCATAATATTCGTATTTAACGCACTCTACTCGTATTACTGACGTGTGTAAAGTCTAACTCATTCTTATAATGTTTTGAGATTCCATGGGAAAGATTATATAGATTTTCAAAAACGTTTCTGTATTCCGGACGAAGATTTGTTTTGCTGGGTGAAGCAGGTGCGTAGATTGCGAGGTAATGAGGTTAAGAAATATCGGGATTTTAAGTTGAACATTCTGTTTCGATATGAAACTGATTCGTGTAATCTCATGCGTAGGGTCCTTAAAGATAATCAGCTAAGCGCCACCTTGCAAGTATTACGAATTACTTCAATTTTCGTAAAGACATAAATCACACTTTTCGCAGGTAATTTGTTTAACTCTATGAAAGCGGAGTTTATCGTAATAGCTGTAAGTTGCCACCTTGCTAACTAGCTTTTAGGGCCCAATGGATGAGATTGCACGATTTAGCTTAGTATCAAAAAATAATTTTCAGTCTAAAATTTCATAGCCTCAGTACCCCGCGAACCCGCCTTAAGATCCACGCGGGGTCCAACAACACATTTTCTCTAAGGCAACTTTCACACGATCAGTGTTACTGTGGGCTCTACCATCAGTACTTACTACTGCGGGCGCCCGTATTACGTATCATAAAGTAACACTACATCGATTTTTTATGAGATTATGTAGGATCTCTTTGACATTATGTAGATTTTCCTAAAAAATTAACTTTTGAACTAGCCGACATTCACTTCATATAATACCAGTGGCTACTCTACTCAACCACTGGAGAGGAGCACCCAAATAAGCGAATAATTGAAACTGTTTTTAAATAATATGTAATTACATTATGTCTAAATCAATGAGGTAGACAGAAAAAGTATACATAATTATGATGAATAACATAGAGCAACACAGGCATTCGCAGTGAAACATACATGTACAGATTATGCTTTTAACTTTTAAAAACGTTTTAGTTTGAATTTGAACTTGTTCATATTGAGAAGCTTGAATTCTTCTGGCAGTTGATTATACATACTGATAGCATACTTTATATGAACGATCTTTTGGCGGTCTTATGCTGCGGAACGGTGTAGTTGAATTTTGATCTTATATTTTGATGATGAGTATCTTTGCGAGGTATGAAATGTTTGAGCAGACCTGGACGATTTCGAGTGTTGACCAGTTTATGCGTAAAATTACACAAGTGAAGGAGTCTCCTATTTTTATGTTCAGCCATTCACCATTCTGATTTTGTGTTATATGGGGTCATACTTCCTAATTCCGTATACCAGCCTACAGCAGCTATTTTGAACCCGTTGTATTTTCGTTATATCAGCACTAGTCAAGCACGGGCCATAAATAACGTTACAATAGTTGAAATTACTAAGCACCAAGTTCTTACATAAAGTTTTTTTAGTTTTTTACTTAGGAAATGTCGATTGCTATAAATGATTTCAAAGGAACTAAATGCTTTATTTTCAAGAGCTTGAATATGGAGTAAGAAACGAAGGCTTGGATCAACAGTTAAGCCTAAACAGAAACTAAGCACTTCACTTGTAAGTTTCAACGAAAGAGTGTCCTTTAAAATATTTGTATTATTTTTATTATGTTTTTGACGTAATCAACCTGCAGTACACGCTCGATATCGAACGCGCGTCGATAGTCTGAACTGTTCCGTCTACATCAATGTAATGCTGAACGCGAGTTTTTTTGCAGCGCGAAAACTTGTCGCCCGTGTGTACCGCCAGTTACTGTTCCTTCAGTATCGGTGAATTTCTACTTAACCTTATACATCAATAATTACTGACTTAAAAGCTACACGGTCAATGAATATCACATACGATGATAAATACTAACAGAACTTGCTAAATACTGATTTTTGACCTTGGCCTAATAACGACTCTATGTCGCGTCACAATGGGGGTAATTTCGAAAAAAATCTAGAAACCGCTAGCATTAGTTAGGTAAGCGATCATGTCTAAGGTTATAAATAGCTTTCAAGGTGGTGTTGACAGACTGACCTCCAACTGGGGTATTGTAATCGCGAAAAATAGCAAAAACACGAAAAAAATTTGCTCAATCTTTTGACGTTTTGACGAAATTTTTGAAGCGGTTAAAATTTTGATGTTTGAGAGTATATGTCAGTTTTTCGTTGCTAGCAATTTATATACTAAGTGACATATAAATCCGAACGCCCAGTTTAAATGGTTTTATTTTAATAAAAGTTGGTGAATGTATTTATCTTTATGTAAATAACAAGTGAAAAAATGTTCAGCCTTATCAGTTGGACATTCCGGTTTTTATACTGCTTTTTTTTAAATTCACTAACGCTCTAAAAATGAATATTTCAGCCGCAGTAAAGAATCAACGTTGGCGGATTTTGGTTCTTGACATCCTTTACGATCGGTTACGATGCCTAGAGTACGGAGACCTGTACGATTTGGGACTTCGGGGAGCTGGACTTTCTTTTCGGGCAATTGCAGTTAGAGTGCAAAGAAGTGTAGACACTGTGGTTAGGTGTTGTCAGGCATGGCTTCGAGAAGGCCGTACGCAAAGAGCAAGGGGCACTGGACGCCGCCGTAGAACAACAGAGCGTGAAGATCGCCGCCTAAGATTATTGGCCTTAAGGGACCGTTTCTCCACTACCAGGTCCATTGCAAATGAATGGTTTGCAGAACACGGAAGACCTATTGGCATGCGAAGTGTTTACCGACGAATGAGAAGTTTTGGCTTGTTTTCATACCGGCCACACTGGGTCCTCCCTTTAACTCGAGAACACCGACGTAATCGCCTTGAGTGGTGCAGACAACGGTCACTCTGGGATCAGGAATGGAACAGTATTGTCTTTAGTGACGAGTCTCGATTTTGTTTAGGCATGCACGATGGTCGTGCCAGGGTTAGAAGGCGACGTGGTGAAAGGAGGAATCCACAGTTTTTTGTTGAAAGACATGTTCATCACACTGTTGGAGTTATGGTTTGGGGTGCTATAGCTTATGGTTCCAGGTCACCTTTAATCTTCATCAGAGGTAACATGAACGCGCAGCGTTATATCCACGAAGTTCTAGAACCCCATCTTTTACCTTATCTTGACACCCTGGCAGATCCAACTTTCCAACAAGATAATGCCCGACCACATGTTGCAAGAGTCACAATAGACTTCTTTCAACATAATGATGTCACATTGTTACCATGGCCACCAAGATCTCCCGACTTATCCCCAATTGAGCACGTGTGGGATATGATGGGTAGGAGATTGCTCAATTTGCAACGTCCTCCTCAGACTCTAGAAGCATTTCGAGAGGAGTTGGTGGTTGCCTGGAATGAGACCACAGGAGGACATTGACCACCTGATCAGAAGCATGCCTAGGCGCGTTGGAGAATGCGTAGCACATCAGGGTGCATCCACACATTATTAAAGGTCAAAGGGCTTTAAAGCAGTGCAATCATTTTGAAATTTTTATCATTTACTTATTATGCTTCATTAAGTACTTATACAAAATTTTATTAAAATAAAACCATTTAAACTGGGTGTTCGGATTTATATGTCACTTAGTATACGTTTCCAACCCAGGCAATTCTATGCACCATTAGGTATATTTCACAGATCAAAGATTGCCCTTAAAAGTTGAATTATAAAGATAATCTTGGATGGATGTATTCGTGCCGAACAACTCAATGAACGCGTGAGCCATACGTTTTCGCGAACAACTGCTGGATTGCGACGTTGCCGGATACTCGGTACTGCCGGTTAGGGGTTAGGCTGATCGTATTGTTGGACTATGGATTGATTGTATAATCCATTTAATTCCTTTGTTATAATATGTTCGTAACCAATGCCTTTCTAAGAGGTACTAACTTGTACAGAATATAATGCCTTATGACGCTTTTTTTTTTGACGATTGTAATTCGTATTCCAAGTGCCCAAATTACCTAAGAGCTCATTCAAAAAGACGTGGCACGCCAGGCAGCGCGACAAACTGGGCTTCAAACGGCGCGTCGCGCGTTTTATTTTTCCTTAAAATTCATTTATATTATAAAATGTATCATAATCGATAACTGCAACAACTTCACTCTAATATGAATTTTAGTAGTCAGTCTTGTTGATTTTTCTGGCGTGAATATTTTGAGTCTTGAGCCAATACGAGTATAAAACCTCGCGAGTCCAGTAAACTTGTTTTTTAGCAATAATTCGCGTGTTGAACGTTCTGGGGCAAGTTGGTCTTGCTGTGCATCCATATTCATCTCAGCATAATGCGACATTTAAGCTACCTGGAGCTAAGACTCATAATATGTTATTTCAGTCTATGTTATGTGTGATAAATTGAACTGTATCTACAGCCATTGTGATACATTTGTCTGTTCACTGAATGAGTTTATCATAATACAAACAGGTTATGGAACTAATCTGGGATGCTTGTTTTTGGGGTAATTATCTGCATATCTGCATTTAGGATATTATTATTACAATTATTCCTTCAGTTTTTACATTATATTATCGCAACATGACACACAAGGGCATGTACTTGGTATATTATCTGGTAAATGGGAAAAGATTGGATAATAAAGCCATTATTATTATCATAGACTGTCCAAGGCACCCAATAAAACCCGCGACATATCGCTTCAAGCCCTACTAGACGCCTTCTTTTTATCGTTTCTAATGATGAAAGTCATTTATATTCACTGTGTTTTTAACCTGACATGGAAATACTTGGGGTGACGGAAAACAACACATCTGTATCTCTTAACCTATATTTCTAAAGCTTACAACACGATTATAACTTCAAAAAATGTAAAAAGAAAAATCTGAGCTTATTTTACAAGTTTATACAATATTAAATACATTTTTCTACACACAAATCAGATGGAAGTACAATTGTACTTTTAGCAAAAACAATATAAAAAATAAATTTCCGATGTTATCTGTTGAAAGGTGTTAGTTCAGATTTTTTAGAAGCCGCCTGAAACAAAGCTTAATGTGAGACAATTTCTCTTCGTTACGAAGTGAAGAGAACTTTTATTAACGCGAATAAACGATTAAATCTTGTTACCAACCCGTTTTACAGTGGGATGTAATCTCTAGCAAACGTGGTTCCTCAAGGTTCTTCGAATATTGCTGTAAACACTCTCAGCTTATTGTCGTGGCAGTCACCTTCTATATGAACCTTGACACCTCCCTTTGCTAATCCATAAAAACAATATGGTTTGGATATACTGCTTGTGAATCTCCACCCTAAGTGCTTGCCACAGTTTTTGCAGTGCATGATAGTCCACGCGTACCTTAAAATAAGAATAATCTGAAATGCTATAATTTTGGTAAATGCAGAAATTAACAAAAATCATCGTTATGGTCTATGTATGACCTAGTAGAATAAAATATCTTCAAATGAACATTTAGATTCAAGATGGTCAGGCCATCCATCAGATGTGAACCTGTGGACCTTAAGCAAATCTTGAATAGAGAAAGGTAGTATTACTCATATTTGTGGAAATACACAGAAATATACACTCACCCTGGAAACCAAGAGAACTGCTTTGATGGTTTTCCTTCTAATTGGAAGTTTTGTGCAGATGTTACAGTTATGGTTTCATAATTATGGCCACCTGGAATTATGGAGATCACGTTTCAGTGCATTACAATTTAATGAATATTTGACATCTTACCTGGGTTTACATAATTGCTCTGAATACCATCTTTTGACATTGCAAATACTTTTGAAGGATCACTGATTTCCACATCACAACCACTGCACCTGATTATCCTTACCTAAAAAGGGAATAATAAATTTGTTTTCAAACAAGTGATGCATCCCTACTAACCCTCTTCAAAAATGTGTAACCCACTTTTAACCTTTCCAATGCTGTATTTAACTGTAAAAGATGCAACCTTTCTTCGTGAAGCAACAGGTAATTTTGGGCAAACCAATAACTTAACATCACAGGATCCTTTGGTATATATTCTGAAAAAAATGATAATTTTAAAGAATCTCCAGATGAAGTAAAATTCTGACACAAACATGCATTTTTAACTGCATGAGATGCTACACTTCCTCTAATCACTCAACAAAACAAATTACAAGAGTCTCACCTCCCAAATAATTTGAAAGTCCTTCTAACAATAATTTAACATAATAACTGACTTCATATTTATCATATACCCATGATTCAAGTGGATATTGACATAAATGGTACCTAAAATAATAAGTTGATAAACATTTTGTTTTCAAATAAAGATGTGTTTCACAAGAAATGTTAAATAAAACACTTTTGCAGAAACACTATCTCTTAGACTTGGATAAGTTATTAAAGTCAATAAATATGCGATGTCATTATAAGAGTTTGTATATCAAGGACAAAATATTAAGTTTTAGACATTTTTCTTGCACTATTATTCCATATTAACCTAGGGTGAATGTGCCAGTGGCCGAACAGTTTAGACAAAAAATATAATTACGAATTTTATGTTCAAGCTAACTAAACTATTGTGTGTGGAGGTGGTCATATATGTTGTTAACTTTCACCGACAACAAATACATTGCTTATAGATATTCCTGTAATCAAATATTAAACAAAAAGGTGCAGTTTTACCAGTACTCGGACAGAAAGTGCCTCTAGTCGGCTAGTTTTACACAGAACTCTATTTAAAAATTTGTGATAGTAGAATAGAAATTGCAAATCAGTTATGCAGTTAAGACTTTGAGGAAAAGGAATTAAACAAAATGAAACTGAATAGTCGTAAAATACATATTTTTATCAAAAAACATATGAACTACATAAAAATGAAGAAACTAATTTTTTCCTTTAATCCCGTCCTGCACTGTTGACTGAACTACCATACTATTTACATATTTCAGGTAATTTTCCAACATTTCTCACAGCTTTGACTGTTTCCTTTAGCCTGTCTCCACTATATATATACACGGTGTAAACGTTACGATAGTAATTATTTAAATGGGTGATAGAGGGGGTTAAAAGAAGTAAAAAGTTTCATAATAACATGGGGGTCAATACGGCATTTTTTTAGAGAAAAGCGATTTTAAAGTAAAATAAAATCTGAAAACGCCGCAATGCCAGACGCAAATTACGACGGAACGCAGTGTAAATAAAGATGGACTTTGTTATTTTTGGCTCTTAGGTATTATTTCATTATTTGATAATGTCCTCGTAAAACATTTAAAAAAACGGACTTACCACTAACTGTCTCAGCGCTTCACCTGGTGTGTGAAAGTTTATTGAACGTATTAAAAAAATCCACTTATAAATACAATGTTGATACATACATTGTTTTTCTTTTTAAAACCCACACTGCTATTTTTTGTATTTAATGAAGGTGTTCAAAATGTCGTTCTTCACTTTCCACACAAGATTCATTACGACAAACCCAGTTTCTTCTTACTCTAGGTCCTCGAAGTTGTCCATTTATTATTTCAGCCGCATTAAATTTTTTTTCGCTAAGTTGTGCTTCAGTTGTCCAGCGATTTGGATAATGTTCATTCAAATACTGAATGACGCCTCTAAAAATATGTGGTGGTGCCCCATCATGAAGAAACCACAAATTGTCTCCATTGTAATGGCATGTTGTCTAAGGTCTGTTCCAAAAGTTCTGGTAGGTTATTGGCTAGAAAGCTAAGGTATCCTTTTCCTGACAACTTTGGGGGTAACTCGAAAGGGCCAATTACCTGATCGTCAAAAATACCCGCGCAAATATTTATTTTAAAAAGTTGTTGGAAATGACCTTCACGAATGGTATGAGGATTTTCTTGGGCCCACGTGTGAGTATTATGGAAATTTAATATCCCGTCTCGTGTAAAAGTACATTCGTCCGTCGCTAGAATGTTTTTAAAAAAATCCGGATTTTCAATGTTTTTGTGCAAAAACCACTGACAGAATGTTATCTGCGAGGATAGTCTTCTGGTAACAAGGCCTGCACTCGTTGTACATGGTAGGGATAAAGCAAATTTTCCTGTAGGACTATGGTATGCGATAGTCCTACGCGGCGGCCTAATTCTCGAGTGCTGATATCTGCATTGATTTCCACGATATTTAAGTTTGGTACACTTGCACAAATGTCCTTCTGTCTGGGTGTACCCGATGGCGAAATCTGCCGCGATAAATTTGAGCTGCAAGATTTGAATTCTGACGAGCTTCACCGTAAACTAACAACATCTCGGCGAACTCTTGATTCGAGAACATTGTAAACAACACGCCCGATAACTAACCACTGTTACCGTTTGCGATCGATTGCCGGTTCGATAAGAGTGATAATGATCGACGCGCTGTTGTCATGTGCGTTTTAAATATTCAATTTAATGAAACTTACTTACTTACTGACTCCAAATTGTGGCCTTACTTAGAAAAACTTAATGCCATTTATTTGTTAATTACCCAATTTAAAAACGTTTTAGATTAGATTACAAAAATTAGTAAGATTGTGGTTGATATAAATCACTTAAAGTTGTAAACAATAAAGCCATTTAGACAAAAATCTATTGACTTTTGAAACATGGGTCATATGAACTTTTTGACTTGTTTTGACCCCCCCTATTACTCATTTAAATAATGACTACCATAACGTTTACACCCTGTATATATATATAGATTTAATTTTTTTCTTGGTATCCACCTCTGAATGAAGTGAAAATGTGAAATTATATTTCATAGTTCGTGAAAAAATGACGGAACAATGGAAGTGGCCGGTTATTTGGATGATATGAAATTTTTTTCATTCCTGTAGTCTGATACAATATCACTGACCATAATCTATATTTATGTGTTATATTTCATTGTCCGTCCACTGGCTTGGACTTCAGTCGTATTTTAGTTTGTTTAATATCAAGAGAGAAGTGGTTAGATAGAGAAAAAAGATTGATAACCACGCCATTCCAGTAGTTGGACACCTGTCCGACTATTGGATTTTGAGTTGTGTGAAGATCCAGTTAGCGGCCACTCTTTGACCTCAAAATATTGAAAGAACATAAGGTTTAATTCATTTTCTAAATTCTGAATGTATCCTGCATATGTAATAAAAACAACATTTATATATTGTAGGCAGACAATTCCATTTGCCTTTAAAGTTTATGTTACACACACGATTGAGGAATTGAATGCATGCTGTTTTTGACATGCTAATAGTGTAAATATGACAACTATGTACGTAAAATTTTTGTAAATTGTTGATAAATCTGATACCAATTACCAGCATGGTACTACTGGTAGTGTCTGGGTTACTGGCACATTCACCTTATTTTTGATCAAAGGCTTATATGTTCCTATACAGAGTTTCCTGATACTCAACACATTTCTGTAATCTTCATTTACCTCCTATATTTATAATTTTTAATGATATCACAATACTTTTCAGAAGTGTATGGCTTCAGCCTCTTTAAGGTGTATAGTTGAGTATCACAAAGAGGGCTAGTGATTTCAGGTTCTGCCAGTATCTTCACAATTACTTGCTTCAATTGACCACCCCAATTTTTCAGCTCTCCCAGTAGTCTACATCTTTGCCTTCCCTTAGCCTTGATGTGTAATGAATTAATTCTTACTTGATTTTCAAATATCTCCATTGTCACACCATACTCAAAAACACCATTTAGTTTGGCACTAAAATATCAATGCAAAAAATGTTACTATGAAATGACAAAACTATGAGATGAAAACTTATCAATGTTGATCTTGTACTGGCTGACAAAGAAACCACAGGTGTAGAAGCAAGTGTTTTCTAGACAGAAGCCTAACAGTATGTTTTCACAATGTTTCTGGGTGGATTTTCGCATTATCAGTATCATTTGGCATTTTCAGAGTAATGGGTGATGTCTGGAACATTCAAAACAACATGCACACTTGTTGCTTTGGAGTTTTGTTTGTTGGATTTATGCAGTCCCTCCTTAACATTGTAATGATAGTTTTGCATTGTGTCAGTAGGATTTAAAACTGTACTGGTTGTAATTCAAATACTGTGTAATAGCAGCAAAAATGAACTGTTAGCTGGAAGAAAGCAAGAATAAAATATATTATCAGGCCACTAAGGTGGCCAAAATGTGAATAAATCTTCACTTCCACATCTGTGGTTTCATTTGGTGGCCAGTAGAACATCAAATATTGATCACTGTTACAACCACAGGATAATTTTCATCACATCAAAGACTTACTTTGCAATTATTAGGACAAAAACACTGTTTTTCTCAATGTAAGACTGCATAACAGACATTTCTGCATAGTTGTTGATAACCAAAGGTAGTGTAAACCCAGGAAATACCATTGTTGTTGTGTAGATTGCCATAACTTCCAATACTTCTTCATCATCATACAATGTATACCCACTTACATGTTTAAGCTTACCTAAATACTGAAAAAATAACATAAAAAATGTGAGCAGTTTCAAAAATATGAGGAAGGGTCAAATAACAACCATAATATATAATATTCCATGTGAGGCTGGCAACTGATTCAGCCTAAGGAGATAACAGGCGAGGTTAGAATTACTCTTTGTTTTTAATTGTAGAAACATCCTGGTGAAAAGTCTAAGTGCTCTATAGCATTAGAGAATTTATATGACTAATATTGCATCCTCTTGTACCAGTGACTGATCTAGGTAGGATCTCTGGCATGTGTTGCACAAAGTTGATATGGATCCCCAGTCCCCATTATAGTTTATGGCAGGAGGGGGAGGGTTGGGAGAAATAAATATTCTGCTCATGGAACACCTCAATGCATAGTGCGTTGTTCATCATCTTAGATCTATGCGAACATTGCAAAATATAAGTTAAATATGTAAATTATTTTGGTGAGTGGTAAAATTATGCAGTGTCCATACTGGCAGTTTCTAGCAATACAGCAACTGAATATAAAATAGGGCCTTGATGACGATAGTGTGAAAGTCTCAAATTTTCATGATTGGCATTGATTATAAAGTCTCCTATGCATTGTTTACAAACAAACCAATTTCAAAGTCCAAAATTTTAGAGCCCTGCATAATTTCCTTTGGAAAGCTTATTAAAAAAACGTTTTGAGAAGATTGAGCTTGAGGCCTAAAGTCATTCCTATATTTGTTACATGTAGGACGAATCTGGATACATTATGCGTCTGATAACTCCCAAATGTTAACAGATATCAACAAAGTTTTAAATGGTCCATTCACCTTGTGGGCTGTAGGCAGATCTGTGTTGAACTCTCCATTTGTGGACGTCGTAGGAACTTCATCGTCTGCAGAAAAAAACTTTATTTTTGAACTTGAACAAACGACTCCAATACGAATACAAAGAGAAACGCTTACCAGAAGATTCGGAATCATCCTCAGTGGTTGAAGTGACGTGCCCATTTTCTATCTCCACTGGAGGGACATAATCTGGATCATTATCGTCGTCTTCACCCCAATTCTCTTGATCGGACATTTTTTATTTTATTTTAAAAAAGTCACCTCCACTGCAATCTCCGTCTTCGTTAGTAAATACTTCAAGAATAACAAATCACACTGACAATTTTTGACAATGTCAAACAATGCCGTCAACAGTAAAATGTGAAAAGTCCACATACGATAGTGATGGGAAAAACAAATTTTGTGTATGGGCTCAGTTTAGTGCTCCAGCTCCCTGATGTTAATTTTGTTTGCCAAAAGTGGTGGAAGGCCTGAAATATCCCATTATTCTTCTCCAATAAGGGCTTTGATCACCTTTGCATTTTTAGAAGTAAATATTCGAAATCAGGGTCAAAATTAAACCAGTGCGCTGAGTTCCATTCTTTTCTGGCCAATTTGCCACAAAAATGGAAATTTTGACTTCAGAAAGCTTGAACTTCAAAGGTATACTACTGAGACATTCCAAAAATTCTTCGGTTTCGACCGAATCCCGTTACTGGTTAAATTTGGGTCGTAGATCACGAATATGATTTCCTTATCGCCGAAATTGACGGATGTTCCAAAAGTCCTATTTCCCTGCTACAAATAGAGCTTTCCGAAATGTTTGCATTTTATGATGGTCATATTCGAACCAACGTCCCAAATAAACCAGTGTACAGAGCTTCGGTCGCTTGTAACAACGGCCCAAATACAACAAGCACGTGAAAATGACGTTGCAAACATGTCATGAAATTACGAGTTGAATGACGTAAGAGTAACGTGACGATAACATCATAATATCACATTCCCATGTCATATATGGCAGAAGCAGAAGTCAATAATTCGTCACTTGCTGGACGTGAAGAGGACGTCTATTATACAGGGTCGCGAAATGTAACTGAGTGGTTAGTATCTTGAATTCTTGTGAAATGAAATAAAATACGTCCATTTTTTTCATCTTAATCTTTTATTGAAACTTAGAAATTATCTATTAAAAATAATATCAAACAAATGTCCGCCTCTAGAAGCCGCGCAAACCTGAGCCCTCTTGATTACATTTTCCATCACTTTTTGGTAGGTTTCGGGAGGAATATCTTGAATCGCTCCCGTAATATTGTTCTTCAGCTGCTCTACAGTATTTCATTTGTTGACATAAACACTATTTTCAAAAATCCCCATAAAAAACAAGAGCCGTTAAATCTGGTGACCTTGGTGGCCAGTTGACATCACCAAATCGAGAAATTAAACGTCCTGGAAATATTGGTCGCAAAAGATTTATTTTTTCACTAGCTGTGTGACAAGTTGCTCCGTCCTGCTGGAACCACATTGTTTGCAGGTTAAATTGTTCGATTTGAGGAGCCAGAAAGTTTTACCCCATATTACGGTAGCGCTCGCCAGTGACAGTAAGAGAATTACCTACAGCGCCTTCAAAGAAGAAAGGTCCAATGAGACCTTTATACAAAACACCGCACTAAACTGTGACTCGACGAGGATGTTATAGTGGTCGTTGATGGATGATCCGAGGATTCTCTGATGCTCAGATACGACAATTCTGCTCATTAACAAATCCGTTCATATCGCTCATTATCAGTTGTCGGTAAAAGTCGTTATTTTGGGTATTAAGTTGCAATATTGCATTACTGTATTGTCGGTGACTTGCATGGTCACTATTAGGCGGTAATTCTTGGGTCAACTGAATTTTGTATGGCCGCAAATGCAAGTCAAATAGTCTATAATGAGGTGCGATGAATATCTTGAGAACGATGTCTGGTAGACGTCTCAGGGCGCTCCACTACACTTTTACGAACTCTCCGGAGTGCGAATAGTTCGAACACGGTCCGACCTTGCAAGCCTTAAACTTCACCTGTTCGTTCAAATTTCCGCACCAACTGACGAATGCTATTGACACTGTGCACATTATTTCGACCGAAATCTTGTCGTAGCTTTCGAATCGTTGCAACAATCGACTCATTATTTAAGTAAAACGTTTTAACAATAGAGACGCGTTGTGGGATCGTGTGGTGCTCCATGATGAATTGGACACATGTGCATTAAACAACCACTACGGCGCCAACTACTGAAATGCGTGTATCAAAAAGGGCGCGCAATTTAAATCAGTCAGTTATATATTGGCCACCCTGTATATAGTATAGCAACAAGTTTTGGCTTCTTCAAAAAATTTATTTAATAGTGTGTTACCAGTATAGTATTACACAGACATGTGTGCATCGGGGAGGTTTAAAGAGATATAGTATATTACTGGCCATGAAACATTTCAAAAATTCTTTAGTATCTTTAATTTCGACCAAAACTCGCTTCTTACGTAAATCTGACTTTGTAGATCACCAACATGATTTCTTATGCATCGAGATTTGTGGAAGGCTGAAATAGAGCGCTTCGCAGCATGTTTCGATGACAATATATTTAAAATCAGCATTCCAAATTACTATAGTGTGTTTGTTTGAAGTATCGGGTCACAGAATTTTAATTTTGCACTGAGAAAATTTAAATAAATTTGCAAGAAATAAAGTTCTAGTTTTCTATTCGAATAAGGACTTCACAACCCTCTAGCGTTTTTCGCAAGCAATATTCGAAATCAACGCAACGTTCATTTGAAATATCGCAATTCTCAACACTTTCCCACTACCATTCTGTTTTGTATTAAATGTAGCCAAGTACACCTCATCTGACTTAAAATTCTTAATTCAGTGTCTCAAAAATCGTATTGGTAGTCCCAAGACCTATGACTATTGTAGGCTATATGAATAGCTCTCATCCCTACTCACATTGTAAATGAGGTGTGGATGTTTTTTACTCAATCACGCCAACGTTGCGCCAAATGGCTGAACGAATCTGGATGAAATTTGGTATAGAGAATGAAATTAATAGCATATATGCTATTTTTACTTCCCACGCCTACTAATGAGATGTTTTTTGCTAATCCTATAACCGCCTATAACTTGAGAATTACCACTCTCGGATTTTGATGAAAATTTTACACAATGGTACTACAATGATATGAACAAAAGAATCTTTGTAGTTATCGATCCGGTTGGCACAAAAGAAAGCACAAAAACTAAAAAAAAGTATAAAAATCGCCATAACTTCATCTTTTAACGTTTCAGTGGATTTGAAAAAATGTTTAGATGCAAAAACTTTGAGGGTGGGTGTTGAACGGGGAAGGCGGGTTTAATCTCAATTTTTGTTAGTACATTTATATGCCCCCAGCCTTGGTGATACTACGGACTTATTAGACACATTTCAGCGTAAAGCAGACAGATTGTGTATCAAACGGCCGCGTGCCAGTCCTGGTGTTACCGCCGCGTCATAGCATAGTGTTTCCTATGCTGTTGCCAAAAAAGAAAACGCCTCCGCGCCTGAAATATTTGCGCATCGATAACGCTTCCACTTTCGGATCACTTGGTCTGCGGTGACAGTCGACTTGTGTTTACTGAGAAAATATGGAATTGGAAAGACGTAAAAGCACAGCGTGAAACTGAGTAATATAGATAATTCTAATGAATTTTTTGTAATAAAGGCACTTCACACCTAACTGCTTCAGCGCAAACGCTTACATCACTCATGCCTTGCAGCATGTACGACGTGATGAACGGCTCGTCAACGCTATCCATGACGTCACGCGCTTATATCAAAGTGCCTATTTGAGTGAATAACTTCAGCAGCAGATGTTAAAACCAATGATGTGACCATGGTGTCTCTGAAAAATTAGATTTTTCAAAGATATCAAGTCAACAGGTTTGTAGCTAGGCGAGAAAGTACAACCTCAGGATCGATGTTTCATCGAAAAATTCGAAGATTTTCCCATGGAACAGGCCTTCCATTGATTGCACTTCCCAGGATGGATTAATTGGGTGGACGTATTTGATCGACTTTTTTCTCAAAGGGTCAAGTTTGTGGAAGTGCAGAATCAATTTACTCGACGCCATTTGTTATCTCAATAAATGACTGAATGAATAGAACATTTTCGATACTCGTTTTCTTAGCGTCATCTCAATTTAGATTTGTTTTACTTCACGTGGCCAGCACAGGGGACCTCCTAGCTTACGACACGCTGTGGTGGAGTAAACTAATCCAGTTCTATGGTGAGGCTCATGACGCTGCTCTTATACAAACTTACATCCTATGGCCACCCAAAGAAGCTTTGCAGATGGATGGCCGACTCTTTCTGGCCGCAAGATATCCGCCGTAATTGACTAGTTTTCATCTACATCCCATAACGTGAACGCAGGTGTTCCCCATGGATCTGTCGTGGCTCCGACACTGTTCCTCTTACATATCGATGACCTCTTTTCCTGTACGATAAATCCAATACGCAGCTTTGGTGATGATTGCACTAAACATGCCAGAATTCAGGGCGACAAGCCAATCTCTGCCGGTGAGCTGTAAAAAAGAAGATTAGCAGCGACTTTCTTTCTGTCGGGAGACCTGGAGGTTATCACTGCTTGGCGACGCATCAATCTTGTACAGTTTAATGCTTCCAAAACACGGCACTGTACCTTGACGAACAAAAAGCGCTCTAGCGCTCATCCGGTTTCGATGGATTGCAGAGTTCTGCCAAAGAGCGAGCCGTTCATTTCGGCTGGTCGGAGTCCAGATCACCGAGGACTTGATCAGGCACGAACACATCTCGTTAGTAGCGGCAGCTGCTGGAAAAAAGCCAGGCTATTTGTTTAGGACAAAGAAGTACTTTTCTCCACATGACCACTTCACTCAAGTCCCAGATAATACCTAGCCTCGAATATTGCTTACACATATGGGGTGCTGCCGCCCCTACTACATTAAGTACTCAGAGGAGGGCTGTCCGACGACTCTAATAGTCACGAGACCCTTTCGCACAACCTTAGGCAGTTCAAAAATCGGATTAACAAGGTTTCTTTGGGATCCTCATAGCAGCCGCGGTGTGTTAGCATTTAGGCTTCTGCCGCCGTGGCTGCTTCGGTGTAAAAAAATACTGGGAATAAGAAATTATTGGGTTAGGATATGCCACACAGGCTGCGAGGTACTTCGCGTATTATTTATTGATTCGGATTACACATTTGATATTAATTTATTGTTGCATTAAAATGTTGAATAAAAATGTAGCTTGCCAAAAAAATTAGTGCATTAATATGCATACTGAATTTCTTTCTCGGGAGCCAATCTCCTTAATACTAATGCAAGACGAATGACTCGTACTTTAGACTACTTCCACGCGGGCGCAGCCGCGGGTTTAGGCTAGTATACAATAAATGAGTAATATAAAATGTCTCCTATATATTTATTATATAATGTTATAATATACAAATTTAATCCACAATAATGACCATCTCTAATCATAGCATAACAATACGAAAGTAAATATAAACAGTTTTCGCTACTACCGACTTTGATACTCTCAACATAGAATCAATGGGTTAATATGAATCGATCGTTTTGGTGTGTATACTCTAAACGCTACGTTAAGAAATAAGATTGTGGGCATCTATAAACAAAATCGCATCAGTACCTAGCATGTCAAAAACCTTACGATGTAGTGATTACAGTTAGAAATTAAAGAAATAACTTTAAGGCAACTATAATATAAATATTTTTTCATATTTCATATATATTATGTACATAGTAAAATATTGCATATCCAATCCAACATAAGAAGCACAGAAATTAAACAGAGAAAATAGGCTCTAGTTTCACGTAAATAATGTATGTATAGACTAAAAATACATTTGAGTAAAAAAAGTAATTTATCACATTTAAGCCAAGAATACCGAATCTGAAGATTGTTTTTAAGGCGCAAAATAAATAAGAATAGTGCTATATCAGTGAAGTCGAGCTGGAAAGTACGTATTGTACCCCTTTTGTAAAAATTTATTGATTATATTGCTTGTGGGGCGATATAATCAGAAAATGAATTTGTGATACAGTTGTCTCACCAGATCTTTTTATTTTGACGGACAGCGAGATGCTATCCACCATGACCAGATGTTGTAATCTACTTCCGCGGTGACATGATGCATGAAAAACAACTGAGAGGCTTAACAAGTATGCTGTATTTTGGACGCTCACACTTCGGGCGGGAAAGACTGATAGAAGGAATTTATATTTATATAAGAACTCTTCCTCGTCTGCAGACATTGACGTTCACACCGCATACGCGCGATTTTATTACCTAAGATCAATTTTGGTGTAGATGATAATTAAACATGAAAACTAGATCAAAAAATAAAGCCAGATACTGACCGTGCAAGAGAACGAATTTTGAACTGAACTCTTAGTGATGTGCAAAATCTGAAAAGATTATACACATGCATAGACCCATGCACTGTGGTCTAGTTAAAAATTTTGTATTGAGAATGCAATAATTAATAGATGTTTGGAATAGAACTTTTATAATATTAACTACACAGCGATTTTTACAGGAGAAGTAGGTAACAGATATAAAAATCAGCTGTCCATATTTGTAGAGAAGATATTATCAAAATAGTAGCAACTTCTACAAATGTAAACAAACGTGTATAAGCAAATGGCAACAATTTTGATATGGTTGATAAAGTGAGGGTCACCAAACTTATTTTGAGTAGGGACCTATAGTTCTGAATGTTTACTTACAATATTAGTTTAGCAAGGAGTATTTTTTATAAATCATCCTGAGAATATACTGTACTTAAAATGAGTGTTGTATTATTATTTGGAATATGTTATACTGAATACAAATAGAAGAACTTGAAACCTCCAAAAATGATATACAGCATAATCCCCAGATCCCCTTTCCTTCTTCAATCATATGCCTTTCCAGCTCGTTTTTGCTCATACCCGACGTTTCTCCATTCTCTCAATGATAATTTCTTATCGATATAAATTTACTAGAAAAAACAACTGAATCCCAAATGGTTTCAGCCAGCTGTCCTTTTCTTATTTACTGACAACATCCACTGCCTCCACTTGGCTTCTGCGTGTTGGTTAGCTTGATCTGGTCAGGGAACTCATTGTACAAATCAACTGTGGAATTTTGCTGGGCTAAGGCATTCTTTGCTATGGCCATGAAGGCTTGTTCCACGTTCAGGCCCTCCTATAAACAAACATTTAAAATATGGTTTAGTACCTAATTGAAGTTTTTGATTTGAACAAAAGAATATAACTTTTTGTAATGTGCGCCGTTTGTCTCTCTAACAAATCAATTTTTGCAAAAAATATACGAGTCAAATATAGTATTACAAAATCATAATAATAATCTTTACTCCAACAGGTTTACGTCCAATAACACGAACAACCAATAATAAAAATCAAGTTCTAGATTCTCTTGTGTATAAAATATCACTTTACAAAATGCATTTAGAATATGAATGAAACACATTGCAAAAATAAACATTACTGGTTAAGCAAGCATATGATTGTTTTAAAACTACTTCATCATATCTCACCTTTGCCGACGTTTCAAAGTATGGTATATTATTTTTGGACTGGCACCACTGTTGAGCTCGTTTGGAAGAGATGGCTCTGGGTTCCAGATCTACCTTATTGCCCAGGAGGACAAACGGGAAGTTTTCGGGCTCTCTGGGAGAGGCCTGTATGAGAAATTCATCCCGCCAACTGTCCAGAGATTTGAATGTGTTGGGGGCTGTCACGTCGAACACTAACGAATAAAAAATAGAGAATTTGAAGTGAACAGTATCCATACTAATACTTCTAATGTATTCTACTTATATTCCCACGTCCAAAAAATTATACAAAATTTTAGAAGATTAGTGTCTCATAGATGGTGCTGTAGCTATATGAGCATAGAGTTGGCTACAGCGCCATCTATGACAGTAACCTTTTCAAAGTAGATTTTTAATTATCACATAGAGGAGAAACCAATTCTCATAGATGACTCCATGATATTTCATTCCGGATAATTTTTTGGACGCCGGAATATAGTATTAGGTTGGTTATCTTCAGGTAGAATATGTTAATTAATGGTAATAGAGACAAGAACAATAAAAGTACGAGAATATAAAAAACGGAAATAACTCCGTATTTCAGTTTCTTTATTCCTATGGGACAATGCATGGTTATCTTTTGAATTGCATAGTATGATCTTAGGAATATAATGTATGTATACAGGGTCTATTAAATACCCAAATACCCCAAAAACTTGGCAATCGGACAATTTTTTGGAAAAAAGGTTCTAAGATAAATTTATATTACAAAAGCTATTTGTTGATGATCTAGGCAATGACATTAGAGGTCATTTTGAAGTCAAGATTGAAAATTCAAATAGTAACCACCAGCAGATCCATGTCAAGCTTGAACGCTACATAAGAGACTATTTTCATTCATGAGGTCCAGTGGCAATAAGTGGTTCAATCATTAGTACTTACTGTAACATCTGAAAAGTACACCAATACTCCCAAAAACCACACATTTTTTAGAAAAAAAGGTGTTAAAAGAGGTTCTAAGAAATCTGAAAACTAACTTGTTGATGACCTCAAATATAACAATGGAGGCCTTACCGTGCTATGATCTAATCTTCATATGTTGCATTTTAGAATCTGAGGTCTAACTTAATACTAATAGTTCAGATGATAAAATGTTGATACCAGTAAATGTAATAGAGATAAACCTAATTATCTGCAACACAAAAGCCGGGTGAAGCCCAAAAAATATATTTATACCACATTAATGCATTCTTTTATATTTAATCCTTCAAATTTATACTCTATATTTACATGACCTAAAAACAAAAAGTCTGTACAACACAGTGATAATGTGTGCTATTTATCATGAGGGAGCATCTGTATAATTCAATATGATTCACTACATCAGAGTAATACAATTCAATATCAGTACCTGATAAAACTGAAATACACATTTTTTTCTCTCTCGTTAACATTCTTACTAAGAATACATAACTCATTAAGCATTAAACAATTTGCTAACAGTATCTTATTTTCATCAAAAATCATATTTTAATAGTCTTCATTTGCAGTTTTTGTGATTTTGAAGTAAAAATTATAAATATTTGAGATGCACATAGTACTCAATTTATAACTGATACTCAGCCGACTTTACACAGTACCTGTTTTGCCGAGTATTAAATTACTCTGTTGAATGCAAAACACACCTTTTGTGTAAATCAAATAATTGCGCATGTGACGTACAAGATTGAAAAACATAATGTCTTTTTCCACACCTTCCTCATATGTTTTCAAAGAAGTAAATGCACCATCAAAAAATGACCAAGCATATTTTTGCTTAAATCAAATCACTTGATTTGGAGATTGTTTTATTGATGTAGACTGCCTTCAGCAACAAGCTTAGTAGGTTTACAGTGTTTGCATAGCTTATTTTTGATATACAGAGTGTTACTAGTACATGTTTTTACCTTTTGAATATAAGACATCCATTATACAAGTTAAAATTAGCCAATCAAATTGTGCTTCATTTATAATAGGAAAAATAGAAAAACAAAATGTTACAAAAATATAATGTTGACCTAATGGTTACAAATATTTTAGTTCAATATGTGAAAAGCATAAACCCAGCAGTTGCAAGACTCTGAATATTTGAATAAAGATTTTCTAAAATACTGTAATTACACCAAGCTATTATAGCATTTCAATCACAAAAAGTTGTCTAAGTTGCGCGCAACTTTTTTTGTGATGCATTATTTTATTGGAAATATAAACGAATTTTGATAATAAGGAAACCTTCCAAAAACTCAAATACAATTAATATTATTGATAGTAACTTAAATAAAGGGCTAATCACATCACTGAGTACATGGTTTTGGGCATTTTTAAAAAAGTAGTACTCAGTCAATCCCTTATGAATAATAAATATACAATGTAAATTGCCAAAATATAGGAATCTGCCAAAAATATTTTCATATATTCATATACCATGGGACAAAGTCCAACTTTATAGCGCATTTATGAACAATAGCAATTTACATTTGATATCTAGTAAGATTACTTAGTTCACCTACAACCACTAATACAAAAATATAGATGAAAGTTGTTGTATTTGAATAAAGATTTTCTAAAATACTGTAATTACACCAAGCTATTATAGCATTTCAATCACAAAAAGTTGTCTAAGTTGCGCGCAACTTTTTTTGTGATGCATTAATTTATTGGAAATATAAACGAATTTTGATAATAAGGAAACCTTCCAAAAACTCAAATACAATTAATATTATTGATAGTAACTTAAATAAAGGGCTAATCACATCACTGAGTACATGGTTTTGGGCATTTTTAAAACAGTAGTACTCAGTCAATCCCTTATGAATAATAAATATACAATGTAAATTGCCAAAATATAGGAGTCTGCCAAAAATACTTTCATATATTCATATACCATGGGACAAAGTCCAACTTTATAGCGCATTTATGAACAATAGCAATTTACATTTGATATCTAGTAAGATTACTTAGTTCACCTACAACCACTAATACAAAAATATAGATGAAAGTTGTTGTATTTGAATAAAGATTTTCTAAAATACTGTAATTACACCAAGCTATTATAGCATTTCAATCACAAAAAGTTGTCTAAGTTGCGCGCAACTTTTTTTGTGATGCATTAATTTATTGGAAATATAAACGAATTTTGATAATAAGGAAACCTTCCAAAAACTCAAATACAATTAATATTATTGATAGTAACTTAAATAAAGGGCTAATCACATCACTGAGTACATGGTTTTGGGCATTTTTAAAAAAGTAGTACTCAGTCAATCCCTTATGAATAATAAATATACAATGTAAATTGCCAAAATATAGGAGTCTGCCAAAAATACTTTCATATATTCATATACCATGGGACAAAGTCCAACTTTATAGCGCATTTATGAACAATAGCAATTTACATTTGATATCTAGTAAGATTACTTAGTTCACCTACAACCACTAATACAAAAATATAGATGAAAGTTGTTAATGATATTTCTTATTTACAATGAATTATTGAACTACTGTTTGTTCTAAAATTGCTGAAATATTTGCGTTCATTGAGCTGCTTCACAATAACAGGTTACACACTATGGTTATTTATTTTGGTGCTGAGCCATATCAGCCCCTAAAGATAAATAGGAAGGTTCGACATTTTTCGTATTTCTCTTATTTTAATTAAAATCGAGGGATTTTGTTATTAAAAAACGGTCAAAGAAAATTGAGTGCAAAATAGTAATATTTACGTCGACGGAAAGAATTTTAAAATCAAGGACCGACGCGAGGCTAGAAAACGTACCTGTACGCGAGATTCGACCGCGTGACGTCAGTAGCCAGACACGTGCTGCCGCCCTCATAGAGTACTTGTATCGTCTTGTATATGGAGTGAAGAGTATAAGAATACGAATTTATATAAACTGGGACCGACGTTTGTGTACTTTATTTATTTGTGCTAGCACAATGCTCCAAGGTTATCAGAAAGCTGATTCGCGAAATTTACCCCATGTGAATGTGGAAATGGTGTACGAGTTTTTGGGAAATAATGCAAATTTAAATGAACCTCAGAGCAGCGGTGTTAAAGTAGTTCGGTAAGTACCTATATGAAGCTAATTTTCTTTGTTTAGCTCCAATGGGTAGTATTTTTTTATATTTCTCCGCAAAAATTGAGCCTGCTTTGCTTTAGTCTATTGAAAGCTAATAATATTAAGACATAATAATGGCTGCTCGTGACAATAATTTCAAAGGCTATTTATCTCTGCTTTTTTCTTCCTAAGTGAAATATTATGGAATTTAAATTATCCTTCATACCTTTTTACCTGGTTACGCCTATTAAGAGTCCCGAAATTGGTTCTTTTTGCATGCCTAATGAGGTTCTATTACACAATTCTGAAGTAAAGCATGGTACCTAATATGTTTTCAATAAGAGAAATTCCAGGGATGTAGAGGGAATCTTATTTTTTTAGGGTCTATTGGGGAATACTTAAATTAGGGGGGGGGAGGTCAGTCTCATTATAGAATTTTATAGCTACTAAAATAACAAAGTTTAGGGCTGCACTCAGGGGATGGGCAATGAAGCCAGGTTCTAAATGTTGACTAATATTGCACTAAGAATGACTACGATCTCGACAGTAAGCTGGTCAGCTTCGCTGTCACTACTGTCAGTTTTGCCCATTCAATTTCCACTTGCAACGTTTTTCTGGCCGCTCTGAAATCTGTTTAGCAAGCGCAGGAATTCTTATTGGCGATACAGCAACGTCCATTACTTTCCGTTTTTGCGAGATTTGAACTGACTTGCTTCTAAAATGTACCTGTTTCGTTTGGCATGCCTGTGACTGAATTTCTACTGTTAAAGGTTCAGGCAGTTCATCATGTTCCTCCTCAATAACTTCAGGCTCGGACTTTTCGGTTGAGGATCCCCCGCCCGGCGTGCCGCCTCTCGCTGAAAATATTTGGCGATGTCTTTCTGCCTTGCCCTTTTTCTGCTGAACACTCGTTTCGTAGAGCTTAACTGTCTACCTAGTTGACATGCAAATTTATGAGGTGCAATATTCGGATTCATCCGGGCTCGAACGGTACTCATCTTGTATAGTAGATAGTTTTCCATATCTTTTTCCAGGTCAAAATGATCTTCGCAGCAGTACATCGTCGACGTGGAAGAAACTGATTTTACATCCCGTCGAGCTGCGTCAAACCACTTTTTACATTGTGCGGCAGCTTTTGGACCACTCACAAAAAAAAATTGTGGCGTTGTACTTGACGTACTTGTACATTTTCACCATTTTCCGTTCGACATTTAACACCGTCATAGTTCACAGAATTGAACAATAATCTATCGTACCAGCTCTAACTACTCCAAACCGATTATTGGGGTGTTGCTGTGAGAATGGTAAACGCAGTGGGCCAGCTAGCGAGGTATGTATGGCTACTGACGTCACGCGGTCTAGTCTCGCGCACAGGTACGTTTTCCAGCCTCGTGCCGATTCTTGATTTTGAAATGCTTTTAGTCGACGTAAATATCAATATTTTTTGCTCAATTTTTTATATCATTTTATAATAACAGAATCTCTCGATTTGAGTAAAAATCAAAAAATGGCGAACCTTCCTATTACATATTTTATATGATATATTTCTATGTCAGAAATTTTATAATGTTAAATGTTAATACAACCAGAACTTTAAGGATTTTTATTCATAAATGATTTCAAGATTTACCTAAAACACAGCAGTCAGCTCCCCTATAAAATGCCACTCCGAGTGATTGGAATCGTTCTTGACCTGCCGTGTCCCAAATCTGCATGGTAACTGTCCTATCATCTACAGTCAACTCTTTTGTGAGAAAATCAGCACCAATGGTGGCCTTATACTGATTTGTGAATTTTCTATTCACATACTGATTCATCAAGGATGTTTTACCAACACTTGAATCACCCAAGATGATTACTTTCAAGAGAGTCTTCTTTCGACTAGCCATGTTTCTCCTAAGTGAAAATGAAAGTTAATACAAAACTTCCAATAAAACATAGGTTTCACATATTTATATACTTAAAAAGAAACTAAAACACCAAACATGATGAGGCTGATGTGCAAATACACAGTAATGGACAAAAGTATAGACAAATATGAATATATACCTAAATACCTTCAGAAAACGAATTCATACTTCATTCCTCTATAAACAAATGCGTTATTAGTAGAAAAACTAAATTCCTTATTTTTACACTTTAAATCTTGCAAAGAAATTCTTTCTGGATGAGAAATACCATTTCTCAAATGGCTTTCACAGTCTCCCTATATAAAACCCATTGAAAATCTATGGGAATACTTAGATAAGCAAATACGAGATAAAAATTAATCAAACAAGGATGCACTTTTTGCCGCTTTACAGCAAAAGTGGAGACATATTGATGAATCTTAATATCAAGAAACTTCTACAATCAATGCCAAGATGATGCCAGGCGGTGATTGAAAATAATGGTTATGCTACAAAATATTAACACAAACATGGTTGGTTTTCTATAATTCAATGAACTTTGCTTCTTTTTTCTATAATTGTTTTGCTTTGTATATAAATTTTTGTCCTTCATAGTTCCAGTTTTTTCAATTAATTTTTTATTGAAGGGAGTCTAATGAATTTATTTATGTATAAGTGAATATTATGCTATAACGAGTTTTGTATACAGGTTGGTGTATTAATAAAACAAGTTAAAAAAGAAATACAGGACAATATTAATTTATCTATATACTTTTGTTCATTACTGTATATTTATATAACAGATGTCTCTTGTTGATCCATAAATGCAATATGCCAGAAAAAAAATAAAAATTTAGAAATTACATATTGTTGGAAGGATCTGGGCACAAGCAAAAAAAAAACTTATAAATCCTTTTGATAATCTGTCACAGTTGATAAATAATAATAATATTTATTCACTCAATGTACATAGAGAACAAACAATATGAGTAAATAAATATAGTCAAAAAATATGTCCTTATTTATAGTAGGGACTTTTAAACTATGTATCAAAGCCTTTTAGAGCTTAGAAAAGGATGAATGGGAGTTGTCAATAGTGTGGTTAAACATGTTTACTGTGGCCTGGTATCTTAAAGACTCCTGCAGTCAGAAGATTCAGGATACCTGCCCCAGTTACCCATAAACTGATCTGGTCCTGGAATTTATGAATTTTTGTTTTTGGCCGGTTCAAATAACAGAACATGGAATGATTAGTAAGGCACATAATTCAAATATTTTCTAACAGGCTTGATTTTCTCAATATTTTTATACTACATATAAAAAGCATCTGTAGATACGTTTTTAGATTGTACTGCACAACACAAGGCTTACAAATATGTTATGGCATGCATTCCACAGTATGGTTTTCAATACAATTAATATACTGCACTCATAATAGCTGACTGCAAGGATGAAATTATGAACAATACGTACCAAGTGATCGATGATTTAATTTGTATATACAATTTTAGAAAACCACTTGTAAATGTAAATGACTGATCACTTTATAGCACTCTATGTCAAAAAGTTCGAAATCAATTACGGAAGACGGATAATTTGCAAAATGGGAAGCAATGGTACTAAATCTCACAATGGACCCGCATCGATGACTCACTTGTAATTTCTACTCTGCTGATACCAGAAATTGAAGAGCAGACAACACAATATCAGCTGACTTCTTTGATATACCTAGCAAGTTGTGCTGCTAAATACTTATTTCAAGTAGATGTTTTAACAGCTAAATTCAACACTAATGAGGCGTACTTACTTTTTTATGACGTTATTACTGGATAAATAAAAATTCTTTGTTCACAAACACAAACAATTTATATTGCGTTACAATCTGACAAATAGAAAATGGCGTTGATTTGACTTTTGTATGGTGTCTTATCTGGGGATTTTTTTCTTGAGCAGTGCCGCCAATAGTAAAATTAGGACAAATATTACTTGATTCAAAATGATTGCATCAGCACGGCAGGGCGATTAGAACCGTGGGAAAGTCTCGATTTCCTTTGTACAGAATATACAGGGTGAGTTTGAGTTACTAGTCTTATAGAAACTATAATTATTGTAAACTAGAAAATTCTTGTATAGAAACAATTGAATTTTCACCTAACAAGAAAACAGCCATTACAGAATAACCCCGATAGCATTAAATATTTTTAAAAAATGTTTGTTAAATTTTGTAGCGACAGATTTTTGAACATTTAATAAATATATTTCTTATAGTTGTATATTCATAAAATATTCGATATAGATATTTGTAGTATATATAATTGATATGTTTTTGCGACATGTTTACGAAATATTTAGAAAACATATGAGGAAAGATTTTTAAATGTCAATGTTATATTTTGATGAAATATCTAATATTTTTTGATGTAGATGTGTACGGATTTTCAAGCATTAATCTGATACATATTTTCAGTGTACACCCTGTATGTCATTCAGAGGTGGATACCAAGAAAAAATAAAATCCGTATATATATACAGGGTGTAAACGTTATGGTAGTCATTATTGAAATGGTAATAGGGGGGTCAAAACAAGTCAAAAAGTTCATATGACCCATGGTCCAAAAGTCAATAGATTTTTGTCTAAATGGCTTTATAGTTTACAACTTGAAGTGTTTTATATCGACCACAATCAACACAATCTTACTAATTTTTATAATCTAGTCTAAAACGTTTTTAAATTAACAAATAATTGGCATTAAGTTTTTCTGAGTTAAGCCAAAATTTGTAGTCAGTAAGAAAGTAAGTTTCGTTAAATGGAATATCTAAAACACACTTGACAACAGCGCGTCGGTCATCATCACTCTTATTGAACCGGCAATCGATCGCAAACGGTAACGCCGGCTCCACACGTTGACCCCAACGTTGGTACCAACGTTGCTCGGTTAAGTTGGTGAAGCGTCCACACGTTGATAATTATACTAGTTCCTTTCTGTCAGAGCCAATGTGAAGATGTCCGACACCGAAACCGAAATTGCTCTAAGCGCTTTTACAGTACTGATAAGTGCGTATAATTTATATTTGTTATTGAAAAAAAGAAAAAGCCTCGTCAAAGGAGATGGTGGATGACAACGCATCATACAACTCGGTACCAGTAAGTACAGACCATACACTCCATTCTAGCAGATTTTTACAAGGCAATTTAATATTAAATTATCTAATAATGTGTATACAGTGTGTCCAAGATAAGAATGTCTATCATGAGGATCTTGGAAAACAAAAGTGATACGAAGATGGTTAAATTTCAAGCCTAACAATATCCCGTTTAGAAAGTTTTAAAATTCCGAGTTGTTCCGGAGGTATGCCTAAAAAATACTTTTTAAGCTCTACAAAACAGCGTTGAGAGATTTTCCGCACGACGTTTCGTTTCGGAGAAACCATCATCAACTTTATTTTTTATATGGCGCGTAAAAAAGTATGCCCTGTATTAAATAGCATTTTTTAGCATACCTCCGGAACAACTCGGGATTTTAAAGCTTTCTAAACGGCATATTGTTAGGCTTGAAATTTAACCATCTTCGTATCACTCTTGTTTTCCAAGATCCTCATGATAGACATTCTTATCTTGGACACACTATATACACATTATTAGATAATTTAATATTAAATTGCCTTGTAAAAAGCTGCTAGAATGGAGTGTATGGTCTGTACTTACTGGTACCGAGTTTTACCATCTCCTTTGACGTGGCTTTTTCTTTTTTTCAATAACAAATATAAATTATACGCACTCATCAGTACTGTAAAAGCGCTTAGAGCAATTTCGGTTTCTTTTTTAATTCCTCAATCATTTTCATATTCTGTTGAATATTGCGCCATGCATCGGCTACTAAATTTCTATTTTTATGGTCATTGCGAGAGGCGTTCCATATTATTGGATGCGCCTGGTATAACTCTAAAAATTCTACAACTTTTTCGTTTGTCCACGCGGGTAGCGGTGTTGTTGATGACATATTTCCACATACGCACTCGACGCGTGTTACAACAAGACTGAGCCAGTGAGCGAGTGAGCCAATATGTGGACGGATTGCCAACGTTGGCGCAGATACCTTTGATAAAACCGACAATCGACAGCCAACTACCAACGGTCGCTCCAACGTTGGGGCCAACGCTATTTTCTAGATACACACGTTGGGCGAGTGGCGTTGGGGCCAACGTGTGGAGCCGGCGTAACAGTGGTTAGTTATCATTTTGCATAGTTTTCAGATTTATTTTACTTTAAAGTCGCTTTTCTCTAAAAAAAGTCCGTTTTGACCCCCATGTTATATGAAACTTTTTGCTTCTTTCAACCCATTTAACCCTTAACAGGAAACGTGAATTTTTGGAACACAAAAGGAAACATGCCGTCTCTCAGACTGCGAACTTCAAGATGTTCAAAAAATTAGAGTAAGGCGAAAAGCAAGCAATAACTTCGCTGAAACTGATACTGGATGTTTATTTTATGTGTTTAATACGTAAAATGCTCATTTCAAAATGATACAAGAACATAAAACCAGTTGTCCGCTGTAATGTTGCGATTAGTTCCAAACAGAGGCTTCGCGAGACGTAGAACTGATTGTGTGGGTTTGGAATACCGCTTGTGTTCCTCAGGAAGTTCGAAACTATCGGAATCTTTACCGCAGTATATATATGCGTTATAGAGGTAGCTATTCCTTGCATCCGTCAATGCCATAATTTTTATGCCATATTTGCAAGGTTTCGCAGGCATATACATTTTAAATCGACATCTTCCTCTGAAACTCACGAGCATTTCATCGACAGTGACAGACTGGCCAACTCCGTACACATCTTGACAGTTCTTTATAAAACTATTAAAAATGAAAGATATTGGTGCTACTGGATCTACAGTATATTCAGATAAGAGATAGACCGGATGTAAACAAAAGGTTCGGGTGATTTTCACGCTAACGCCGCCGTCTCGACGTAAAACAGGAGCCCTCATTGGTCAATTCGCAATTAAATGCCTATGCCGAGCGGCAGAGCAGTCGTATCAAGGCAGAGTCACATTCAGGTTCAGACGTGTTACGTATGTCGTGTGCATCATTGCAATTTGATATTTCTTTGGACGTTTTCGTTTGTTATCTTATTAAGTTGTTGAGTTTGTCGTTGTTATTGTTATACCTTGTTATTGATTGTTATTGTTATCAACTGCTTGCGCAAAATGCCCAGTAGTACAGATACTGCCGATGAAGTTGTAAACTCCTGTAGTCGACCCCAATTATAGCAATCTGATACTCATGTCTCAATGTTTTTTCGCTGAATATAATAAAAACATTTGAAAAAGGTTCGCTTATTGAAATAAATCTACACCAGTTAGTACTTCGATTTCCAGGTAAAGGGAAAAGGCTCATTATCTGCCATATTGGCAGTGAGGATGGATTTGTTGTTGACGGCCTGTGGTGCTTTGAGTCTAAGAAAACTGGAGATTACCACGAGGAAATGAATGGCGAATCGTTTGAACAGTGGTTTTCAAAAATTTTACCGAACTTAGAAGAAAACGCAGTAATTGTGTTGGATAATGCACCTTATCATTCTCGAAGAATGGAGAAGGTCCCAACAACGGCTTCAAGGAAAGTTGATGTTCAAAATTGGCTCCGCTCGAAAAATATCAACTTTGAAGAAGCAATGCTGAAAGTACAATTATTAAGAATTGTCAAGGATCACAAGGCGGAATATCAAAAATACGCCATTGACGAAATGGCAGCAAGTCAAAATAAAACTGTGCTCCGTTTACCTCCATACCATTGCGAGCTCAATCCCATTGAGCTCATATGGGCAGAGGTTAAAAATTATATAGCTAAGCACAATACAACTTTTAAATTTTGTGACCTCAAAGGACTTTTCAAAGAAGCACTAGAATTAATAACAGCGCAAAAATGGGAAAACTGTATTAAGCACGTGAAAGACAAAGTTGAAAAGAGAATGTGGGAACTGGACAATATTTTAGAGGAACAAGTCGAGCCATTCATTATTGACGTTGGTGCTTCAGGCAGTAGCGATGATGAAAGCTCATCAAGCTCATCTTTCCAATAAAAGATGTCGTTCATCAAATTCGGTAAGTTATAAGTAATTATAAAGCTACTGTATTTTTTAATTAATTATTGACATTTTTGAACCCATTTTGGCAAAACCTATTCAAGAGTCTACTTTCTGACAATGTTCAACCATGCACATTTTTTTACGTTTTGAACGTTTTAATTTGGTTACATATTTACCTAGAAATCAAAAAATATACTAATCAATATTCTAAAAGCAATTTTAAGAGATATACGATTATTTTTAATTTAGGCTAATTTAAACGCCATTTTGAGATTATATTCGACTGTATTTCACCAAACATCAGGCGGCATCCGAAGCTGGAAATCGAAGCGAAAATTTTGAAACCCTTATGTATATTTACATCATTATATATTTCTTACCCCACCCCCACATGATCCTATATCCATCACCAATCGTATACACATCGAATTGTGCTAATTTACTACAAAGTTACGCAAAGCAGCATCTACTATCTAAAATATGTACTGCGTGACTCTTAATACGTCCCTGCCGAATGTTACAGCGTTCGATGATCACGTGGTCTTGTTTATGTCCGGTCTATCTCTTATCTGAATATACTGTAGCTTCTTTCTTTCATTCCTGTCATCTGGGTTATCAAACCTTTACAACTCGTTCACACGATACGGTACGGCACGGGAATTTAACCGAAACGACATTTTAACCGAATCGGGTCCAGTGTTCACACGATGCGGTATAATATTTTTGCGCGGATACGCTTCTTGTCAGTTGTTGATTGAGTTTGGCACAATGAATGCAAATATGTTGGTTTTAATGTATTGGTATCGTAGACTCTGTAAAAAACGAGTAATAAGGAGATATTGGGAACACCCTATTATTAGAGAAAGATTTAATTTGGGGTCCTTCCGGACACTTATGTGTCAATTAAGAAGAGATGAAATTAAATTTTTCAATTATTTTCGGATGTCTTCCTCTACGTTTGATGACCTACTTAATAGAGTGAAAAAAGACTTAACTCGAGAAGACACAAATATGAGAACATGTATCAGTGCTGAGGAAAAATTGGTGATATGCTTAAGGTAGGTGTCATTTTTTAAAAACTTTATTTTATATACAAATAAACAAATCAAAAATTGGAAATATCTAGATCTAAAATAGAATCTTGGCTTGCAACAGACTGTGTAGAGGGTGACGGTTCGGCAGTATATGGACTAGTCATTGGTGTTGTTACTCTTGAAATTGTTTGTGGCTGTGGCTGACTGTAATAATCATGATTTTGCCAATTATTGTAATAAGTGGCAATTGTACGCGATGGCATTTGAATATTATCGGCCAACCTTCGCTTCTTTGCTCTCATATTTTGCAATAAACTTAACACACTCGACTGAAATTCCAAAGTTTCATCTTCATCAAACGATGATAATGATGGAAGAAGACTTTTGAAGAATGTAAGATGACGATTTTCATCCTCTTTGACTGTTGAAACCTTGGATAAGTTGATTTGATGGTCTATGAATCGCATCATTTTGGCATCAACTTCATTAATACTCCTCTTTCTGCGTGCAGTAGAAGTACTGATGGGAGTACTACCAGACTGATTTGCTTCCATATTCGGTTGTTCAGGTGGAACACTCTCTTCAATAACTTCTGCATCCAAGTCTTCTATCTCGGTGTTATTTTCATTATTAGTGTTTTCATGACAAACAGTTGAATCTGTAATTTTTTTCAGGAATGACATCTGCTCATTATATATATAAAGTCTTGAAGGTTTGGTCGATGTGCCACTTGTTTTTTGGTCTTTATGTTTTTTCAATGCTTTCATCCACGAGTCTCGAATGTATGTCCACTTTTTTAAAATCAGCTTACCTGGAACAAATAAAATAAAACGTTCCTTCCTTTCAGGTATCTAGCATCTGGGTGTTCGTATAAAGATCTGCATTACTCCTACCGAGTTGGTGTCTCAACAATTAGCAATATTGTGAGAGAAGTTACTCGGAGTATATGGAATAATATGGGTACTAAATTTATGGCATGCCCTGATACGCCAGATAAATGGGAGGAAATAGCGAATGGATTCTGGATGAAAACGAATTTCCCGCATTGCCTCGGTGCGGTAGACGGGAAACATATAAGACTGAGAAAACCCGATAACACTGGCTCTATGTACTTCAACTACAAAGATTACTTCTCTATTGTTTTATTAGCAGTCGTAGATTCAGAATATCGTTTTATATACGTGAATATAGGGTCCTATGGAAAAGATTGTGATTCGTCAATCTGGAAAGAATCTACATTGTGGAAAAAGTTGACACAGGGCGCTTTAAACATACCAACACCCAGACCTTTAGAACAGACACAAATAAATGTACCCTTTGTGTTTATTGGCGATGAAGGTTTCGGATTGCATGACAATTTATTAAGGCCTTTTGGCGGTACACATTTAGACAAGAAAAAGCGAATATTTAATTACCGACTTACTCGCGCTAGAAGATATGTTGAATGTGCATTTGGCATCTTAGCTAATAGATGGAGGATATTTCATCGTCCTCTAGATGTTAAACTAGAAACAGCAATATGGATAGTAAAAGCGTGTACTGTGTTACATAATTTTGTCCGAGAAAAAGACGGGTTTAATTTTGAAAACGCTCATTTGCCAGAAATCCACCTTGACAACTTACCAAAAGCACAAAATATACGAGGAGGACTATCTGCCAATTCCATAAGAACAACTTTTGCTGACTATTTTCTAACAGAAGCTGGTTCTGTTTCTTGGCAAGATGAAGCCATCGGTTAGTAAATTTATGTATGTCAAAATAAACAATAAAATACTTACCAAAAGCCTGCCTCTCCTTTTGTTCCATATCTTCGAAATTCTCCTTTAACAGAGAACATATCTCTCTCCATGCTGACGACTTTAAATTTTTGTCTTTATATGTGTCAAGTGTTTTATCCCATAAAGCGGGTCTCGCTTCCACTAAACTTATCAACAGCTCCGTATTTATTTTCTCCATTGTATATATGTAGGTATATACCATAAATATGAGCAAACTATTTAAAGCCGAAAACAAGTGCCGTTCGGCAAGATAATCGAATCGCGACTGGAGGTGAAATGGCCAATATACATTGTACGTGCCACTGAAGGCCGATTCGGTTTTTTTCCCGAACACAACCGCATGCGACCATACGGTTGCCAGTGGCGCGAACCGAATGCAAGTCCGAACGAATCGGCAGTTTTCCCGTATATGGGGTACGACCGCATCGTGTGAATATGCAGATTTAAAATATTGCGCCACTGCGAGATTCGATACTTTTACCGGTTCGATTAAATGATCGTGACCGAGTCGTCTGAACGAGCTGTAAGGCTGACAGGAGAATACCAAATCGTTTTATGTTCATGACAGCTCTGAATATATCTCTTACAGAGCCATCGGTGGTAGTGATGCAAAGTTTCGTTACTTTTTAGGACTTGTAAGGACTCGTTACTTTCGAACTTTGGACTCGTTAGTTTAGTTACTATTTGGACATTTCGTTTTGAACCTACATTCTATATATTATATCAAATTATTACTTTGGGATTGATCCAATTATTATTTTTTGTCTAATGCCTTGCCTATTATTTTTTTTGATATTTGATACGTAGAAGGTACTTATATTTTAAACTCGTCGTTGTGTGACGTCTGGTTCGTCGGCTGTACGCTGTAAATAGTATTTAACAAGTGGCATAACCAGATGGGGACCGTGGAAGAACCACTCTCCTCACTATTTACTTTAGTTGAGTAGCGTCTCCTGCCCTAACAGTCTGGTTACTCCCCTGCCCTAATTAACAGTCTGGTTACTCCACTGTAAATGGTGTTCAACAAAATACTTATAATAATAAAACATACCTGAAACTAAGTTCTTTTTGCACCTAGTCATATTTTCGTCTTCCACCCGCCGTTTTGCCCTTTCTCCTTCCAATGAAAGAGTCGGATGTTTAGTTTTCAAATGCTTCCTTAAATTGCTAATGTTTCCATTTTTATGCGAATAAATATTTTTACAAAGACTTTGCATTAGCTTCCGATATATTGGTGAAATGCATCCAAATAACACTTCTTTTTTGAGTTTGCGATTCTCCTGAACCGGACGCGGATGATTCCATATTTTTGTACAAATAATAATTATATTATTGCTCGAGCTTGTACGGCAACGTCCAAACCAGTAACAACCCGCCAACCGCTAGCTCTCAAAGTCAAATGAAAAGTGTACAGGTGTACACAAACATTGCCAACCTAAAGCTCCGCAGTCCGCAACTCGTTTGATAGAAGAGTATCTAAAGTTGCCTAAGCCTAACGATATTCGCATCATTTCATTTCCACCCAGTTTACATCCAAGAACCAAGTCACTTGCTGTTGGCGCTGGCAGTACTGGCTACATTAGATCCCAGTAACGTTTGTATCTAATGTAATGTATAGTGTAGTAACTAACAGTAATTAAAAAGTATACATAGAAAAAGACCGTATCGCATTCAAAGTAACGAATTCAAATAAAAAGTAACGAGTCTTTTCAAAAAGTAGGACTCGTTACATTTAGTTACTCATTTGTAACGATTATTTTGTAAGCGTTACTTAATTATTTTACATCACTAATCGGTGGCAAAAAGTGTTTCAATGTTCTCGTGGTTGCTGTTGAACACCGATGTATATACTAAGAGACCCAATAGTGCCTTTATTTCGACTAAATCATTGTCGTTTAGGTTGCTGGTTTGATTTTTGTATCTCTTTCGCATTTCTTTGAGCTTGTGATTGGTCCACTTAACGATATGTACCAACATGTCGTCAGTGAACAAAAGCTGCCAAACCGTCAACGGAGCTGCTTCTTCTCCATATTCATGAGCTTTTCCTCTTAGAGTTGGTACTTTAATGACTATATTGTGCTTCCTTGTACGTGATGATGGTACAACTTCCGAAATATTCCACCTATGACGATTTTTTCCACAGAAATAATTCTGAGCTGGTAAATCCTCTTCATTTCCTTCGGCTCCGTCTTCTGATAACTCACTATCACTTGTATGATCTGATTCCATGTATTCGTCTTCTGAGGCACTGTCTATATCACTAAAGTCACTTCCTTCATCCTCAAACCATTTTAGAACGGTTTCTTCGAACTCCGGATCATCGTATCGTACACGTTTAGAAGGTCCCGCCATACTAGCAAACGCACCTATGCAACACAAATAGCAAACGGGAACGGAAACATGCCGTCTGACAGACTGCAACAAACTAAAATTGGTCCATATTTTAAGGCACGTTTTGGCTAGACTCGTGTGAATGGGGGTGAGCGATGGTCACTAATAGCTTATGGATTAGATGGGTTTTTACGTCTGTTAGAGGTGCAATAACAAAAGATACGCTCAGGTATAGAAACGCCGCAGTCTCACAGACGGCACCTTTCCGGTTAAGGGTTAAATAATGACTATCACAACATTTACGCCTGTATATAGAAAATTCTTCATTGGTTATTTTAGCAAAATCTGTAGGAAAGCTGCTTTTATAAAATTGGGTTTATAAAGAAAATTCATTCCAGATATGATCGTTTAATTTGCTAGAAAAATATCATTAAAACACATTCTAAGCCTCTTCTACATCTTGCAAATCCACTCCTCTGAAAAAAAAAACAAACTTACTATTATGCAGTATTGTAGAATATTTACATAAGTTGCTTTCCAGTCTTTTGTTTGAGAGAGATATTTTTTCAAACTACTCTAGAAAGGGTATTTATTAGAATAAAAAATGCAGTGGAACAATATTGCTACTGAGCAATGCTGAGTTACTCTGAGTAGCTCAACTGGTTCACTGAAAAGCAGCTCTATAATGCACCTAAAAGGACACCATATTTTCTTCATATGAGAGTTCGAGATTTGGTTAATTTTTAAGAAAATTTGGTATGTTATTTTAGATATCTTGATGAAAAATAGCCATGGCACAACTTGATCCTTTGACTAAACTTTCAAGGAAAAGGTTTTTAAAAATAGACCACTTATTGATTTTGTTGAAATGTGACTTTTTTGCAGTAGTAAGGGGGCTAAGTTAGTCATAACTATTTTGTGATCTTATATTATAATTCAAGGGACAAAAAAATGTATTTTCCCAAACCGCAAATAACTGTTACACTTCAAGGCTAGTTATTTATGGTCTCACAAATACCTTTAAACTCAACTGGCACAATAATGTTTACTAATCAGATAAATTAAGCTATGTAATTGTCGAAAAACTTACCCTTTCCCCATAAAAAAGACACAAAGTACACAGGTAGCAAAATATCATAGTGACACTCACAGGCAAAATGGATGCCGGCAAATCGGTCGGCTAAGGTCGTCTTGCCATTATGCCACTGGTCGCTCGTGGTCACACGCGCTTGCGCCTTAGCGAAAATATTTAATGAATATTTTCTAAATAATGGAGATTTAATATTTTCCATCGATTGAAAAGTGAATATTATACAATAAATATTCCAAATATTTAATAAATATTTGAGATAACAAATATTTTAGTAAGATAAAAATATGATCAAATATATATTTAATGAATATTTCATGCTATCGGGGAACTACATCAGCTTCCATTTTTTTTAAGATCAGTATTTAGTGATAAGTAAATGAAATCTTTTGAGGTCAAATTTTGCGAAACGCTATTTCCCTCTACAAGGTGCCCATTTGGGACATTGTATTGGGAGTTAAGTTCATCAACTTTAAAAAAGAATGTTGTGAAATAAACAGGGCTAGCCGGGTAAGATGACTATGGGCCCGCCTAATATCATAAAATTGACAGAGCCGGCCTATGTCCGTGGCGCTGCTCAGTTCTTTGATGCTTGCCTGTCTCAGTGTTTAGTATTAGTAGCTGGTCAATAAAAAAAACACAATATTTAAACTTTTATTTTTTCGTTCACACAAAAAATAAAACATTTATTACCACAATTATTATTATGAAGTTTTAGTAAATAAAATTTTATTTCTCTATCTTACATAGTTTACCTTAATTTTATTTCATTTACTTCATTATATTAATTTATGACTTTAACTTTAGATATATTTACTCTACATACAATTATATAATTTTATTTAGAAGTACATATTATGCAACTGAAATGTTCAAATAAACCCAGTAAATAGCATTATGAATAATATTGCAATCATGGATGCAGATTATGCTCTTTTAAACATGCTTTATAGATTTTAATGATCAGGGTAGTAAAATAGTGATACAGTAACTGAAAATAGATTTAAACTTTGCCTATGTATTAGGAATATTCATCAGCTGAAGGAAATCAATACCCAAAAGGTTCATTCCAAGTTATATGGTATTGTAACCAAAGAATTAAACAAAGCTTTAGCCAATTGGATATCAAAATATAAAAATTTACAATCATATGTAATTCATACTTTTCCTGCTTCTAAGTAACACAATATGTAAAGCCATATAAATAATGATCCTCTGTCTTTTGAAGAAAAACATATCCATTATGTGAAAAGTTTTTATATGTTATATATGTGTGATGCTACCAAGTCAATAGCCAAGACAGAAAATAAATTTTGATAACAAGTACATAAATATATGAATATACCAGTGGCGGCTCGTGATTTTACAAATAGGTGACGCAGGATTGACCGACCCCCCCCATACCATGTAGAGCGCATACACAAAAAAAAACATGAAATAACTTACATAAATTCAGTAACTCGAAAACAAAGTCAGGATTATCAGGCACTTTTCATTGTTTATATATGAGAGCAATTCGTCGGTCCTTCAAATTAGCAAACTTATTTATAACGTCATCGTAAAACGGCTGTGACACTATCAGTTCATTTAATAATTCTTTTTCGATCGATATTTTTGCCAAGTTCGTCAACCGATCTTCCGACATGGTACTTCGTAGATAACTTTTGATTCGCTTAAAGCATGAAAAACTGCGTTCTGTCGAAACACTTGTTGATGGAATGGTCAGTATTAAACACAAAAGCTTATATGCCTCCTTGAAGATACTGCGATTCTCAAATAGCGATTCCTTTAATAAGCGGGGTTCCATATTTTGATATTGATCATCGCTATAGATCAGCTGCAATTCATTTTTCAGTCTCTGAAAATCTGTGAATGTATTTGAATAAAACTCCTTCAAATTACTTAGGGCTTCTGTTGGAAATTTTTCTGAATATGTTTTGAACTTCGAAGTGTCCATTAACGTCACAAAATGAAGCTTTTCCATATCTTGGAAACGGGTCGTGATTTGCAGAGAAATGGTATCCAAAATTTCAAAATACAGCACTCTATATCTTTCAATAATTTGATCCCGAGACAATGTTACTCTTGTCCTGCCGTCGCGGTGTTCCGTTTGTACACTTGTTTTTGATGCAGCCAATTCGAAAATATTCTTAAATGTTTCTTCATTTCTCTTCTTGTTTAATTGTGTTTGAACACTTTTAATTTGCTTAATGCAAAGGTTTATATCAAAAGATTTTTTTTGCAGTGTGTCGAATAGTATATCTGTAATTCCAAAGATCTCGTTAAAAACAACAACCAAAAGCACGAATTCGAAATCATGGAATTTATTTAGAAATCCGTCGCTCTGTCTAACCGAGGCTTGATCGGAGGTTGGATCATTAATAATTTCAGTAAACACTTGCTTTAAGGAATCCCACTCCTTATTTATAAAACTGATAACTTTAGAATTTGATGTCCATTGCGTAATAACGGAAACAGGTATTCGACGTCCTATTATTGAGTCTGCTACGTTAGTTCGTTTCGGAGAATGGTGAAAAAATGTCGGTAAACCACTTATAGTTGCAAAAAAAATGCGGCATTTTGTAATACTATTGCAACTTTGTTGTAACACTAGATTCATGCGGTGTGCGAGGCAATGAACAAAAACTGCTTGGGGTGCCTGTTCCTTTATTTTAGCCTGAAGACCATTTAACTGTCCGGACATGACGCTTGCACCATCGAAACATTGTCCAACGAGTTTTGTTTTGTAATCAAAATTTTGTAGACACCTTGTCACGAGGTTAAATAATGCTTCAGATGTTCGGCTGCAGCTTACATCATGAAATCCTAAAAATCTCTCCACAAGTTTTCCTTCAAGATTGACATAACGGATTATTATGCTGCACTGCGATTTGTGGGCAATATCGGTGGAATCATCCACCTGAATGGAAAAAAAACTGCATTCCTTTATTTCATTTTCCACATATTCATCAATGCATTTGACAATGCAGTCAATAATTTCGTTTTGAATGGTTTTAGAATTGCCCGCAAATATTGAGGCAATTTTTTTGTAGTGCTCCTGAATGTCTACAGGGCTTATAGATACAAATGCTTCTAGGAGCTCTTTGAAATTTCCACGGTTAATAGAAGTCGTCTCTTCGTTGTGGCCACGAAACGCCAGTTCTTGTTTGCCCAAAAAAAGGACAGCGCGTATTGGCAATTCCATGAAACGTCTATTAAGTTGCACGTTTTCGTTAAACTGTTTAATATACAGCCTGGAATTTTCGCGTAAAGCATCCTCAATAGTAGTGAGATTTTTCTTCAATTTTGAAAAACCTAGTGCGCAACGCATATGATCCGATGATCCTTCATGTTTACGAAGAGCACGAGTCACATTCCCGAAATCATTGAAACCGTACTTGCTCCACACGGTTGCTTTAACACTTACAATCAAACACGGCACACAAAAAAGTTTATTTAAATAATAGCTACCACATAACCATGCAAACTCACTATACCACGATTTTTTAAAATTTCGACTGTACACTTTGTCCTTAACTTTAGCGGTTTTATTTACATTTAATATCGGAGAAGGTTTTTCGGAGTTTAAAAAGTCTTTTTTATCATCATTACTCCATTGAGAAAACGATTTTTCCAACATAACACAAACCGTATCATAGACAGGAAACATTGTTCAAAACAATGAAAACTAACCTCGACACAATACGATATCGGTAATAATGCAGAGCAGACTAGACGCAAATTCATAATTTGCTTCACTTGCCTCGGCCAAAACGGAAGCGCGCGTGCCGTTGTCATGGCAACCGTCGTATTTGCTCGTATCTGTACTGGACGCAGCAATGCGGTGTAAATAAAGCTGCTTCAGGTCTCTGTTTCAACACGCCAAATTAAGCGCAAACGTAGGCGCGTTGTTTTTTGCGGTGTTTCTCAGTATTCTGTTGATCGCAAATACAAATAAAGAATGTCCGAAAAATAATTTTTTAAGATATAAATGAATTTTTTTTATAAATTTCAAAATAAAAAAAATATATTTTTTTTGAAATTGCAGGTGAAGCAGCGCTTCACCTGCGTCATGGGGCGAGCCGCCACTGGAATATACAACTACACCAATGAAATAATTGGTAAAACCCAATAAAGGAAAAAAAATATGATATCACTTCAAAAATCTCATAAAATTGTCAATAAATAATAAATAAAGATTAATATACAGTGCACATTGTTCTGTTAAAAATATATAAGTGTATTGTATATGCTGTCTTTCATTATTAGAGAAATGTGAGCTTTTACATCTAAATAAATTATGTGAAGCATTTCGGAAAAACATTTTATCATTTCGAATTACTAAAACTACAACCGACGGTTTTATTCATATAAAATCTGAAACCAAAGCCAATAATGCCCTGCGAGACAGGTTCATCGTCTCTTGGAGACAGGCAGAACCACAAGAATTTGTACCTTCCCTACCCAAATATTAAGTTACTAGGGTGTGGATCGACCACACTAGTTGACTTGTGGCTTGTTTAAAAGATTTTATACTTTTTTCGAAATACTTCATTATATTCATCACACAGCCAATGCATCTATACAAAATGAAAATTATCAAGGATTGCTGTCCACTTTATCACTATTTGGTTATCCTAAATTGCAGATTTAGATGCAAAAAACGGAAATGTTGAATCTCATTATAGACATTAGAATAGCAATAGCACAATAGCAGCTTCATTCGGATTTTACTGAGACAAGAAAGTGAAGGAAAATACGAGAAGGTTGTTCATTCGACATATCTAAAATAAGTTTAGATTTCAAAATGTATAATTTGATTTTTCCCATAATCCTTCATTAAGAATACTCAGTAAAAACATCTGTATATGATACTCCAATCTCACGACAACTAAAGCCTTACTTTTCTCTAAATGCCAGTATGAGATCAAGATTCACTGCTCTTTGTTACCCTTAACTGAAGAGTGTCCTAGTCTAACTAAATGAATAAAGCAGCAAAATAATTTATCTGAAGCTATAGCCTAACTGCTAGAGTAAATTTTGATAAAAACCTGATGGAAAAGCTTTCTGCTAATTTTGGCAAATCTTTTACTTGACAGTCAATGTTTTTTCTTCTAAGACCAGCTTGATTTTCTTAACAAAATTAAACTTTCTGCACAGTACTCCAAAACTCTTTAGGTTAGCTTACTCATAAAGATATGTTCTCGTGTTGTCTTGAACCGGGTGTTTCTTTCTCAAATAGCTCATATGTATTTACATGACTTCTTATGGAAGGCTTTGTATTTTCCGTATTATTTTCGTTATTCTTATACCCGTTTTACATTGACAAGAAATTCATGGATTTCTATATGTATTGAGTTCATGGCCAAACTTCAAAAGTATAAAACATGAATTTGACGTCTTGATAACTTCAAAAACTTCCTCGTGGATTTCTTCATACAATTATGACTTTTTCTAAAGGAATGTTTAAAAAAGTGATCATGTGAACATTCAGGGGTATTCAAACGTTATCATGAAATTTTCTCGCTTTTAAAATATTGGGTTTGAAAGTCTATAAGTCTGAAATTTTCGCCGTGATGATTTCGGAAGTAATTACACAAGTGCATCAAAATTACCGATAAATTTTCATGAAAGCGTGTTGTCTAAAAACGGCATGAGTTTATTTTATTATTAAAATAACCGGATGTGGTTATTTCCAGAGTTGAAAGAGTAAAAGTATCTATATTTATGCATGTCAAGATGACAAATGCACATGAATGGTAACTATAGATACGGATCTATAGGGAAAATTTCGATACCTACTGGACAATTTTCACCGTATTTTCGCTGTAATTTTGTATATTATTTCATGATTACACATGGTATTTCAGGAAAGTAAAGTAGATAAAAAAATATCACAAAAAGTTTATGTAAACATGAGTCCTAAACTTCTTGTTAACCGAGATAAAGGGTATTGAAATTATAATTTTGAAATCAAAAAAATAATATTTTTGGGATAGTTTAAGATATCGACTTTAAATTGTACATGATGTATTACTGACATCATAACCAATATAATATACAAATGAAAATTATTTTCTACGTTATTGACTTTTTTGGAACTTCTATTGCACATTTCCTTTTATTAATATAATACAGAGTGTGGTCACATACAGTCCAAATTTGTTGTTACCAGACGTATTGTGTGTAGATGTGCGCCCGACACCTTATGTGAAATTTTATCTCCGATTGTCGTGCCACTTTTGTTTCGGAATTGGAGTATAAAAGTCGACAGAAACCCTTATACATGAACAACCTAGTCCTTGACTTTATCCATTCAGACACTGTTCAATTTTTAATAGCATCTCCTCTCTAATGGAAGCACAATTTCTATAAATAACCATCTTTCTAAATCTTAAGCAATCCTTACCCTTCTAGCTTGAAATAAATAAACAGAACATAAAAATATAAGAAACAAACAATCAAATATTTAACTTACTATGCAAGCCTCTTTATGTATGTCATTTTGTCCAGTCCAGTTGCTATAGCAAATTAAACAATATGAAAATTCTTTGAAAATAATGTCAAATGAGCAGAATTTTCAATGGGTGTAACCATCAAATGCATTTAAGAGATTTTCAACAAACATTCATCCTGATTGAATGACCCTTATAAAAATTAAATTTTTCACTTAATATGGAATCGACTGAGGATACTAAAATCAGGGCGATACATACATGGTATTGTGGTGTACAAATATAAAAATATGAGATGAGTCCTGAATAATTTGACACATTACCTTTTAAAACTTTTGTCCGATAATGCTCAAAAAATACTGATAGCATTTGAACATTGTCTGGGTAAAATCTGGTACCAAAATAAGTTACAAAATAATACCAAAAAAACTGTGACATATTTTTATTGTTCTTAGAAAAGCACTTGAGCCAATTTCTTTAATATCATCTTCATTATTTTAAAATGCTCTTAAGTCAAAACAGTCTTCATAATCATACTGAATTTCAAACCAGGTGACAATGTGTATTATATTCTTTAGACGCAGATAATATGTATGGTTAAAGTTGGTCACAACACTTGAAGCTTTATTTTGGAATACATTTGGATTAAAGCAATTTTAAAGTGTTAAAGTTGATTATTTCAACATGCCTTTAATTTTGATGTCAATCATTATTTCTTTTTTTCTAACTCCATTCAGATTGTCTTCATCCTATATTCAACCAAATTTGATTTTTGAGATTTCATTTATTATAGCAATTGGACCAAAATAATTTCTCCATCTTTACTTGTTAATAACTCAGTTTTATTAATCGCTTTTACTGCATTTTGGCTCATCTTTCTTTTCTTCTTCATCATCATCTTCCTCTTCTTCTTCCAAAAGCTTCTTGGCCAGCTGCAGTGCATGATATTCATTATAGTGTTTTTTCCTTTTCAACTCAAATTCTCGTTTCCTCAGTTTTTCTTCTTCCGTTAATTCCTCATCGTCTGATTCATCAGATTCTACGATAAGTGCTTTGGGGGGTTTGTCTGCCTCAATGCGGATCCTACAGGTAAATGTTGAATAAGCAGTGCTCTTATTTGGAACTAGATAAAAATGACTTCAGCACATTACTTGTAATAATAAACACCAGAAAACATACATGGTATAGGGTTTATATTAAATGTTGAGAAACTACAGATAAAACTACCTGGAACAGCTCCTATGATGATTGAGTTGTATAATATGATAGTAGCACCCACATGCATGTGTTTCAATAAAAAATAATTAATTAAGATATTTAAATACTTTTATTTCCCATGACAATTGATGAGATAATAGCATAATGGCAAAGCACCTTAAAATTGGGTTTTTCAGATAAAACGAATTCATAGGTTTCAAGAAAATTTCACCGGTAGTAGCCAAGCTATGAGCAAAAAACAAAACATTCTTTTTGAGTTTATGAGTTGTTATTGGAGTAATTTTTATGTTGAACATTTTTAATAGAAGCCAAAACTTTATTTTTTTATGGTCACTTTAGGGCATTCTTTAGAGAGTCTATAATCTTGAAATCAGCCATGTATGCATGCAAGATAACTAAAATAAAATCAAAACACACATAAACAACAGTAAACAAATATTTGAAATAACTGCTACATAAATGTAGAAAAAATAATTTGCATGTATTACAGTAACTATAGTAAAGTCATGGTCACTTTTGAGATTAAGCTGTAAATTTAATGATCTGTAATGAATGGAATAATTGTTATTGTTTGTATTACTGGTGATTATCATCAATTATGGTTAAACAAGACATGAAAATACCTAGATGATCCTTGAATTGCTTCAGAACTCATACCAAGGATACTGTCAAACACTGTCTTCTAAGGCCAAGTTATAGTGATGTAAAATAATTAAGTAACGCTTACAAAATAATCGTTACAAATGAGTAACTGAATGTAACGAGTCCTACTTTTTGAAAAGACTCGTTACTTTTTATTTGAATTCGTTACTTTGAATGCGATACGGTCTTTTTCTATGTATACTTTTTAATTACTGTTAGTTACTACACTATACATTACTTTAGATACAAACGTTACTGGGATCTAATGTAGCCAGTACTGCCAGCGCCAGCAGCAAGTGACTTGGTTCTTGGATGTAAACTGGGTGGAAATGAAATGATGCGAATATCGTTAGGCTTAGGCAACTTTAGATACTCTTCTATCAAACGAGTTGCGGACTGCGGAGCTTTAGGTTGGCAATGTTTGTGTACACCTGTATACTTTTCATTTGACTTTGAGAGCTAGCGGTTGGCGGGTTGTTACTGGTTTGGACGTTGCCGTACAAGCTCGAGCAATAATATAATTATTATTTGTACAAAAATATGGAATCATCCGCGTCCGGTTCAGGAGAATCGCAAAATCAAAAAAGAAGTGTTATTTGGATGCATTTCACCAATATATCGGAAGCTAATGCAAAGTCTAATCTTTGTAAAAATATTTATTCGCATAAAAATGGAAACATTAGCAATTTAAGGAAGCATTTGAAAACTAAACATCCGACTCTTTCATTGGAAGGAGAAAGGGCAAAACGGCGGGTGGAAGACGAAAATATGCCTAGGTGCAAAAAGAACTTAGTTTCAGGTATGTTGTATTATTATAAGTATTTTGTTGAACACCATTTACAGTGGAGTAACCAGACTGTTAAGTAGGGCAGGGGAGTAACCAGACTGTGAAGGCAGGAGACGCTACTCAACTAAAGTGAACAGTGAGGAGAGTGGTTCCTCCACGGTCCCCATCTGGTATGCCACTTGTTAAAAACTATTTACAGCATACAGCCAACGAACCAGACGTCACACAACGACGAGTTTAAAATATAAGTACCTTCTACGTATCAAATATCAAAAAAATTAATAGGCAAGGCATTAGACAAAAAATAATAATTGGATCAATCCCAAAGTAATAATTTGATATAATATATAGAATTTAGGTTCTAAACGAAATGTCCAAATAGTAACTAAACTAACGAGTCCAAAGTTCGAAAGTAACGAGTCCTTACAAGTCCTAAAAAGTAACGAAACTTTGCATCACTACCAAGTTATGCATAAAGTACTATGCTAAAATATATACCTACTATATATTCTGAGAAATGATAGTAAAATCAATATATTGTTATATAGTTAAGTATCTATGTTTATAGTGGAAATCTTTAGAATATGTTAGTGTTATCTACTGATTCTTAAGAGTATCAATAACCCCTGGGTAATTAGCAGATAGTGAATGCATTTTATAAAAATAAATGAGTAAGGTCAATGTCATCATATGATTTGGTTCCTCAAATCATTCCAAAAGCCTATACATAGAATATTATTTATATCAATGGTAAATGTATTATTCTTTGAGGTCATGATTGTTTTGACAACAAATTAAATGTTACACAATATTCCTAATATGGGACAGTTTATTTCTTAATATTATGAGGTGTTTCAAACATACTTCTCTGCTAATTCATTTGCATCTAGCCCATCAATGTTGTCTACTTCTACATAATTGTATGGAGTCTTTGGTTCTTCTATTTTCATATGACCATAGTCCTTCCCTGGCGGATGTAGGGTAGCTATAATATTCATTTCATCCCATTTTGTTTCTTTTGCTTTCCTAGAATGTAGATAATATTTAGAAGCACCTTTATGAATCACAGCAGTGCCTGCATTCAACCTACTTCTAGATGGGGTGTAGCAATGCAATAATAACATACAACTTACTTTGCCGAAGGCATGTCTTGCTTGTCAAAACTGCTAGAATTTTTTAGAATACCCTTGACGGGCCTTTTTTGTAAATTATCTGCCATTATAGGTTGTATAAAAAGAACAAATTACAAACATAGGAACGTCATGTCCTCATGCCAATGAATCACAGGTCACAGGCAAAAAATTAATTACATGACGTTTCAGCTGTCATTGTCATGTGTGTTCAATCACTCGGAGTGTACTCGCAGAGACTTCAGTAACATTGCCAGGTCGGTCGAATTTCTTGACTCAGCAGATAGTGGGCAGTAGGTGACAAGAGACATACTCGCAGAATCAGTGAATTGCATCACGAACCCCATAACAAATTATCGTCGCGCTGGGATGTTTTGACAAGGTGGAAGGAGAGCACCACAATTCCTAACACACAGTTTCAGCATGGGCGACCCAATGGGTTTGAAAATGGCTTGACGTCATTGGCTTCCAAAACACCTCCGCAGGGATATTACGTGAAAAATCTATAAAATGCCATCAAAAATCTGTATACTGTCAACGAACAGTAGTCGTTAGGCCATTCCACTCCTACGCGCTATGCCCGCTACATATGGAGGAATGGAACACGACCGTCATTCCGGCAATAGTATAGAACATACAATGTAGGCCATAGAAGCTATGAATGCTCCCACTACTCCCATCTATGAAATAGATGTTACATCACATTAGAGCCAAACCATATAGCTCAAGTGACACATCGATTAGGCAACACGCATAGCTACTACAAGCGAACATGAAATGAGAAAAATTTAGTTCCAGCGCTATTTTTTCCGTAAAACCTACATAATGTCATTAAATATCGATGCCACTTTATGAGTAACATAATCAGAATGCACCCGACCAGAAAGGACCTCCATTTTGGAATTTATTTGGTTTCAACAGCAAACTGACACCAGATTCGGAGTGTGTGTATTTATTTGTCCAACTTTTTTGTCTATATAATGTCAAAAAACCGACATAATTTCACTTTTCAAGATACGTAATACCCCTCTGCAGTTCATATTAAATTCAAAATATTTTAGGACATTGTATGACCATTAATTAACGTAGAGATAGCCATCCTAATGCTGCACTCCAGCGATCAACAAATCCTAGATGTAATGAGATACCAGAGCGCCATCTATTAGAATTTTTCACAGCTATGTTTCCACTTTCCGTGCTTATTAAAAATCTACTTTGAAACGGTTACTGTGGTGACTCCATTCCTCGGGAGCACCACGGAACAATCCTTTTGATCAACGACGACACTTTTGTCGTTGTTATTGATAGTTCTGGCCCATTCCGCCCCTCGGTGGTACGGGGTACTATAACCGCCGTCAGCCAGTTCCGAGTTGATCCCTGCCTGTCACATCTCACCAACAAATAACGTTAATTCCATTTGTATTTATTTAGTGTGCTCAATATATCCGTTGTTAATGAACTGCCTAACCTTCTTCTGCAATCATAACCACCCGACACACTGAAGTTAGTGTCTACTAGATGGCGCTGAAACCAACTATATGAGCAATTGAGCATATGCCGCCGTAGGCGTCTACGTCTATACTTTAATTGTCTACGCTTCGATTTAGACAAAGCGTAGAAAATGTAAACAATGTGTAGTCAATGTATGCAATGCGTTTACCATGTATACAGTGTATATACAATGTATAGAGTAGCATAAGTGAAGTTAGGTTTATTCGCAATATATCCGTTGTTAATGAACTGCCAAACCTTCTTCTGCAATCATAACCACCCGACACCCTGAAGTTAGTGTCTACTAGATGGCGCTGAAACCAACTATATGAGCAATTGAGCATTATACCGCCGTAGGCGTCTACGTCTATACTTTAATTGTTTACGCTTCGATTTAGACAAAGCGTAGAAAATGTAAACAATGTGTAGTCAATGTATGCATTGCGTTTACCATGTATACAGTGCGTATACAATGTATAGAGTAGCATAAGTGAAGTTAGGTTTATTCGCAAACGTCAAAACATTAGCGAACATAAGTATCACAACAGTACCGTTGAGCGCGCTAAAAAGAAGAAAATTTGTGAATTATAGTAAGGTGGTTCAAAGATGGAAGGAAAAATTCCGTCGAGAGCAGCTGCATTAAATGTACTAGACTCAATCAGAAAACCACTATTTATGAACTATAGGAAATTGTTAATAGTATAGGTATGAAATAAAGGATAGATCAAAGGAAGACGGAACGACATACAAAGATCAGCTTTAGCCAAAAACATTATATAGAAAACCAAGAAAACAATTTGTAGCTTTCCAAATCTGATTGTGATGAGAATTCTGCAATCTGGCAATGCAGCTATGACACTCCTTATCATTCTCGCTTTCCCTTTCAAGGCGCGATATTTAAAATTCATTGGTCATGAAACGGGGAAACATGGATATTATAATTAATTCTCAATCACACTGTCATATTTTATTATTACAATAAGGTTGTCGATGATTTCCACTTAATAATGACAAATACATATGTTTACACGGCATTATTATTTATAACAAAGCTCGCAAAGCATTTTAGGTTCGATATGCGCTTTTATATTTGTGGGACCAGGATGTATCTACAAATAAATTACATCACCCAAACACTTATCATCATCATTCGGACATTCTCTATTTGGAAGATTACAGTTTAAATTTATGATAAAATGCCACGTCACATCCACGACTTTTCCACGTGTATAAATAACCAAGAGGATAAAACATCCCTCGTCGACCAGTGACGTGCTACACCGGATTTCCAGGTCGAATAAACGTAGAATTTTTCCTAAATTCCAACTTCGACCAAAATCACCAAATATCTACGCCGATTCCACGACACCGTGCTGGCTGGGATGTCGTTTAAAATCGCACAGGTATGTTAACTTTTGGCATATCGAGATGTATGGGGCTATCGATACGCTATTTTACCATTTTAAAATGTAATAAAACCTTTTGTATACATTTTGGAGTGCGGTAGAAATAGATCACCCTAAATTGGACAGACTTGCCTTCAAGTTGCTGCTAATTCCAGCTTAATGAGCAGTTAGAGTGTTTTCGAGTTGATCATTAACTTATACGCCAATATCAAGCTGATTGACATTTGATAGATCTAAAAAGCTGAGGCAGGTGCATATTATACTCCTTCTGATTGACCGATAGCGGGTAAATAGTGACGATGCTGATGTCACTGAATGAGATCAGTCAAATGGGTGAATTTTGTTTCCAGAACGTATTTTTTTTTTGAAGGACACCCAATTTATTTAAAACTATAGCTTTGTATGCGTATAACTTTTTTGATTATTCAAAAATTACTATTACAGGTGTTGCATACATGCAAGCGTCTTAATTGAACTATTATTTGTTATTGTTTACATTGCCATGAATATCAAGACGTATTCAATTATAATTATATACACGCGTATACAATGATGTATACAATGCGCCTACGCAAGTGCGGCTTGGTCTTTTCTCGCCAAAACGCATTTGCGTAGTCTGCAGGTTTTGCAGAACAGAACCTTGCGTACAATCGCTAACGTCCCATGGTATGTCTGCAACGAGACCCTTCACAGAGACCTTGACATCCCTTACCTAAGGGACTACATCAAACAACAAGCGCAGCTACGTTATAGTCAAGCAGAATCGCATAGCAACCCTTTGTTGCGAGAGTCAGTAGACCACACAGTCGAGCAAGTTCGCAAGCACACAACGCCGCGACTCGCACTGTGAACAAAATTAAATCGTGCGACTTTAGGTCCAACCAAAATTATAATTTTTCTTTAACAACAATCTCAAAATTAATTTTAGGATAAATTTAAAATTGCCGAATACTAATTAGCAATGCCAAGGCACCCCTCAAATTGACGCAATTCTTTTTTCTTTTCTCTCCCTTCTTTCTTCTTCCCTTCTTTCTCCCTGACTTTGTTTGGTATCTGGGCAACCAGACCTGACAAACCTTCACTGACTTACAAGACTTTAACCAAGAGCAAAGGTCCTACGGACCGCTCTGACAGACAATGACGAATAGGTATACAATGCGCCCATCACTGATTCAACCTGAATATAGCCAACCTAATGCTGTATTCCAGGGTCCAAAACATTATATTTGCCAGATGCAATTTGCAATACGGCATTAGGCTAGGTATATTCAGATAGAATGCATTAAAGCCATTGGTAGGAAAAAATTCCATTGTCGTGAACCGCCGTTTGAATAATGTGGTACAATAGAAAATCTAAGCTGTATTCATATCTCATTTATTATCCCTGAAAGTGAATAGCAGTGCGATATTCAAATTCGCATGCTGCTCCTGGCCAGCGAGTCATTTTTATTTGTATTATTTTTCAGTAGTTGTACTGGCAACTTTGTATGAATGTGTAATATCACTACGACTATGCATCGAGTATTTGTAATCCTATTCCCGGTGTAATAGCAAGCTGTAATAATATTTAATGAAGGCATTAACTATAAATGGCATTAGATGGCGCTGTACAGTTGAGGGTACTATGCCAACTGGCCGACGCTAGATGGCGCTAGAATCTGCTTTTTATAGAGATTTTTGTGATAGAGATGTGATCTACTATTACAGAGGTTCTTTGCTCCATATTCAAATTGACAAAATTAAAATCTCCATAACTATATAATAAAGGAATGTGATAATGTTAAAATGAAAACTGAAAGCAATATATGAGTTCGGGTGAAGAAAAAAGATCTACATATGCAGTGAACTTAAGGCATCAAGAGTGATTGCCCATCACCAGTGTTGGGCACAAGATAACTGTCAGCAAGGGCCATGCGTCAATTCACGTCAATGTTGTTTTCGTAAAAAAAAAAGGTTCCAGGAAATAAACATATTTTCAAATTAATTTTCACTGATAATCATGGAAAAATATTCAAAATGATTGGTCATTAACAAATATTTGGACAAATCTTACATTTCTGCAAGAATTACAGAAAATTTGATGAACGATTTCAAACTGCGGGGTAAGAGCGCATGCGCATATTTATTAATAGCCAGTTTCAGTATCAAATTTCTGTGAATTTTCACCAGTCTCATCATTCGTGTGTAGGGGTGTAGTTCTTCGCAGTGGATAAGCGCAGTACAAAATTCCAAGAAACCGGTATAAATCCAGCAAAAGGTGAGTAAAACCCTTATTTTAGTTTTCATCAGTGATTCATGTATGTTTCATTTAATGGAAGCGATATAAAAAGTGGAAGAATCACCGGTTTGTTAGCCTCGATTGAATTGTCAGAAAAAAGGGTGCGTTTTTTATATGAAATTTCACCTTGCAGACAGTGCACCGGTTAAATGCAAACATCTGTGCTATTATGCGCATTAAATGTAGGTGCAACACATCTTCCCTTCATTTTGCAAGGTGCAAACCTGTTTGTTATTGTTGTGATATCGCCAGTATCTAGTAGATATATCTCGATACGCTTGTGATGGTGTTTTCGGTCATTGATATAATCTCCCAATAATGTATATGAATATAACAACCAAACATGCATACACAAATTACACTATTTTAATAGTTACAACATGGTTACAACAGTTCTTCTCGGTCCGTCAACTAGTACGTATCGGAGCAAGAATTTTCTTTTTTACCGGTAGTGCGCAAAAAGTGGTCGTTTAATTTTCGTGTACGTAGAAACATTAACAGTGGTTTTAATTAGTGGTGTCTAATTATGTCCTCAAACTCTCCCCCCGATGGCGGGGGGGTCATAAGAATGGACCTAGGAACCTCCCAGAACCCTGTCCAGGATAATACATCTATATCCCATAATAATGGAATAGGAAAAGAACAACCAAAAAAAGTGTTCAACGTTCAAAAACCACATTTGTACTCAGATAAGGTATACGTGTTTATCCAAAAAAGAGATGAAGATGGAAATTTAGGTAAGATCCACCCAATGAAAATAGGTCATATTTTTCATAAGACCCTAGCAATTCCTAATATTGTAAGTATCTCAAGCGTGGGTAGAAATAGAGTGAAGATTGAGTTAAAGTCTATTAGTGATGCTAACAAACTAATTAATGATCATCGGCTCATCAAGGAAGACTTGGTAGCATTCATACCAAACAACTTGCTACAAAGAAAAGGCATAATCAGAAATGTTGACACCTCATTTGACGAAAAGTACATTTTAGAAAACGTAAATTCTTCGGTTACAATAACTGAGGTTAGCAGATTCAAAAAGAAATTAAATATCGATGGAGGCACGACATTTGTTCCTAGACAAACGGTTCTCCTATCTTTTGAGGGCAACACCCTTCCCACACATATCTTTATTAACAGTGTTGCATGTCCGGTTGAACCTTATGTACATAAGGTCATACAATGTTTCAAGTGCCTAAAACATGGCCACGTAGCAAAGCATTGTAGGAGCACTAAAACAATGTGTATTAATTGTTCTCAGGAAAAAACTGAAGGGCACTCATGTAGAGACCCGCAAGATAGTTTTTGTTTACATTGTAACAGTGATCTTCACAAATCTATCTCTCGAAAGTGTCCTAAGTATTCAGAACAAAATAAAATAAAAAAAGTCATGTCTGAAAAAAATGTAACATTCCTTGAAGCCAAGACCATCGTGTCTCAGTCGTATTCGACGGCTGTTAGTACTAGCAACAGGTATGCAGTCCTGGATACGCAGAACACGGACAATTTCCCACCATTGCCACAAGTTTCAGAAAGGGGTAACAACCCTAAGAGGCACTCTCCACAAACACCACACACTTCTTCCCATCCTACAGCCTTAAGAAACTCACCAACCTTCCACTCACTATGTAATCAGTCGGCTTCGCCAGCCACAAGTAACCCTAACAAAAGGAAAAAAGCATCATCCTCTCCGGAGGAACCTAGTATGTTCCCTTTCATTTTTGGCCCCAGTAGAGCCTTACCACCCCTAGACAAATCTACTTTAGACGAGAACGCTAAAGAATTAGTGGATGTATTTTTCAATATTTTCCAGAGTGTTTTAGAAGATATAAATTCCTTTGAAGAACTGAAAAACATAGACACTGGAGTAGTATTTGATAAATTAAGCAGATTATATTTTAATGGATAATTCAAACACAAACATATTAAAAATTTTGCAGTGGAATGCTAAATCAGCCGTATCGAATAAACATAGTTTGGTAAAGTGTCTATGTGAATATGATGTAGATATAGCGCTCATTTCAGAAACATGGTTTAAGCCTGGCAGTCTGATTTCATTCAGGGGGTACAATGTTGTTAGGAATGATAGGTTTGATGGTTATGCCGGAGTAGCAATTCTAATAAAGAATGGCTACATGTATAATGAATTAGTATTACAAAATAACTTTTCTTCTGACATTCAGATGTGCGGTATCGAACTTATTATCAGTAATGATCGACTATCATTTTTCTCCTTATACTGTCCGCCAAATAGCACGACTATCGCTAGTGACTGGGAAAACATTTTCAGTCAACTCAATAATACAGGAATCATAGGTGGCGATTTCAACGCTCACCATAATATCTGGGGTTCATATAAAACCAACCAGAAAGGTCATCAAATAGCCGACATCCTTTCTGACATAGATATAATTTTACTGAATACTGGTCAGCCAACTAGATTCTCTCAAAACAACAACTCTGCTATCGATCTAACTTTCTCTTCGCCAAATTTGGCAATCCAATGTACATGGTATACCCTAGGAGATACCATGGGCTCAGATCATTTCCCGATTATCATCGAAATTGAAAGAAAAATATCTCGTTCAGACACTGATTTTTACGGTCCGAAATTAAAGTGGAACCTAAAAAAGGCAAACTGGAATTTATATAATCACACAGCCTACATCTTTTTCAACAATAACCAAACACAGATACATAACACAGAATCAAAATATCACCATCTCATTGAAGGAATCAATGCTGCAGCGGATAAATCAATCGCAAAATACAAGATTTCAAAATGCAACAAGAAAAACATATTGCCTCCCTGGTGGGATAATGAGTGTGAAAATGTGGTCAACTCTAGGAGGGATCAACTACGTGCATATAAAAACCAAAGCACAATGGAAAATTATTTAAGATGTAAACAAGAAATGGCCAAAGCCAAAAAGACCTTGAAAGAAAAGGCTAGAAGTAGTTGGCGTAAATGGTGCGCTAATCTTAATAGAAATACACCACTTACAGAAATATGGAACCAAGCCAAAAGAATGCAAGGACGAGCTAGAAATAAATCCAGAAATTTTGAATGGCAAGATGATTTCTTTGATAATATCGCTCCACCCACTGTTGATAATGACTTCTCCTCCATATTAAAAAATAGCAAACAGAGTGAAAATAATCACCCAATTTTTCTAGAACCTATACATCTGAAGGAAGTAGAGTTTACAGTCAATAACAGGAAAAATACGTCCCCGGGTTATGATGAGATTCGTTACCCTATGATTGAGAACCTCCCCACTAATGCTAAAGAACTATTGATTGAAATTCTGAATGATATTTGGATTCTAGGCGAAGATATCAACGAATGGAAGAAAGTCATCCTTATCCCGTGTCTAAAACCAGGAAAAGACCCCAATAATATCGAGTCATACCGTTTTATCTCTCTTCTCTCGTGTCTATTGAAGCTTTTCGAAAGGGTGATAAAATATAGAATAGAATGGTGGCTCAATCATCTCAACATTCTACCCATAGCTCAGTATGGTTTCAAGAAGAATTATGGAACTGCCGATGCACTCTCCCATTTGGTCACAGACATTCAAATTTGTCACTCGAAAAATGAATATATGGGCGCACTCTTCTTGGATATTAAAGGCGCCTATGATAGCGTCGATTGGCTTACCCTTTACGAAAAAATAGTGAACCTACAAATTCCAGAAGATATCGCAAGTACTATTTGCAAACTATATATAAATAGAACAATTTCCATTAGACAATATAATGGGAGTATCAAAGAACGTAGACTAATTTCCAAAGGTTTACCACAAGGCTCTGTATTATCCCCGCTTCTGTTTAATATTTATACGATATCGATGCATACCACTTCTTCTAACCTGAATGTCATTCAATACGCTGACGACTTTGTATTTTACATTTTTTCCAAAAAGTTGGATCTATGCTTAAGGTCTCTAAATTCTTCCATTTGTCCTACCTTAAAATGTATCGACGATCTAGGCTTCTGCATTTCACCACAAAAGTCCAAGGTACTTATATTTTCTCGCCATAGAACTTCAGGTACACCGACAGTAATCCTCGGACAGACTAACTTCCCTGTTGTAGAGGAAATCAAATACTTAGGTATGATTCTCGATAAAAAGCTCTCCTTCAAATCGCATATCGAGGAAATTATAGTAAAATGCAACAAAGGCCTAAATTTCTTGAAATCAGTGACAAAAACTTGGTGGGGAGCAGATCCTGTTACGGCTCTTACCTTCTAC